CTAACAATTTCATTTTACTTTATATCTATCTATTTTATTTTTCTAATAATTTTTTTTTAAATTTTATTTTCTCATTTTTTATTATCTTTTTTACCATCATTACTTATGTTTCTAATACCTTGTTATCTGGTTATTTTCTTAGCCCTGATGAACTTCAGGTCGAAACGTCGGCATATGTAAAAAATAAATATTATAATTTATTTTTTGTCTTCCTTTTTGACTGAGCACCCCTACTATTCTTCTCTTTATTATCCACGACAGTCAACCAATTACCAATTATGAATCTATAATAATAATGGTAGATTATCATTTACTAAAATGAACTTCCGTCTTATGAAGCTGAGAATAGGACTTCTCCGGCTGGAGACAACGTTCGGCTGGCAAACGCCAATATTCGATCTACTCCATCTGCATACCCAGTTATATCACTGCACCCATCCAAAATCGAATCCATCCACCGCTAAACGAATGGGGTGGTCCGGGTTATAGTGAGCAAGTCTTCGATGTTTCTGAATTAAGTTCTTGACTACATTTATCAGAGGCTTGACTACATTCGTCACTCTATTTCCACGTGTGCCTCTTTTTCAGCCAACAGTAGAGTGGTCAACTAACAAATTTATCCATTGCGGCAAGACCTGATCGTTTTGCTTCAGAACAGAATCGATATTTGCACCACACTTCAAGTTTTACAATGCTGTGAGAGAACAAAATAAAAGTGTAAATTAATGGTTCGTCCGACTTCGTAATCTAGCGGGTAATTTTAAATTCGGAAGTTATCTTGATGAAATGTTGGTCGATAGATTCGTATTTGGGATGCAAAAGTGTCCCGCTCGTGACCGTCTGTTTGAAGATAACACTGAAACGCTCACTATGCGGATGCAATTCGAATAGCCACTAATAAGGAAGTTACGAAGCATCAGTACAGTCTTTTGGACTTAAAAAAGAACCTGTGGGGCTTTGTTCTTAGAACCATCACTAAAAAGGCCTGGGAAAGAAACAATAACATATACCTGGCATTTCTTGATCTAAGGGCAGCGTTTGACTCAGTTCCAAGGAAAAAAATTTGGAACGCTTTGGTTGCCAAGGGAGTGACTGGAGATTTGATTGAGGCCGAGAAATCAACCTACCAGAGAGCCACTGAAATGGTAAGAGTAAATGAACCTTTCCCAATTGCGAGAGGAGTGAGACAGGGAAATAGTTTAAGCCTCTTCCTGTTTATAAACTTTATGGACGAGATCCATAAAATCTGCAAGCGTCGAACTGCAATTGGAAACTGAAATATGAGAACAGTCCTCGTACATTTTTTAAATGCAGACTACATTGTCCTCATCGCTGATTCAAAGATGAAACTACAGCAAGCACTGGTAGAATGGGAAGAAGAGCTGCTGAGGAAAGATATGCGAATAAATGTTTCCAAGAGTAAAGTGATAGTGATGGCGATAGAAGAACAGGAAGACGTCCAATTGATTTGCAACGGAGAAGCTCTTGAGGTAGTGAAGGATTACACCTGTTTAGGTACCGTAATTAATAACTCTGGTAAGATAGATGCTGAAATTTCGTATAGAATATCCAAGGCAAATCAAGCATGCTACCAGATTGCTAGTAGTATCCTCAGCTGCCATGAAGTGGATAAAAGACCAGGATTCACGTCTATATGTCTGTGTACCTACCTATTCTTACCTACGGCAGAGAAAGCTAGACAATGTTGGACAAACATTACAGTCGCATAACAGTAGCGGAAATGAGGTTCCTACGTAAATCGGTGGGAAAAACTTGAGGGATCGCATTAGAAACGAAACTATAAGCGAACAGGCGGAGGTGCTTGAACTCAAAACCAGTTTGGAGAACAGATAACTAAAGTGGTTTGGACATGTCTGCCGCATGAACGAGGACATGCACCCTATAAAGATATTAGAGGCTCGACAGAGACCCACAGGGAAGAGACCACGAGGACGTCCCAGAGTTCCATATCAGAAATTCTTGCAGAGGATTGGAGGTAGAAGAGGCAAATCCTTCAACCAAATGAAGCGGTTAATTAGAGACCGGGAAGAGTGGGTATGCTCCTCGACGCTAGAAATGGCATTATGAGGAAGACAAAGAAGAAGATATTTTAACTTTCGGATTGGTGTTCAGTTCTTAATCAAAGCCGAAAGTATTTGGTTGAATATCTTTTGGAAGTTAATTTGAGATTTGCAATGGTCGTACCAAATCTGATCGTCGAGGGAAGTACACGTTTATTTCTCATATGGGAATGAGTATTATCGATCTCGTGATTGCTAATCATACTTATCTGTCGTTACCGGAGGACATGATAGTGGTGAACCCTTCCAATATATTTGACCATAAAGCAATCTATCTTAAACTGAAGATACCTGCTAATGTTACTAGCATGATAGATAAATTAACTAAGTTATAAAGTATTCTATTACTGATTTCGCCATACGCCCAGGTTCCTCTCTGGTGTATATGTGTATCATCTTGTGCGGGAAAATGATATTCGCTACCACCAGGTCATTTACCAGGCCCAAATTTAAGATTCTTTCTTCGTTGTCATTAAAGTGTTCCTTCTCCGTTCCTTCCTAAAGTTCTCGGCCATTACCAACACGCTCGTTGAAGTCCCCCATTATTATGGGTAAGCCCTCTCATTCATCAATATCTTGTTTGACTTCGTCGAAAAATGCTTCCTTTTCTGCTGATGCATTATCATTTGGACCATAGGCAATGAGCAACGTGAACAGTTGATTTTCGCTGTAAAGATTTAATTTCAACAGCCTCTCGTTTACAGCTTCCCTTTCCTTATTGAGGGGGGTGAGCTTATGATGGGACAGGCGGTATCACCTATTCCTTCCTCCCCTTTTCCCTTCTTCTACGTCTCTGTGATTCATAATATAGTTATTTTGAATAGTTTATTATAATAGTTAGTTATTATATAGTTATTTTGAATTTATTAACTTCCTCTATCAACGTGAATTATTTCCCGTTCAATCCTTTGACATTTCATGGCCCAAATAGTATTAAACGTTTTCCTTGCCATTTCATGTTACCAGTAATATGATCGTCTCTATTTCTATTCTGCCTTTTCATACTTGTTTCTTGGATGAGCAAGTGATGGGCCTGCTGTGCCCAAAGTCTGATGGTGGGGTTGCCTCCTCAAAGCTGACAGCCCAGCTCTCCTCTGCTTCACAACTTAGATGGTAATCGGTCGCTACTGACCTGTGATAGTACTTGTTGCTGAAGTGCATCATCAGGCCACAAGTGGATCCAGGATTGAATTTTTGGAGGAGGGGCTCCAGCCCGAAAGATTTTTTTTTCATAAATCTTCATAAAAATAATTTGAAAAAAAAAGAAAGACATTAACTACCTGTATGAAATGGTGTTTAAGTGGTTCCTGAAGTCCTATTAAATGTAATTAAACGAACAAGAATACTTTAAGAGATAGTTTTAATATTTTTTTCGGTAAAACATGGTTATATTTTACCATTTTTGGGGGGGGCTTCAGCCCGAAAGCCCCTCCCGTATATCCGCCTGTACGAAAAGAAAATTTAATTAATAAAAACTTTCTTCCCTAAGACTTACTATAGAAAGAAGCAATCAAGAGTTAGCTAGTCAAATACAGTAATAAAAAAACATGAGGTAATTTTTTTTTCACATTAGCGATAGTTAAGAACAAATATCTCTGAAGCTAAGCAACATAGTGATAAAAGGTATATGATCAATCATATAGTAAATTTTATCAGCTTTAATTTAGAATAGAACGTCTATGTCAATGGGGTGCATAGTTTTCCTCATATAAGAGAAAACCCGAAAAACAGTAATTAACATGAAGCATTTATTTTTTTTCTAATATTAGCCATAGGTAAAGAAGGATATTTCGGAAACTAAGCAAGGTAGTAAAAAATGATATATAATCATTCATATTGCAAATTCCCCGTGATCTCCTAATGTAGTCATATCATTAGGGTGCTACCATTGGGTAGTTACTCAGCAAGTGTATTCATGTCATCATATCTATTATGTCCAAATTTACTTGATCAATTTATGTAATACAGTTGTAAATGTCATTAAGAAATAAATAAAAAAAATATTGCAAATTTTATCAGCTTTGATTTTGCTTAGAACAAATAGTTTTCCTGATATAAGCGAAAAACCTTTCTAGTCCAAACAATGCCCCAAAGTCAAAAATTGTGTTCTTGCCATTTCCTTTTATAATCATTCATTGACTGGAGCAGAGGGAAGAGCTTTTAAAAATATTACTAAATTTAATATTACCGCCTATTAACTTATCGGATACAAGGATCAGTTATTAGGGTCAATTTTTATTTTTTTAAATTACTAGCCATTTTAAGATAACCCTTGTATATGGCACATTAAAACTTCAGTATAAACATTACTAATATTACTTACTTTAAGATTAATTGCTGGCCTATCATTTTTTGCTTCCTCAGAACCAAAGGTAGGGAAGCTTTGTATTTTTTCCTATGTTGGCTCAAGACTTCCATTGAAGTCCTATACTGTTTCTGAGATGTTTTTTAGACATTAATGAAAGATAAATCCTAAATGAGAAGGAGTTAATTGGGGGGTGCGGTCAAATAAATATAAATTAAAATATAGTATTTATTTAATTATCGATTAAATAAATACTATTTTATTTGACTGCACCCCCCAATTAACTCCTTCTCATATTATATCAACAGTCAACCATCTCTACATCATTATAAATCCTAAATATTCTACTCCTGTAATCTTTTGGAATGAAGCACTGGATTTCTTTGAAAAGTTTTCAAAGTCTGTCTATTTTGAACTAAAATCTCTACTGATTAAAATGCACAATATAGAAGGATGAGATATCTAAATCAATTTTGCTTCTGAGCGGAATGACAGGGAATGGGGAGATGATATATTCTTAACATACATTTAAAAATAATACTACATAAATTTTAGCATGAAGCAAAATTGATTCAATATATTCCATACACAAAATAAACTGACACATATTTATTAAAATACTTTTATTAGAAGTATTTCACAAAGAAGCAGTAAAAAATAAATTTATATTTAAATAGACAATGATAAAAAACAGAAAACAGGATACATCTGTACATTAATCTTGAAAATAAATATGATACCCAACTATTAAGAACAAATTAAAAAAAAAAATAGTTGGAAGGAGATCAGGATAAAGTGAATGGAATAGGAGAAACAAAAAAAAAAAAAAAAATAATGAGTACAAAAACTTTAATTAATTGGATTTTTACTGGATGGTAGCTCATGAACCTGAAACTGTAATAATTAATTATTAACTCATGGTAATATAACTTTTTTTTCAATAACAGAACTACAAAACAATGTAATCATACAATGTTACATGTGACACAGAACATTACGATACAATAATAATTTATGAATAGCAAAATTTAATAAACAAATCGTTCATCACCCTCAAAATCTACGCATTTCACATTTGTTCCTTCTTTTTTTTATTAATTAGAAAACAAATCAAATTCACTTACAATTTATTTTTTTATGACTTCTAAAAAAATAAAATAAATTTAAGCAAACGCATTCATTATGTAGGATTCAAATATATATATGTTAAAAATGATATATATATATATATATATTCACATATTTTTAATTCATCAGTATAGTCCAATACACTTTTTTTTTTTTTTTGGAATTGATTAACAAATTTAAACACCCAATACTTTGATGGGTTACCCTGGTTTTAAAACCAATGATCGGACAAATAAACAAATTAGTGGCGAGTCAATTGACTTTAATGCACGAATGATGCCAGTTATGAATGATATTGGAAATAATAAAGATGACAATCATCTGATATACATTCAGAAGGCTGGGCACCAAAAGCACCTTAGGGAATTTGATATAAAATAAAGAAAACTAACTTAAACGATTCTATGGTATCCAACCTGAATAATTAAATCAACATTTTTAAATCATAATATAAAAGAAAAAAATTAACTTATTAGGTATTGAATAATGGCAAATGTTTATTCTAAATTAAAAATGAAACATCTATTACATGATTTCTTAAAATTTGACAGTAAAATATATAAATTAGACAATTACAACTTGTCAATAACTAATCTTCAAAATTAAAAATAAATAATTTAAAATCACATTCTTTATCTAATGACTAGGATTAATTATTTGTTGAGTACTTTCAAAACTGGGGACTGATTTTTAACAGTACTAAACCATCTTTTAAGATTAATTAGATGACCATATTGTTTTTCATTTTTGAAAATAATTTCAGAAGCCGGTAGAATATAACAGAATAGATAAAAATCAGCAATACTTAACCTCTCTCCTACTAGAAAAGTAAAATTACTAAGATATCTGTTAAGGTATTCCAGGTATGGTAACAATGTAGCATTTTTATTCTCATTACAAGGAGACTTATTAACTAACATAAAATAAATTTGTTTAAAGATGGTATCAGAAAATTCAATCCATTGTAAAATGCTTGCTAAAAGAAAGGGATCATTATTAGCTTTAAGACTTACTGGTGCCAGAGCAAAAATAATTGAACATATTTGTGATAATACAACGCCTTTGTAGTTGAGTAAGGTTGTCGATCCCTTCCTTATAGGTAATGAAACACCAGAGTATTCATAAATAATAAGAATTAAAGTTGAAGAAACACTATCAGCTTGGTACGTAAGTTCTTCAGACAAACCTGATAATTTAAGCTTCGCAAAATCTTCAGCAATCTTCAACACTTCAGATAAACTGTTAACATTATTTCCAGATGCCTGTGCAGACTCTGCTTTACCCCCACCTTTTCCACCAATTTTACTGCTTACACTTTGAATCCACTCATTACCTTTAAGTCCTTTTTCCACACAAACCTAAAAATCACATATGTACATGATAATTATTTATTCATTAAAATTGATCAAAGCAGCAATTATAACAGTTCATAATTAGAGAAATCAACAGTAAAACATTCTAATTTCAGCGCAGTCTATCTCTTTCAAATACTCACTGTTTTATAATTTTTTTGTAAATAAATATTAAATTTAATGTTATAAACATTAGATAATTGTTAATTGAAAATAATTACAGTTATTAAAACTTTTTAAATTATGACTATCATCTACAACTAAATGTTACAAATACATCAGTTTTTATTATCATGTTTTATCAAACATCATCAAAGCAAATGTATTACATATATTTATATTTTCTTTTAAAGAAAATAATACTTTTTTTTTCTGTTGATCTCAAGATTCAGTCACTACATAAACTGCTATATTTTGGTGATGTTTCAAGACTATATATTTTACTCTGTGTTGGAGCGAAGCATTGACCAAAGCCCACAATCGGACATAAAAATTGTGATCGGAGACTTCAATGCGCAGGTCAGGAGGGAAATGGCCTACAAACCAACAATTGGAATGAACAGTCTGCATGATGTTTTGAATGATAATGGCAGATGCATGATGGGCCTGGCTGCTTCACGAGGACTATTGGTTGGGAACACTATGTTCCCTCATAAAAGGATACATAAAGCAACTTGGAGGTCCAATGACGGGACTACATTGAATCAGATAGATCATATCCTGATGGGTGCTAGACACATATCAAGCCTAAGAGATGTAAGGACATACCATGGAGCGGATGTCGACTCAGATCACTATCTGGTCATATCTCGAATCAAGGCTAGAATTTCTATCGTTCGGAACTAAAGAAGAGTACCTCAGCCCAAGTGGAATATTGAGAAGCTCAAAGAGCCTGAAACGAAAATTTGCTTTTTTGACTCCATGGACGAAAAACTGCAAACCTTGACCCTGGAAGGTGATACTGAGGACCATTGGGAAAAATGTAAGGAAGTGGTGAAAGTCGTTGCCAACAGAGTTTTGGGGCTCCAGTCTCTCACCCTTAGGAAACCATGGTTTGATGAGGAATGCTAAGCTATAACCGCCCTCAAGAATGAAGCTCGCTCCCAAGGCTGCGCTGGCAGGATGGTGTGACATCGGACGCCGGCTTCACTGGGAACAAAAAACTGGAGGGCATTGGCACAAAGAAGACAGGACTGGCAGAAATTATTACAGGAGACCCTGACTCTTTGTGGGTTGTAGCACCATTAAATAATAATAATAACATTTTATCAATTAAATAAATGATGAACTCCACTGCACAGGCTTTAATAGAAGAAGCAACAATAATAGTGAAATGTAAGACATCAATAGGTTTTAAATTTTAGTGGTTAATAACTATTTTCTGGAAAAAAATGTCTATAAACCTGTATTTTTCACTGAAGAACATTAGTATGAGAATAATAAAATATTGAAAAGTTACCAAAATATAGCTATAATAAATGATATATTATTTGATAGTCAAGAAAATATATAAAATGGAATAGATTTAAAACACGCCACCACCCTTCTATAGTGGCTATTGATACAGTGCTAGGAGTTTTCTATTAATAAAAGAACCCAATGTAATAAGGCATGAAAACAGATTAATAGTTAAACTAGTTGGGAGATGCTAGAAAAACTGGATGACAAGGAAAATTAATAGAGTTATACAATGCAAGAAAAATTTAATCAGGATCAGGAGATGAGGAATGTGTTGTATGGAGATTCAAACCTTCCAAATTGCAGTCACATTCCAGAAGTATTAAATCATATTCAAAAGAGTAATTTAAAAGGAAAAAGCTTTGGCAGGCAATAATAATGTATTACAGTATATCTAAACTCAACGATTTACCTGAGGAACACTGCAGAGACATATGATTTTGTTAGCTGTTTGCTCAACTGAAAAAAACATTGCTGCTGTCTCAGGTGAAATAACTTTAACTTGTTTCAATGCAGAATCCAGTGCCTATCAAGTTTAAAAACAAAATTAGAATTGGTTATGTAAACAAAATAACAATTTTTTCTTGTATTATTATTTTTTATTAATCTTTGTTCTCTCTCCTATTTATGAAAGCCACAAATACATGAAGATTAGCATAAAAATATATTTGAAAGTCAATAACAAATTCTTCAATGTATGTGTGATATTCATTTAAACTTAGGGTATGATATTTCTCTAACTTCACTGGAGTATCAACCGATTAAATTTTTAATAAACAGAATAAATAATAATTTACTTGTCTTCATATTGTCATAACACAATTTATGAAGAAAAATGGTTTGTGTCTGGTTCACGTGGTGGATATCAGTATGAAGAAGGTAGATATAGTGTTGTCTTAAATGGAGATATATAGCAGTAGATCAGTATGAGAGAACAAAAAGGTGTCACCAGGGAAATTCTCATTATTAAGGGGAGGAAACTAGCAGTATAGTACCATCCACACATTGGGGTGTTTAGTTTCTTCTATGCTTAATGATTGAGATGTTCTTTGTCAACGTTTATTTTAAAAATTAATTCATTTTCAGCAAATTGAATGTATATTTTGATAAAGATAATTACAGGAGACTGTAATTTTTGTATGACGTGCATCTCTCATACTAATCTTTTCTCTGTGAACTAGACCTTATAATACTGCTAAATTACTGAAGCTTAATCTGTCACTTTACCTTACTATTGGACCCAGCATTAAGAGTGGCTACAAGAAATGGTGTTCCTTTTTTGGCATTCATCAAATTCTTTGCTTCCTCAATAACTTTATTAGTTTGTTCTGTTTTTCCAGCTCTTTCAGCATTATCAATAACTTTTTTGAGATTCTTCAAAATATTTCTAAGTTCATCCTAAAAAACAAAATATGTATTAAAACTAACAGTGTATAGAATTATTCTAGATGATTAGCCTTCTGTAAAGAAATCATGAGACACGTAAAAATAAGAATACTTCAAAATTAATATGCATAAATAAGATCATGTATGTTTATATCAAGCTATCAGAAACATATCTTCAAAAAACATTTCTTTAAATAAATCTATTCTTTTTAAAATAAAATTAAAAAGTTACAAAAAAGGATCATTGCATCCTTATTTACTATAAAGATATTTACTTTTTCATAAATAAATAAGTAAATTAAGATAAATGATAACAATAATACCTTTTTCCAATAAGAAATCGGGGCTTTTGAAACGTCATTGTCATGTTCAACAATAGATTTTAACATTTCTTTCCCATCTATCAAGTTTTTTTCTATTATATTCTTTAGAATCAAAACACTTGATTCTAGAGCTTTCACACGCTGCTGGGCCTGTAAAAAATAATAGAGAAAGCTAACATTTTTAAAACACCAGAAATAAATATGATGTAATGTTGAATTTTTTTTATATTTTATTTTATTGATTTCTGATTAACAAAAAAATAATTAAAATGGGATTATGGCATATGTCTATGATTGAAATAAAATAAAAAAAATTAACAGGTTTCTTTATATATAATATATATTTTATTAATACTATAAAACAGCTAATAATATAAAAGATTGGCATCAATACCCCCTCTCTCTGTTGGCACCAACTTTGTCTACTTCCACCACATATAAATAGCCATTGGACCCCCCATAGGGATGTTGGAAAAATATTGCTATGTTAGCATGTTTTTATTTATTTTTTTAAATATATCGATAATTTGACCGATATCAGAGGAAGTAAGGGCTGAGAACGTTGGAGTACAATGATTTAAGGTTGAATGTTAAGAAGAACAAAGCCACTCTTATTGGCTCTAAGCATCTTCTTAATTACACTTCTAATTATTCCCTACTCTCAGGACGGGATGGCTCAGCACATTGGAGCATTGGTCCCAGAGTGCCCGGTACTAAACGTTGTGGTTTTGATTCCTAGCTGGGTCAAGCAATTTTCATTTCTCGGCAGTCCTGAGTCCATCCATACCTCACATTTTAGGCTATATGGAGACTTTACCGGGCCAGGGGATTAATGCGAGCTAAAAGCTTGCCAGCATCAGGATGTGTACTCGTAATCATTTTATATCTTATAACTTTGGTTTATAAATCATCTGGTTGCCATGCAACGGATGTTTTGTATACACCTTAATCTCTGACACTCCCATTTTTTTTCTTTCTTTTTTTTCTGTTCTTCCCTACCTCGCCTTTTAGGCTATACAGGATTTTTCAGGGGCGGAAGGTGAGGGCGCAGAATTTAAAATCTCCTCCCGCACCAGGACGCGAACTCGTACTTTTTCAATCTCAAAACTTGGTTATCTGGTTGCCGGTCAACTCATGGTGCTGTGCACACAGGTTAGCCCATTCGGCCACCCCGCCCAAAATCAGACCTGCATACTGTAGGCAAGGAAATTCTTCAGCATTTCATCCTCTCTGTAACGTGCTATTATTTGAAAATTTTTCTTAATGCGACACCCTGTTAAGGAGGCAAAAAGGAAAAAAATATTGTCGAAAACCAAATAATAACAAGTTTTATAATGAAAATATATCAGAAACTAAAAATCGGACATGCATACTGCAAGTGAGGTAAATGTTCAGTATTTCATCATCTTTATAATGAGCTATTATTTATAATTTATATTTCATATTATAAATCTCGCCTTGTTGATGTTTTCAATTTTATCATGTGGTCTAAAGTACACATAATAATTTTTTTTTTGTGTTCCATAACGTAGTTTTATGATTAACATCTTTTGTGATGTGAGGAGTTTGGAAATATTTTACAAAAATTTCTTATAACGATCAATCATTAAACTGTGATTGCTATATCCGATAAAATATATATTGTTGAAACTTAGATAATCACATATCCAGAAATATTCTTCCCTGCAACTGACATATAGTGACATAATAGTCCTTTCAAAATAAAATGACAAAATAATGAGTGTCAAAAAAATAATAGAAACTGCTATTTAACATTAGGAATATAATGGCTTGTATGGGACAAAAGTCAACATTAAATTATCAGGAGATGCGTGGGCTAAGATCCCTTCTCCCCTTATACAAACCTTCTCCCAAGATAAAGCCGTTCTATCTGCTCAATTGTATTATTACCAAATTAAAAAAGCTATCCAAAAGTGTTGTAGAAAAGGAACGTATTTATTACAATAATACTTTTAGCTAATATCAGGCAACAAAACCATTTGTACTGGATATCATAATTACTAGCATAGCTCTCCAGAAAGGTCGCAAGACCATCCTTACTTTGTTTTATTTATTTACCATCAGACAAAAAATGTTTAAGGTTAAATAATATTTCTTCCTCCGTCCTTCAAAAAAGAACCTTTTCATTTAAAATAAAACATCAAATAGAAGCAACAATGTTTAAAATAAATTCTAACACTATCTTACTTTTTCTGCTTCAGGCCCAGTAACAGCAATAATTCTTCGGATTCCTTTCGCAATAGCTTCCTCATTAGTGATAATGAAGTCTCCAACATGAGATGATCTTTTTAAGTGCCTTTAAATTAATATATCAATGTTAAATAATAGAAACAAAATTTAGCTATTTTTAATAATACATATTTTTGAGTATCTTGAGATTCAGACAATAAATAAACAAATTTATATTTTTATGCTTCATTGTTTTCATCATTCAGCATTTCTCTAAAACTTGTTCAATTTAGTTTACCATTTTTTTTTTTTAGTAATTCAATGAACTGAATATTATTTTTCAACAGTTGTAAGACCAATTTCCTCAATAGTTTCCTTTTAGCTTAATTTAGTATCCATTAGTAACCCTTGATATTCAGTCATTGATAATAAACAAAAAAAAAAATTATTTATACAATAAATTAACACAGCCATTTAAAATCATAATCTTCCCTGATGATATATTACTCTCAGTATTTATATTTCTATGGATTATCAGAATTAATATTTATATGTATTTATATGTCGACTCAATTCAAATAGATAATTTATAAAGAAATAAACAACTTTTACTGCCCAATATACATTTTATTACAAGAACCACTTTATTATCAGCTGTGCCTAATATAATTGTTACAAAATAAAGTTCTAAAGAAAATTACAATACACTCACTTATTTCAAGAGCCAATTTTTAAAATATATGTTCAACAAAAATTTTAATGTTAAAAACATAGTTAAAAAATATATATAAATTGTTTGAAATCTTACGTTCCACCACAGAATTCAACTGATGTTTTCAAACCAGAATCATCTTGAGGGTTCTCAATGAGGTAATGAATTGGGACACCAACAGATACAACCCTTACTGGATCAGGATAGGCCTAAATCAAATAGATTTCATAACATAAGCAAATTAATGATTTAATATTCATTTGCCACTAGTAATAATTCTTATCAAAAATTATTTTTAAAAAATAATAAAAGAACTTTCATTCTCTAAGAGGCTTCGATGTATTTTAAAGATAGTTAGCTATATTGCACTGAGCTTATTGCTTACTTTGTATTCTCCAATAAAACTCATCTGTCTACAACATAAACACTATACCTCAACTCATCAGGAAATAGAACAAAGGTTAAATCATTTACTGTCCAGGCTGCATGTTCACGACAAAAGTGAAGTATGTGATATACTTTTGTTATGCTGCGGTGAGTAAAGAGTTGCAACTGAGAACCCTAGCATTCTGGTTGAGTTCAGCAAGCGTTCTTCTTACTGTGTGCGTGCAGCACCCCGACAATCGGAGCAATACGCAATCAATGAGAAATCTCAACTGAAGTGTGGTAGCGGTTTCTGAGGTTCTTTATAGCAATGAAGCGGTTATCAGCTAGACCTGTCACTTTTGGATGGTCTGATCACAGCCTCCTAGGGTGGCTTCCTGTCTCCTGGTACCTCTGGCCTGTTTGCTGAACTGATGTTTCAGGCTGCCCATGGACTTAGGCTGTGCATTGCTAACTTTGGCCATTTTCAATTAACATATTAATCTAAGCGACTGTCAAAGGATCCAAAACCATTTTACATTCTTAAAAATCTATATATATAAAAATGAATATATGTCTGTCTGTCCGTCTGTTTGTCCTTAGTGCATTACTAAACCATTCAACTGATCGCCATGAAACTTTGGAAAGTTGTTCCGTACACTCCTGGGAAGGTTTCTGGCATAGTACTTCTGTCTTATGATAATTTTATGTATGTAAAAAAATAAAAATGTAAATGTTTTTCTGTTCAAAGCCGCAAAAAATGTGTCGCTATAAACTGTAGTGCCAAAACGGCTTTACCGATTTTAACGAAACTTGGCTAAAGTCTTCCCCTTGAAACCCTTTTAATTTATGTGTATAACATACTTTCCCGAAAACAAGCTGAAAAATTTTACGATGAATTCAATATTTTATTTGACGATAACTAAAAAAGTACACAATTTTTGACGGATAATACTCATATGTATATGAAAGATTTCTGAATTGCTGACAAAATAAAAAAAAAATCATTGAAATCGGACAGTTCATTGCAGAGTTATTGAGTTTTAAACATTTACTGCTTTCTCTTCAGAAAAGGCCGTTTCCTTTTGCTTCCTCACTACCGAACGTCAGCAAGCATTTTTTTTATTTTTATTGATTAATCGAAAATTTTATAATTACTAAAGTAATTGAAATTATCATTTCAACAATTTATATGATTCTCCTTATGTAGGTCAATACTATTATACGTTTTTTAAATTATTTTTTAAATTTAGTTTTATAAGTTCAATTCAGACTATTTCTGATGATTATGAATGACAGCGTATTTACTCAGATGATTATGAATGTTCAATTTGAATCATGAAAAAAAAAAAAAAATTACAATTAGTTTCAATTGAAGCCATTTTACAGACAAATTTGTTTCCCAACTTTTTAAAAATGACAGATGTTCTTTGCTACTAATCTACTCATATGTGCTTTCTATTTTCTTTCTTTTTCATTTTGCCAGGCTAAGCCACAGAAGCGCGTGGCCGGGTAAAGCTAGTGTTTTATACAAATGAAATATTATTTTTCAAGGAACAAAAACACAAAAGCAATACCAATGTGATTGAACAGGCAAATATGGTGTCCATATTTCATTTTAATACTTTCATCGTTACCCCTAGAGAGAAACAGGCAATTTCTTGACAGGAATTATACACAAGAATCTCCTTTATCCTATCATATACCTATTATCACTTCAGGCTCAAAATGTTTCTTTAATCTTGGGTTTTAAGTTAAAATTCAAGGTGCACCAGTTTAGTTTACCATCAGTCCCACAGATGGTCACTAGTCAATCAAAAGTCAAAGTGAATATAGTTTAATAGTTCATCTTGATCACAAACATAATTACTAAATCACAGTGTTTCGTAACCAAATTATTCACAATCCATTGTTTACTTAAAAAAAGTACACATACAATTATTTATTATCCAACATTTCTAATTTCTAAGAAAAAGAGAAAAACTACTACAACTTAAAAGAAGTTGAGTGAATAATTTTACACTGTTCACTTTTACTATGATGGATTGCCTCATATTTTATAATTATATAATCAAATTTTAAGTTGAGTGCTTTAATAAAACAGGGATCAAAGAAACAATTAAGAAAGAAACTGTAGAGAATTCTAAAGCTTTCAAAAAATCTGAAACATTTGTACAATTTTAAAATATTCGTATGAGTAGCTCAGTAAAAATAACAAACAAGCCACTATATAAACTTTCCTTTGATCATGCAAAACATTATTATATGCAAAACAACTCCTCTTCTTGTTATTGTTTAATATTATACTATTTTTGTCTGTCATGTCCTTATGCCACTTGAGATAGTCAATCAAATTGACATTATAGTGTTTTATTATAAGCTAAGCACTCGTGAAATTGGCCGGCCATTTTATGTCAAGTCACATAATTATTTTTTGAGGAAACCAACAACGACAAGATACAAAAGTTTTTCACTATTTCAAGTGTTTTTTTTTTTTTACCGCCACTGCAGACCATCTCCTTCCTCAATATTGTACAATGGTCAACCATTGATTACTCAGTACTTATTTTTATTTAACAAAATAGCTTTAGTGTACCATTGAGGATGTAACTGGCTGTGTCATATTCTCTAACTAACAGAACGATAAATAAGAATATTCTATAATTGCTGAAGGTAGTGGATTGGTGAACATTTCAAGAAGATGACATTGCAGTAGGCAGTACTATTTGGGAACTGCAAGTATTATTTTAATATCAAATAGATCAGTCCAACAAAATAAAAATATCAGTATAATTTTTTGTTAAGCAAACCCCTGGGTACTTTATTATTATTATTTCTTAAGTGGCCATACATCATGTAAGAAATAAATAATCATAATGCTAAATGTAATAATTTGTTTCTGAATTTCAATGAGGAGTATCCCAATTCAAATAAAAAAATATTTTTTTTGTGTGTCTGATAAAATATTATTGATGAACAAATCACTACATCAAGAAAAATTGCTTTGTTATTAATATAAATAGGAATTAAAAAAAAACAAGTTCTAGCTAAGATAACTTGACAATCTTAAAATGACAATGACAATAAATACAAATACAGTAATCAAATTAAATTTTTATAAAATTAAATTACCAATTAATTTATAAAATGTAATTACTACTTTTTTGGGAAATAAATACATTCAGGACTAGAAAATAAAAATAAAATAAAGTATGCATACTTCAGAAAACATAGCTCGTAAACCATTTATTTTTTTTGCTTCTTCAAGAGTAGCACAAGAAGCAAAAACTTCATTATCTTCATTAACTATTTTATTAACTTCATTTTCTACCTTTTTTAGTTCATCAAGTTTCACAGAGCTCTGAAAATTTTTACAAAAATTAAATTGATGTTTGAAATGTCAAACGTATAAAGAAAACAATATATTTAATGAAAATAGCAAACCTATAAAATTATGAATAAGGTATTACCATCTTATATAAACATATTTTTACCGTAATAATATATAATATTTATATATTGTAAATAACCTTCCATTTTGCCGGAGGTCTTGGTTATTTACACTCATGAATTATAATTTTTAAAAACAAAATACCAGCTTTGGATATAGACTTTTTTTAGGGTGTTTGCTGCTGTTGGGAATTCGGGAACCTAATGCTTTTGTGATAGAGTGGCAAGAAATAATATGAATATATATATATGTATATGAAATGTTGGACTGAGCAAATACACTATGAATGAATTGACTCATCTGGTTTGTTGTTCTTCAATTGTAAGGCAAACTAAATTAAAGGAATATCCACTCCTATATAACACAATATCTTATTTGAACAACTGCAATAAATGAATCTTTTAAAATCTTATAACTATAGGTTTGATCTTCTTAATCTCCAGTGGAGTGGGCTTTTCTCCTGTCGTCACATACTCCCATTTTCATGCCTTGCCCCAAGTGAAGTCTTTGTTCTTCTAGAGTCCCTCTGCAGCTGCTGCCACCTGCTGGACCCTTTTCCAGGCTTCTTCATTTCCTTGTTCTGTACCTTTTTCATCAATCATTTATACATTTGACATCCTTCACTCAACAACCTGTCCACTACACAATTGAATGCAATTTATAGTGAAACTCTACATTCCTATACAATCCTTCTCATTCCCTCACTCAATGTCACATAAAGGAGTAAATAGAGACCATCTACTACAATATATTGCATTGTGGGTATTTTTATTTGTTTAAACACTGGTATATATACAAATTTTTATTTTTATTTTTCTGCAATCTATATAATTAAATATTAAATAATACCAATGTTAGCATTTATGAAAACTGCACATGCATATGTATATAATATTATTGGAGCCCATATTACATTAAGCATGTGTTATGCATAGAAGTATTTCGTGTTTTTTTAATCATTCTTACAATCTCTTATTTCTCCTTTAGTGAATTATTAAACACTTTCATAGTAAATATTTAAACATTTTTCATTTCAGGTTATGATGTGAAGTGGTTAATTATTTAAAAAAAAAAAACTCAAGAGGTCCTTTAGAGGAATAAATTTTGAAAATTCACCATTTAAGTCATCTCAAGCTGCATCGATGCGGATAAAACCTACCTTAAATAAAAACCACTTAATAATACATTGACTAAAACTAGTTTAATCAAAATCATTAAGAGTTGTTTTCGAGAAAATTGCAAAAGTGTGTAAAATCAGTGATATGAAAAGAAACTTCTGGTAAGCTGATTTTGACAGTTGCTATAACATCCCAGCCATATAAAAACTTTAAATATGCAATTTCAGTTTTGTCGTACAACTTTCTGTTTTTGAAATACACTATTTACATACCCATACTCAAACCATTTTGGGACGATATTTGGACTCAGCGGCCCTCAAAACATCTATTTCCATTGAAAACTCAGATTTCAAACATTTCCAAAAAATTCCAGGTAGAACTTCTGATTGACAGTTTGACCCAGGGAACGAACTCCACGTGCATAACATCTCTTCAATCAAAGAAACAAATGAGCGTTGTCTTGATATTTGACTTCATTTGGCGAGCTTTTTTGGGACGAGGAGAGCCAGCTGTCTTCCACTGGTTTGCCTGTTTCAATGATAGGCAAGTGAAATAAATGATCCTCTCTTGCTTTCTTCCCTCTTTTAAAAACAATATGCTTACCAAAATTTTAATTTTAAAAAAAGATAAGTGAAAATACAAATACAAATATACTATACCTTAGAAGTAAAATCAAAGCGAAGTCTATCTGGAGCAACTAAAGATCCTTTTTGGTCAGTATCAGGACCAAGAACATGCCTTAAAGCATGGTTCAAAATATGTGTTGCTGTATGGTTGCTCATTATTAGGCGGCGCCGTTTTTCATCAATATTACAAATGATTTTATCTCCAATTGCTAAGTGCCCTTCAACAATTCCAATATGTAGAATATATCCAGCCTGCACTTGAACATTCTTTACAAATATTTCTGATGCCTTAAATAAAAAAATAAAAAAAATAATTAAGTAAAGAAAAAATAAATTGTTATATCAACATTTATGGTAATCAATATTTAACAAAAATATTTTATGTATTTTGTAAATCTTTATACAGGGTGCTGCAACATAACTTGTTTTTTTCAAAAGGCAAATAAAACCAATTTTTTTAATCAGAAATTTTTCATTTTTTTTATAATGTAGGTATCGAATGTTTTGTTTCACACAGTTTTGAAAATAATATCAGGTAAGAGACCCCCCTTTCCCCATTGTCCATACTCTGAATACTGGGATTGGAAACCAAACTTGAAGGAATTGAGAAGCTTTTTGTTTAAGAAAGATAATATTTGAACGGACTAGTCTTTCAAGGGGTTTTCAAAGATTGCAGAGAATGGAGGTATGTCTGAAAGTAGAAACTTTGGAAAGAAATGGGACTTTTTTCAGCAGATGGACTATGAATTTTTTTCAAGATGTTAGAAAACAGAAACCTACACTATTGAGGTACTCTTGTGTAGGATGGTCGAAATGACAAAAGTTTTTTATATATATATATATATGTAAGTGTTTAATATATATTTTGAAAAAAATTTCCTTATGTCATAAATAATGTTTTCTCTTTAATAATATTTTATAAAGATAATAGGAGGAAAAGGAAGATAATAATTATATAATGAGGCAGTAAATGGGGGTGAAATGATGATTGTAGTGGGATATCTAAAGTTGTACTACAAGCTTTGAATTGTTTTTAGCAACGTGTAGCTTAAAGTATAAAGACAAGCAAACACAAATATACGACTAATTAATTTTATCATGCATATGACATTCCCCATGTATTTTTTATTTCAGAATATCAAAGCAAGATATTGAGATAGATTTTCAAAGTAGAAAATTATAGAATATAAATGAGGAAAATATATTCATAGCAAAATATTTTCAAAATACAATTCATTTATAATCTAACCTCATCATCAATTTTGCTAATATAACCTTCATCATAAATCTGTCCTCCTTGTTCAGCATAGAAACAAGTATTGTCTAGAATAACACCACACAATTCACCAGATTTAACTGAGTCAACAAACCCTGATTCTGTTCTGATAGCCAAAATTTTTCCTAGACTGGCTCCAAATTCTGAAACAAAAATCAGTAACTAAGATCTGTTATAAATTCAAAAAATGAATATTAATAAATGGGAATATACCCATACAATCATTTACTTATTTTTCTGTACTTAAAAAAAAAAAAAGAAATTCTGAGCTTTAATACTTTTTTATTTGCTACATTATTATGATGAATATTTTTAGCTTGTATTAGAATATAATAAATAAAATACCAAGTCCAGATTTTTCATCCAAAACAATTGCTCAAAAAATTATGGGAAGTAGCTAACGATGTGCATGCCCTATTTATCAATTTCAAAGCAGCCTATAATTCCATAGATAGAAACTAATCTAGCACTGGAGAAGGTGATAAGAACATCATGTGAAAATGGACGGGAGCACATAAGAATGAATCAGAAAACCTTGGATATGCAGATGTTATAGCTATCCTTAGAAGTGATCAAGACAACATATAGTGACTCACTGAAACACTAATAATATAAGCAGAGCAAATCGGCATACAAGAAAAGGCAAAATAAAACAAAATTATTGATAGTAAGCTGAAAATTACACCCTAACAGGTGTAGAGGGGAAATCGTTCCCAAGAATACAAAGATTCCAATTTCACCCAAATACCTCAATGAATGACCAACTGTCAAAAAAAGATAAGTTTATAACAAGTGCAAACAGAGCTTTCTTTTCTCTTTTAAAGATATTGCAATCACAAAAAAATCACAGAAATCTCAAATTAAGGATGTATAACTTATGTAGGGGTGGGAGAGAAAATGCCAAACGTTTGAAAAGAACAGTTCTTGAGCTCAAATAAATGAAATGTTCTTCCAAACGGATAACAACAGGTGTTTTTCTTTAGTTCATCCCTTTGCCACTAGTCGAGTTGCTGTTTGTTCTGTTTTGTTTTTTTTGTATTGTTTTTTTAAACAAAACAAAAGCTCTTTCTTTCTACTTTTCAATGAACCTATCAGTACATCATGAAGATAACCCAAACGTTTTTTTTATAAGACATGATTCAACTGTTAAGTTTAGGGATGTAACTTTTAGCTCCCATTATTAATGAAGGCTAGAAATAAATAAACACTTACATTATAGTTATTATATTACTAAATTAACTTCAGCATATTTGCAGGAAAAATTAGTTTATGTTTTTAGATGTATATGTCTATATTAGTGTCTAGCAGATCAAGAATAATTTTTATTGTTGCACATATTCACATAAATCAATTTAATTGCATAAATAAAATGAAACACTATGATGTTTTAAACAAATTGAAAGAGGCAAACAGTAGAAAAAATGTTTGAACTACAGTTAAAAATCTCATGATGACCAAGCAACATAATTTCAAACTTCGAACAACACTTGATATAGAAATATGGCAAAAAATTTATAACAAATTTGTTTCATAAAAGGAAAGTTCCTAAGCTGAGCGCTGAGTTTATCGATAGCACCAGATCCACCTTTACGCAGAGCAAAAGAATGTCATCAATAAGCTCATCATTGAGAGTTTATGAATTTGTACAAAATCACTACCACCACCAGATTAATGTAAGAAAATTAAAATATTAATAAAATAAAAACATTCTATGTTTAAAAAATAATTTTTAGTTTTAATTAGTTTAAAAGTAACTTTTAAGATCAAACATTCATTCAATAAAAATACATTAAAAGGTTATCAATTTCAAGTTTGAATAATGCCAAACTTTACAAATAAAGCATTTCATTCTTTTCCAGATCTGTCATTAAAGAAATAGGATCCTTATTAAAACGAATATGACTGTTATGACGAATAGATATTACTCCATGAATTGTTACGTTGTTCTATGAATAATTTTTTTTCAACAGTTCTTAAAAACTGTTGTTTTTTATCAACGAACAGTTCATTTACATTTTTCAAAAGTAACAGAAATTCCCACCTCTAATACTATGGTGAAACCAGTTTTGATATATGGCTATAAGGTATGGACCTTAACAAGTAGCTTGGAAAAAAAGATATTGAAAGATTTGAGAGGAAAGTCCTCTGCACTATAATCAGAGCGAACTAAGATCAAAGTATGAACTAATGAAGGAGAAGGATCAATAAAGAGCTGCTTACAGAACTAGTCAATCAATATCTTATAATATGAAAGCAAGAAGGTTGAGATGGGGAGGACATGTAGCTTAGAACAATCTAACAGGGAGCCTCTACATAACAATTACTGTCTCAATAATTGACAAAAGACCATGACCATGTGGGAGGCCAAAAACAAGATTGATAGATCAAATTGACAAAGATGTTGCAGAGCTAACTTAGAAAACTGGAAAGCAATATTAAATATTACAAAGCAGATTTATAAATATAATGTGGATGTATTTAATATAATGTACTGTTAAGATTAGGCAATGCCTAATAATAAGATATATAATAACAATCATATAAATAAACATCATGCATATTTTAATAAATTTATTTATATTTACTGCAATTTAATTATTTGATATTTATTTTTAAAGTAACAATAATAATTTACTAAATTCAGCATAATTGATTTTTTATAACATTAAATGGAATAATTTGAGAATTATAAAAATAGTGAGTATTTAAAAACTCTTGATAACATTGAATTCAGAAGGTTTTATAATATTATAAGAAAATAGTTTGAAATCAAAGCTTCAGGATACATCTAGAAAGATATTCATAGTTAGACTATTGTACAAAGTGTGAAGGAAGAAGGTTCTTTGTTCAGAAAGTTAGTAATGAACAGTGATCTGTGTAAAGATTACATTTTTTAATCAACAAGCATAATAGGCATCAAGCATAGCAAGCATTAGTATTAAATTAATTTATATATACTGTGAAGTGAAAAGGTATATTGAAATTTTTGAAAACTACAAGACATCCAGTAAATTTTAAACTAAGGAGTGTAATAACGAATTATTAAGTTTATTTTTGTTATTTATCAAAATTGCCTGAAAAGTGTCAGAATATATATTTTTAAATTACATACACCTTCAGTATGCACTTACATAAATAATTAGTACATCAAATAAATTTTACCATAATCAGCAAACTTCTGTTTATTTTTATCAGAAACTTTGTAATGATATTTATAACTATCATCTGTTTGTGGTACATTTTTTTTCTGTAATTCATTTAATGAGTGTACATCCAAACTTATTCTTTCGACAACCCCACTTGTTTTTCCTTGACTTGCCAACTACAACAGAACACATTTTGTTATTAAGTAAAAAAAAAACAGTAATGTTACAACACAGGAAGGATATTTGTTTCAGTACTTGATAAGGAATTTTTGTTTCTAAAATTTAAGGTTATACTGAAGGTGATTTAAACATTCACAGCCAACAACCCAGGGGCAATGTGTCAGGGATTGGGCATATGAGCTATTGTTGGTATAACGGAAAATAAATTTCCAGCCACAGCCAGAATTAAATTCAATGATTTACTTACTGATCTATCCCACTGTTATCAACATAAAATAAACGGAATGAAACCACAGTTCGGATAAATTTTTAATTTCTTTAAAAATCTTTATGATACATTGCGACTTATTGTCAATTTGGAACCATAATATATATGATTAGTTCAAAAGGTCGTATGTAAAAATTGAGTTTTTTTACAGAATAGCATAAAGACCGATTATTTCTTTATGATTTATTAGTATATTTTCATATTTTATCTCCTGCTATTTTACTATTTAGCAGACTACTTATAGCAGTTGCATACTACAAAATGCCAAAGAGATTAAACATGTGTAACTGTTATATACAACCGTTTGCAATAACAGTAGCGACATTTAACTTGTAGCCCAGCTTCATATAAGTCCAACATCAATTTGGGCCTTTTATTTCTAATATTATCATTGTACCTTAGATTTTTCTTCCTTTTCTATATCATAATAATTATGATTGTATCACAATATAATATAAATAATTTTATATATAATATAAATAAATGTAATGTAAATATTACTTAGTGATTTTAAATAGTTGTGCGAAAGCAGTGACGTCACGAAGTACTGTCAAAAATGGACAAAGAAGCGGAGAAAGACAGATGGAAGGGGAAGCAATGGCCATAGGTTAAGCAGAAAGTGACCGGCCGGCAAATAAAGATCATCGAGACACACAGAGAGTGACAGGTGACCAATAAAGAGTGAGCGTCTAGATGAAGACAAGAAAATAGAATATTAGGAGAAGATTTGTACCTTCAACAACAATTAGATGAAGATTCACTGCAGAACAGGGTGAGTGCAAATTAAATATTGACAATTAGACAGTGCGCCAAGTGTTAATCCTGACAAAATGGAATGCAAATTCATAAATGTTACATACAATTAATGTATGACTTTATATTATATAATTGAGGAATGTGTGTTTATTGACTCAACCCAGCCTGAGAAATAATTTGTAATAATTTAAAATCTGGTATTATTTATTATAATTTACTTTTCAAAGGAAACGTAACCTAACAATATAATACAAATAATATTATATATAATATAATAAACAATAAATTGTGTTTAAGGGGAAAGGTCTAGATAAAAAAATAGCTGCTGTCACCCAGGTAAAATCAAACTACCATCCCCAGTTGAATAATACCATATCCCGTACAAATTTTGAGTCTAGGAAGTAATTTAGGAGTAATTCTCTAATTTAGGAGAGTAGGAGGTTACAAGAGCACAACACATATGAAATTAAATGAACAAACTATTGAGCCAAGAGGACTGGGCTAAAAAGTTGAGCTTCTGTAAATTCCTACTCTCCTAATACTAAATAGATATTTTCACTCTGGTACTGCTTTGAACAAGTAAAATAAAAATGAGAGTCACTAAAAACTTTTTTAAATAATAGAGAGAAATACAAAGTTAAGTAAATTAATATAAATTATAAAAAAAATCTGTGCAATACATATTTTTGGTTTATCAAGTTGGAAAAAAAATTAAGTTTTCCTGATATTTTCTATAAAAACAGACATTAACTACAGCAATAAAAAGTCATAATTAACTTTACATCACCCTCCTTTAATCATCTCCATGATTATGGAGTAGTTAAACACAACATATATGAGTAACTTTAATTTTCACAGATGGCTTGAAAATGGTGTTGTAACATTGCAACATTGCAACAATAGCAAAAATCAATAAAGTGGTTACATGCATACAGACCAAACAAATATTTTTATTCTTAAAAGTGATTTCTGGTAAATTGATTTTTAGAAAAAGCTGCTGTAATTTCTCAGACATACACTTATCTTAAATACATAATTTCAGTTTTGTAAAACTTTTTATTTTGAGCAAGGCTGTTTACATAAACACACATAGACCTTTTTACGATATTCTGTTTTAAAATTTATATTGCACCACAATTGAGATATATTCTGTTACAATTTACTATAGTACTGGAATAAAAAATTAATCTATTACAAAAAAATAAAACTTAACAAATTATTGATCAATATAACATTCTTATAAATACACAAGTTAAAAAAAAACTAAGATGTGTGCTTTAGACCACACGATATAAGTGAAAACATCAACAAGGCGAGATTAATAATATGAAACATAAATAATAGCTCATTACAAAAAAGATGAAATGCTGAACAATTCCCTCGCTTATAGTATACAGATCCGATTTTTTGTATCTGAAATATTTTAAGTTATATGTTCAACTAACCTCATTTGGTTTTCAACACTATTTTTCCTTAACGCCCCTCTAACATGGCATCATGTTAAGATACAATTTTGAATTATAGCCTATTACAGAGAGGTTGAAATTCTGAACAATTTTCATGCTTACACCATGCAGGCCCGATTTATAGTTTCTGAGATATTTTAATCCATATGTAAAAATATTTTAATTAGTCGACTCTAGCTGACTTTACCCGAGCGTTAATGCCAAATGAAATCTGACAGATCAATCTAATTCACTCTTCACAAAAAAGTGCAAAACACACCTAAAGATTTCACTTTTAAAAAAAATCGAAGAGGTTTTGATTGATATAAGTACAATTTTAATCATAAAGTAATCTATTAAGATTACCTTATCTATTATATTACCTCATAATCATCTGGATTACTTATGAACACATGTTTCATTAAGTTATATGAGTTAATACGTTTATGTTCTGAGCTAAGATCATTATCAGAAGAATCACTTGACGATGATAAACCTTCAAAAATTGACATTTTTAGAAAATATTATGACTGGTTGGTATATACTTATGGAGAACAATATGTATAAATAAACATATGAATTAAAATAAATAAATTATATTGAGTCAAGTTGATGAAATTTGCAAAAAGTTACTAAGGATGGTCTATTAGACTATAGTAAGTAAAACTGATATCTATAAATAAAATAAATAAAAGTTCAGTAAAACCTTTACTCGAAACCTCGCAAGGGAAAACGTTTTAGTTACAAAAGAACTGAAAACTTTTGAGAATAAAAGTTTCAGTCAATAACTTTTAAAAATGATACAAAAACTTTTTAAAAATAAAAGTTTTTTTCTGTTTCAAGCCCTGATATAAAGACTACATAAACTGAAAAATAAAGCAAGATAACGTGAAGAAAGTGCTAAATTTTATAAAGTTTACATTTAAACAACTAGAATATCTTCATTTTCAAGCTGGTTTTTTCTCTTTTTATTTCTAAAATTTATTTCTGAGATAAGTAGACTATTTTTTTTATTTATTTATTTAGAAATATAACAATCTGTAGACAATAATTATAGTGAGATATGACCACATTCACACCATATATACAGAAAACATAAAATTAACAAAAGTAAAATAACTAAATAATAATAAAAAACTAGAAAATAAAAAATAAAATAACCTGAAGATAAGTAAATTAAAAACATAAAAACACAGTTATACCTATATACAATCAGGGAGGGAACCCCAAACCAGGCTTGTCCCTCCAGCTATAGAGGGAAAAAGCAGGACTCCAAAAGATCTCTGCGCTACTTTCTCAACCGTATCACTGGTGCTACAGCCAGTGGAGACAGAGCGAGAGTGCTTTAGCCACATACACTCATGTCACTAGTGCTTAAGCCAGTGGAGAATGAGCAAGAGCGCTTTAGCCACATACACTCATGTCACTGGTGCTTAAGCCAGTGGAGAATGAGCAAGATCGCTTTAGCCAGATACACTCATGTCTTGAGTGGAGAATCTGGTCATTTCCAGAACTCCAGGGTTATATACTACAAAAGATCTCTGGGCCACTGCCGCTTCAACCTTCGAGGAGTATTCCCTGCAATACTGCAAGGGATGAGTGGAACTAGATAGGGATTATGCAAGCGGATTTGGATGATTTGTAAGGTTCTGATGGAATTTGGAAAAATTTTCAGGGATAAGATCTAGGATAAATGGAATATTAAGGTCGTGGTGTATGGTTTTGTTGGTTACATAGAACGGAACATCGGCTATTGTTTGGAGAACTTTCGACTGAAAGGATTGGATGCGTTTGATGTTAGAAAATTTAGCTGTCCACCAAAGTTCAAGTTCGTAGGTCCAGATAGGTTGCAGGATTGTTTTGTAGATCAGTAATTTGTTGTCGATAGAAAGTTGAGATTTTCTAATCAGTAGTCTGTATAATTGGCCATATCGTCTGCTAAGTTCTCGTCTTTTAAGTCTAGTATGTGGGTTCCACGTTAGTCTTCGGTCTAAGAGAAAGCCAAGATACTGGACTATGTCTGAGAAAAGAAGCTGGATGGAATTAAAGTGGACAGGTGGACAGGATCTGCGCCGGAGCGTTAAGGTAATGTGTTTGCATTTGAATTCATTTACTTTAATGCGCCATTTATTACACCAGTGCTGAAGCAGGGAGAGGTGTCTTTGCAGATTTAAGGATGCTATTTCGAGATCTGAGTTGGATGATAGGATGGCGGTGTCATCAACAAATGTTGCCAGGTTTTAAATATTATGCTCAAAAGCCTATGTTACAATCATGACCATTTTTATGAGATTGAGAATGGAACATATGCATGTTTTTATTTTAATTATTCTACATGTATTACAAAACATTTAGGTGAAAGAGTTTTCTACCAATCGTCAGTTCATAAGATATTTACTTACTGATAAGAATATCATGTTTGACATCTGAGGATAATATGATGTCACAGTCCGAAGATTTGCTTAATTTTTATCTATTATGCTTCCCCAGTATGCAAGTGTGGATTCACCATGAATACAAAATCTATGCATAATTGACTTTCCGATTGTAACAAAAAAAAAAAGAATTATAAAAGCAGTTGCCAATGGCAAAAAAAAAAAAAGCTTGACGATTTAATATTTCTCCATCTACCCTAGACTATCGCTGGACCACCGTCAAGTAGCAAAATGAAACAGTAAATAACTGGTGGCTTCCCTGAATTAGAGCATAAGTATAAGTTATTACTTGGTTTTTGCAGTGCCGACAATTACTTGTACCAGTTAAGGGAGTTATGATCAGGGGAAAAGGCAAATATTTAGAGGCTATTTTAGGTATTCAAAATTCTATAATGAGAAATGATATTTTCTGTGCTATTGTAATCCTGGATGCAATTGTGGATTGAGCGTGACAATTCCTCTGTCAGAAAAAAAATAACTGATTTCTTTTCCACATGAAGGATTAATAAGTATGTAAATATTTAGTTCATGTTTTTCATTAAACCTGTGTATTTTGTATTGTACACATTTTTAAAAATTAATTTTAATTCTGTTAATTTGAATTTTCCTTTTTTTTAACAATTAATAATTCTTTAAAAAATCTAAATAATTCATAATAAGCCTTTGGTTCCTTGCCATTATGAATTATTGGGATTGTATTGTATCGACATTTGCAATTTGCACCTGCGCAGCTGCGCATCTAGCAAATTTGTTGTATTTTTATTGTCTTGGTGTAATTGCTTGATTTTTTTTTTTTATTGATGTAGTAGGTCTCTTGGCCATTTTCTTCTTAATCTTCGTTGCTCAGGTAACAGGGAGCAGGAGATAGAAAGAACCAGAGGATTGGAGTGATTTTGGGTTGAAGAATGAAATGTAGTGTATTTGTCGTGGATGTAGGATTTTACTGTTGGGATGTTTAAGTCGTTATGTATAGTAGTGTTTGAAATGTACCAAGGTGCGTTAACAATTTTTCGTATAATTTTTGATTGTGCTGTTTGTATTTTGTTTATGTGTGTTTGTTTTGCTGAACCCCAAAGTTCTGCTCCATATGTCCATATTGGTCTCAGTAAGGTGTTGTAGATAAGTCGCTTGTTTCGTAAGTTAAGTGAAGATCTGTAGTCCAGAAGATGTGAAAGTTGGCTATATCGTCTAGTAAGTTCTTGTCTTTTTAATTTCGTATGTATGTTCCAAGTAAGCCTTTTGTCTAAGTAGAGTCCAAGGTACCGTACATAGTTCTTTGAAGGCACTGGATTATTGGCAATCGTTATGGGTGGACATGAGGCTTTCCTAAGAGAGAAACTAATGTGGGTGGATTTTGTACTATTAATTTTGATTCTCCAGTTTTCAAACCACTTTTCAAGAGAATGAAGATGGTTTTGTAGGGCAATTGATGCGATAGTAGGATTTTTGTGTGAAGATAGAATAGCAGTGTCGTCAGCGAAGCAATAAATGGTGGTATTAGGGTGCTCAGGGATATCAGAAGTGTATATAGAATAGAGGATTGGGCTCAAGACGCTACCTTGTGGTACGCCTTTGTGTTGGGGAAAGAAGGAAGATACAGAAGAGTCTACGGAAATACAGAAAAATCTATTAAGAAAGTAGGATTGAAGAATTAAAAAATAAGTGGAAGGTAAGTGCGGTTTTAGTTTCCATAATAGGCCCTTGTGCCAGACACTATCAAATGCTTTCTCTATGTCGAGAAAGACGGCAGAGCAATATTCCTTTTTTTCAAAAGTCACAGAGATAGCATCTACTATCCGATGGCACTGTTGCACAGTAGAGTGATAACAGCGAAAGCCAAACTGGTGATTTGGTATCACTTCACTATATTCTAGAATAGGCTTCAGTCGGTTTAGTAATAGTTTTTCAAATAGTTTGCCCATTATTGGAAGAAGTGCTATAGGACGATAGGATGAAGGAGAAGTGGTAGGTTTTGAAGGTTTGGCAATCATTTTGATTGTGGAGAGTTTCCAAAGGAGAGGAAAATAGGTAGTGCGTAAAATGGAGTTATAGATATGTGTAAGAAACAAAACAGCTTTTCGAGGTAGGTGTCGAAGAATGAAGGGAGTGATTAGATCATAGCCAGGAGCTTTTTTGTTTGGTAGTCTGTTGATTTCTTTGTAAATTTCTTTCGGATGAAATGCCGGTGGGGGTAGTGATAAGGGTAGTGGTGTTGTCAGTTCTTCTTCTATTGCGTCAGTAAAATTATTGTCCTGTATTCTGTTTGTCCCAAATACTTGTGCAAGATATTTAGCGAATTCATTGGCTTTTTCTTCGCTTGTTATTGCCCAAGTGTTGTCTGTACGTCGGAGAGGGTATTGAAGGTCTTTTTTCTTTAGTATACGTCTTGTTGTTGTCCATATTGATCCATTTCTATTGTTTATTGTGTCTATGTAGTCTTTATAGCTGTCATTTTTAAATTTTAATAGTTTTTCGTGAAGTTTTCTAGTTAGTTTGTTGAGTTCTGTTTTGTACGATGGATATCTAGTTCTTTGCCATAGGGCTCTAATCCTACGTTTTTCTTTTATAAGATTATGTATTGGCTGAGGTAGGTAAGAAGCAGGTTTAGTGTATGTCTTTGGTGGTCTCGTTGAATGCCAAATAGCCTCTTGTATACTTTTTGTTAGGTCGTTGACTGCATTGTCGAGGTCGTCAGCTGTACTAATTAAAGTGTTTAACGTAATTTTGTTGTTTAAAAAATGTTTAAAGTCGTCCCAGTTTATGTAACCGTTAATTAATGTCGGGGGTTTGGGTTTAACGAAAGGGTTGTTCGAAAGTTCAAGTAAAATTGGGCTATGATCAGATGAAAGGTCAAGGAGAGAGGAAACGTTGGAATGTGCATGTGGTAAGGAGCTTGTGACAAAGAAATCAAGAAGATCGGGAGACTTTGATAGTGAAGTAGGCCAGTAAGTAGGTTGAGATGGCGAAATTACAGAAAATTTCAAATCTTCAATACATTTTTGTAGTCTTTTTCCACGAGTATTGGACACTCTAGATCCCCACCTTGTGTTTTTTGTTTGTTTGCCAATACGAGAATAATATGAGATATGATGAGTACATACAAGTCAGCTTTGGCTCCCCTTATTTTCCAAATTTGCAGGAGTAATTTTTTTTTTAAATCCTAATCCCTTATATGACTAACAGTTGGAAAAGTTGACAAATTGGCCTGCATAAAATGATCCATGACTTTAAATTAGAATCTATAAAAAAGGAAGAATAAAAGATAACAGCAATGCCTACTGAAAGGTAACACTAGTTCTGTGTTTTTAAAAAAAGTTTTTAGATATGCTTCTCACACTTTTGTTTTTCCGAGAAGTATTACCATATTAAGTTTCATCCAAAATCAAATGATTCTCAGTAAGTACTTCAAAATCTACATTCATTAATGGATAATTTACAACTAACTACTTTTACTTAATTTAGAATGAAACATGATTTTACAATTCAAGGTATCATTGATAAAACCGATAAATATAATTAACATTTAGTCAAATATTAATTTACATAAAAATTAAGGTTTAATTTTATTAATAAAACAATTTTATACACCTAAAATAAATCCAATCAATTGAAATGTGCATAATAAATGCCTTTGGAGTCTAAATATAGACAAAAATCAAATGTTGGCCAAATTTGCAAAATAAAAACTTGGCAAAAGATTGACAACAACTAGTTCCATAAAGAGATTTATTCATATTATTGAAAAATTATGCAAAAAAAAAACATGCATATCCATATAAATCTAGACATTAATTATCATGGTCCGTTTCCTATAGAAACAATTGAGCAGCGCAACTTTAGACAACTTTCCTTCACATATATCTTCTTAATTTTTCTTTTGATTATTAGTGATTAACAAAATAAAATATGTAACAAATAAAATCAATAATCTAGTATGGCTAGTTATCTGAGAAATAAGTTACTACTTCTTCTCTCCGCAACAGTTTGTCTTATAAATAATCATTTAAAAAACTATTCTGATAATAATGAATTTATAAATAGCTGAATATAAAATTGTTAACATGAAATCTATGGTAATATAAAGATAATCATTTACAGATCACCTGAGATTGTTTTTTTGCTTCTTCATATTTTTCCATATCCACTGTGAGTCCTTTTTCCTCAGCCATCAGTCTTGTTAAATCAAGTGGAAAACCATAGGTGTCATATAATCTCCAAGCAATATCACCTAAAAACAAAGTTAAAAGTATATTTTTAGTATAATTTTAATATTATAACCGTAGTTTTCAAGATTTGATATAAATTTCATGTTGTTTGTATTTGTATAAGAATAGAACAATATAAATACATCAAAACTATTTCATAATGAAGATTTTTCAAATTACAGTGTTTTGAATGTGAAACTTATGGCACAATAATAAGAAAAATAATTTAAGTGATATGATTTTTTTTTTCAATAGCTGTTAAAATGAAGCCCATAATAAAATAGATTCCCTAGAAACCTATAAGTTTACTTGACAGAGATATTTTGTCAATTACTATACCCTTTTTGTTTGAATCGCAAAGCATTCCATCATTGAACATTTGCACACTTGGAATGAATTAGGATAGATACCTTTTTATCATATGAATCATGGATGTACTTAATAAATTCATGTTTTGTTCAACCAATGAAAAAAAAAATCCTATAAATACGACACACACATTATATATTTGTGTGTGTGTATGAGCAGGGCAGCTCAGTGAGTAAGGCAGTGAATTCATAGGGTTGAGTCTGGCTGAGGCAGATATTTATTTATTCTGTTTCATCAGCTGTTGACACTGAAGTCGGGAGATCTACGTAGTGCATACTTAGCCTTTTTAAGGTAAGTACCCTTAATTAATTAATTGATTAGGGGGGAGGGAGAGGAGGAACCTGGTGGTGAGAGTCATCCCGACCCTATCACCTCTCTGCACAACTATTAGTATAGAAATAGTACTTTCTTACAAAGTACTGAACCCAACCAAAGTATCAAACCTTCATGGGTAGTAGTCGTACAAGATTTGTAAATATATATACAAAATATTATATGTAATAATATATAAATGCATAATTAATAATCTAAATATTTTTTCAAATGTCTATTATATTTGAATTTGTGAAAACAAGACCTTCAATATTTAAATAAATTATAATTCATCCACTGTTAATGTTAATAAAAGTTAAAACTGAGAGACCTAACCAGGGAGAATAAAATAAGCAGCAATATTAGCATATTATTTTATTCTATTCTTAAAACATTGGAATTGTAGACTTAACAAAATTATTTGGTGTTATTTTTATGAAAAATTAATTATGTTGAATTACCTGGAATAATTGTTTTTTCTTCAAGTTTGGAAATAGTTCTGTTAAGCAAATTCCTTCCACGAGTCAATGTTTTCAAGAATTGTTCTTCTTCTTCATTAATTATATCAATAATGTGCTGAGGATCTTTTTTCAGCTACAAATATACAATTTGATGTAATATAAATGAATGTTATATTAAACAATAATTAAAGATTTTAAAAAGAAATATCTATCAATTTAATAAGGTTATTAGAAGTGATGTTTGTTATTTAACTGAATCAATTCTTGAATTAGTTTTTAATATGAATACAAAATATTTAATAGAAAAATTAAACGATGCACCAGATGCCCTATTTCAGACAATTTTTGATTTCGGGGTGTACTGATATGTTGGACTTCAAAGCAAATAATATAGAAAGTGTCAGCATTAGTCAAGAATGTTAGGCAGTATCTAAGTGAAAAGTCGTTTGATGATTGGGGCAACTGTAAGTGGTAAGGAATAGGTGTGCTCCATTTTGGGTCAAACAGGCGAACAAGTTTCTGTAAATAACTTACTGAAAGGTAATTTTAAATAATTAGTTTTGGCGGGAATAGGCGAATAACCTTCCGCTTTTATATCAGGAATTTAGGTTATTTACACTCGTGAATTATTAAAACAAAACCCCATCACTGGATATAGACTTTTTGAGGGTGTTAACTGTTGTTGGGAATTCGGGAATTTAATACCTTTTGTGACACTGAGTGAGAAGAAACAATAAGAATATATATTTGAAATGTGGGACTTAGTAAATACACTTTGAATGAATTGACTCACCTGGTTTGTTATTCTTCAATCGTGAGGCATATATGACAACTAAATAAAAGGACTTTCACTCCTGTCTAACAAAATGATTTCCTTCTACAACTGTAATAAATTGACTCTATTAAAGTATTATAACTGTAGACTTGATCTTCTAAATCTTGTAGTAGCCTCTCTTCCCAAGTATGTGTCCCGCCTTTATCTTCAGCCTCAAGAGCTTGGCGCCGTCTTTCAGCTGCTGCTACCTGATCGGACCTTTTTCCTTCTTTATCGATATGAGATTTTACAATGAGCAATTTGTCCACTGCACAATTGAGTACAATTCACAGTGCAACCTCGCATTCCTATATATTATATATTCCTTCTCATTCCCTCACACAATGTCAACTAAAGGAGTAAATACAGAGGGATGTCTACTACATTTCTGTATGATAGGAAGATTCTTATTAAAATTATAATAATGAATAAATAAATTATAACATTAGGTACTACCCAACAAGCAAAGTGGGTTCAAATATTTTTTTAAAGAGAAACCAAGTTGAGATATGTATTTCTCATCTCAAAAAACCACAAGTTTTATAGCAAACAAAAAAAAATTTTTTTTCACGAAATCTGAGCCAAAGGGGACCCCATTGATTTTTTTTCAAAAATCACAAAAAATGTAACTTCAATACGACTTTAGCTATCTATAGGAAATTTAGCAAAGGTTTAGGGCCACATAAACTACACAAAATGACACCAACAGGACCTTCACAAACAAACTACAAATGGAGATAAACAATAAAAACTTATAAGAAGTTTTTGTTTATTTATTCCTTATGTAGACATTAAATCAAAAAACCATTCATAGGGCTTTGAAGAGCAATAATTCAGCTATCTATCGGATATAGTAACATCCAATTTGGAGAACATCCTGAGGAGTTATGAATGATTTAGTGGATGAATGGTTTGCAGCAGAGAGAAAATTCCAACAGTGAAATAGTAACGAGGTTAGGTATATATAACGATATAACTCTTACGTTCTTATATATTATTTCTCAAATATATATCCCTTTTCCGGCTCTCAGGAGTGATGGATTTTGACGAATGAGGTATCAATAGAAAGGTAATATCACGTAGAGTGCGCGAATCATGAATATTTGAAAGCTTACTAAATTTCCTACAAAACGGAAAAAAAGTCATTGAAATCGGACAATTTGGTGTAGAGTTATAGCTTTCTGAACACTTATTATTTGTTACACTGCAAAGATTGTGTTGCATCTGGGTAGTTATTTATCAAGTTTTCATAAAATTATGGATGTTGTTACATTGGTCGAATTGCTGTCTTCAGAAGAAGAGGCTATCAAATATTTTGAAGATGCCACATAATTGAAAATGTGAAATATTGTGATGAAGATCATGAAATGAAGTTGGATGGGAAGACGAAATGAAGATGCTTTCTTACTTGTAACAAAAACGTTTCTATAAGGAAAGGAACATGGTTAGAGGGGTCGAGGATTTCTTTACTAACGGCTTTAAAATTCATTTATGGGTGGTCCCTTAATTTAACAACAATCCAGTGGGGGAAAGAGCAGCTGAAACTATCCGAGAGATGTTGCCGTAGTGTTTATTTTGTATGTGCATATGTTGTTTAAGTATTTTTTTATTATTACATTTGTTTTTGTTTACAATTTCAATAATATGAATATAATACAATAAATATGAATACAAAGATATAATATGAATATCAACAATATAAATATAAGACAATAAATATGAATACGAAGATAGGAATTATCACTGCCTTATCAGAATTAGCAGTGTCAAGGTTATAAACGTTGGCAGTTAACAGTACGACCCGACTGGCTATTTAAGGAGTACCGTTTATGATTATAGGAATGGATGGTACTAATTTAATATATTCAGTACAAATGCAAACTTATAAAATCATATATATTGTCCTTAATCTAAACAGACTGTTATAATTACTAATAAAAATCATTAAAATAAAAATAAATGGGATATAATCATGAAAGTAAATATAATACAAACCTCTGGAAAAGTGTCACCCAATAAATCAATGACTATGTGGACTAAAGATCCAAAAAAACCTGGTTTAGCATTCAATTTTTCAGTTCCATATCTGACTGCCCTTCTTAAGATTCTCCTCAAAACATACCTAAAAAAAAAATTAAATAAGATATAAAAGATTTACTAAGAACAATAAAAAAAAAGTTAGGGATATAACTCAAGTTACATTTTGCAACATAATAAAAAACAAAGTTGAAAATATAATTATATTGAAAAAGTAATATCCTTTTTCAGGATCGATCTATGCTATAATAGTGACTTTTGTTATAATTTATATTAGAAATTACCATACTTTATTTTCAATTTTTTTTTAAATAGCTTTCATTAGAAATTAAATGAGCTTATCATAGCAATTTGCTATGCTTTTTTAAATTTACCTCCATTAACCTGACAATCTCAATATTTTGGCATTACAAACCCCAATAAGGGACCAGATTAAGGAGATCATAATTTAAAACAAAAAATTATGTGGCTTAACACTTCTCTCTGTTGCAAAGACATTCTTTCTTCCTTCACATATCTTTTATTATCTTCATTTATAAATTTATTTAAAAATATATCTTCCAATTTCTTTAGTACAAATCCAAAAGTCACTGACATGATTCACACTATTGATGTTTCTGACCTCTGCACAAATTCCCCTAGAACTACAGTGTTTGACAAATCCTTCATTAACTTTGGTACATCCTTAGGGAACTCATATCCTTAGTTAACAAACAAAAAAGGGTCTAAACACTGCTTTTCCTTAGCTAAAACTCAATTTTTGACATCCCGTTAAACTCTTAAGGTTAACACTTTTACTATGTTTATTATTTTATTCTATCTTTTATTTTCTTTGTTCATATTATTATTATATCATCTTTTTATTTTATTTTCATTATTCTATGATATTGGTAGCTATATTTTATTTTATATTATCCTTCATTTGTTTTTTATTTTTTTATCATTTACTTTCTTAATACTTTTATCTCTAAGAGTTAAAAGCAATAAGATTATTTTTATTCTTTATCACCAATTTTACCTATATTACGCTTTATTGGTTATCAATTTTCTTTTTACTTTATTTATTTATTGCCTCTCCTGTCATGTCATTTGTTATTCTTTTTACATTCACAATAAATGTTTTATCACCATAGTATGTTTGTTACAGTTATTACATTCATAATTTAATATTAAATGCTTTATCAATATAATTTTTTTATCTATAATTAATCGGCTATTAATTCAGTCATTTTATAGTTTCAAATCAATAATCCTTTGTCATATCATACATTATTTCTTAAAAACCTATTACAGTTTCATAATCTTGATTTTGACAGCTCTTCAAAGGCTGAAATGTGGGTCAGCTTTCAATAAATAATTCTTACAATTTATGAATTTTTCACTCATTAGCCTCTCCTTATATAAGCAATATGGTCAACTAATTAATATTTAATCGAGTATCGATTCTAAGCTAATTCTAATACAAAAGTAATAATTTTTCATAAATGTAAAATAATTCTAAAGTACTCTTGAAACTTATTCAATCATACTAATAAAAATGATACACAGTTCTTATCAGTAATATTTCCTCAACTACCTTAGTTAGAGCAATAATGGAAATTAACCAAATGACAGTTTTAAAGGTCTCTACTTCCACTTCTTAGGAGACCCACTGAGGTCATAAAATTGATTTAAAAAAAATAAAAATTAGTTCCATCAGATTTGTCGGCACCTATTTTTTAGCATATCACTATAGCTATTTAACTATCTACAATTAAACAATTCTTTTAAAAAAGTTAAGAGCATTAAGGAGTCAGTTCATCATGAAGAACGCAGAGAGTTTCAAGAAAAATATTTCTGTGGTTAATAGAAAAATAAAGAGAGCAGAAATTAATACTACATATAATGAGAGAAAGGTTGGATTAAGTAAAATAATTTATTTTACATTGGAAAGAGACAAAGTAAAATATTTCCTATTCACAATTTATATTCTCGAAGAAAATTCAATTATAAATAAAAGATATAATTTTTATGGGTGATAAATATTCAGGGCGCAGTCTTTTAAATTAAATTAAATTTTTTATTTGTGCCAATGTTTCAACTCAAACATGTGGGTCATCTTCAGGCGTGGTTCGAGCACTTGGCAGCACAGGACTGGCTCGAACCATGCCCTGAAGATGACCCACATGTTTGGGTTGAAACGTTGGCACAAATAAAAAATTTAATTTAATTTAAAAGACTGCGTCCTGAATATTTATCACCCATGATATGTAGAACATTCGACTAGCTTCCTTCAATGATATAATTTTTAATAAACATAAAACTTTATGATGATACTTAACTTAATTAAGCATCACTACTTAATCTAAAAATACTGATTACATACCCACGTCCTGTATTGTCAGGTACACCACCATCAGCTATTGCTATAGTTAATGTGCGAGCATGATCAGCAAGGACCCTGTAGGCCATGTCTCTGCCATCAATGTCATCCTTCCCAGTCTTACCTTCATATGGTGGTGATCCGGTGCCCTGAAAATTGAGGTAAGCAATTTAATCAGGGAAATGATTTTTGAAGAATACAGAAGATTAATTAGCAGCCATAGAACCTCATTGAATTTAGAGTATGTTTAATATCCATATAATGGAAAACTAAGCAATCCCCTTTTCAAAATACAAGAAAAAATTATCAAAGACTAAACAAATCCCAGCTGTTCAATTTGAAGGATCTGAAACTCTGTACAAAATTTATCTATTAACTACCTAGTAGATTTGGAAAGGATATCAGACAGCCTTAAGACAGTTTACTACATGGCATATAATAGGCCAGTATAGGACAGATAAAAAAATAATAACTTCAAATATTTCTTTTATACTTGTTCATCCCCACCCATAAGGCTATACAGAGTTTTACCAGGCCAGGGGGTATGAGTGGGGATTTATAAGGCTCTCCCGGCACCAGGACGCGAACTCGTGATTATTTTAAATCCATTGTCTCACAGATCAGGTTGCCGGGCAACGGCAGTGCTGTGCACACGTTAGCCCGTTCGGCCACCCCGCCCAAGGCGTCTGTCTGGCTATACTCAAATCGATATGACAGGCATATCACCTACTATCTTTCACCTGATTTTCAGGTGTTGTGCGGGTTGGTGTCTAGATGGCCCCATATCAATTTTATCAAATTCCACCCAGCACTTCCGCTTGCGCACACGTAAATATATTTTCGTAGGTATGCCAATATTTCAGAAACGGACCACTGGATTATGCTCAAAGTTGAAAGAAAGTGGGTTTTGGTAAAATAATGATTCTATATCGATTTTATTGAATTCTGTCATCTACTTTCTCTTATATAAGCGCAAACGCGTTTTCCTTGATATGTCTATATCTCTAAAGCCGCTAGTTCGATTTGACTCAAATTTAGAAGGAAGTTAGGGATTAGTTAACAGATAATTAAGTAATTATCAATTTTATCAAATTCTATCCACTACTCTAAAAAAAAAAAGACTTATACTTTCTGATCAGTAAACGTATTATTTGACATGCCTATAGTTTGAAAACGGCTTCTTCAATTTGATCCAAACTTGGAGGAAATGAGAAGATTAGTTCAGAAATTATCTAGTATCAATTTCATTTAATTATTAAAATTAATATAAATAACTGATAACAATATAATGGCTGTGAAATTTGGATGGCATTGATCATATGAAATATAGGGCAAGTTAATACAATATTTTTATGAGGTTATAACATTTTAGGTTTTATTCAAAAAGTTAATTTATAATATATTGCTTGGTCGATTCTAAACGTTACTGGCATGACACTTACTGCTTTCACTTAGATCTCATGTAATTTTTACTAAATTTTAATTAGCTCTTACTTATTTTTTTATTTTATTTACACCCTACCCTGCCGATAAGGCAATTCTTGTGATATCAGTAAAGTGAGTAGCAACGCTTGCGTTACAATCACTACTGCATTCAGACAATTACATTTAATTTTACAGCTGTGCACACAGCCTGACTCTTTTTTTCTTTTTGATCCAGCATCCTCTTCCACCCTCTCTGGCGTCTTCCGTATACATGTTCATATCTTCTTCACCAATGAAGAAAGTGGTTGACCCAACCATGTTCCTTCCACCCGTGATACGAATGCCTTGTAATTCGGGTATGTTTTCCTTGTCATAATTGAGGGAGATCGCTCTCCTCAGAGCGTAGAGGCCCCGTCTCCCACAACAACCTTAGCCCTCAGTGCCTAAAGGCGGTACAGACTAGGATGATATGCTCGGCGGTCTCCGCACTCTGCAACTTGGGCATTGGGAAATCGATGTTCTTGCCAAAAGTGTTAAAGTTGACCATTGGTGGTCAACTTTTTTTTTTTTTTTTTTTTTTTTTTGATCTTCCCTACCTCGCCTTTTAGCTATACGGGATTTTCCGGGCCGGGGGTGATGGCGGGAAATTTTAAAATCCCTCCGGCCACCGGTACGCGAACTCGTCATTGTTATATCATCTCAAATCTCCTGTATCCGGTTGCCAGGCAACTAGCGGTGCAGTTTAACACACGCTTTAGCCTATTCGGCCACCCGGTCCCCCAAAAGAATTGGTAGGGTTGACCGTGATACACACGCCTAAGCCTGAGTTTATGTATTCCATCCATGTCAAGGGAGTGCTAAACTTCTCTCCTTTTTTACTACACAATTAGCTCTTACTTGTTTTAGTTAGTAAAAAAAGTCTTATTTGTGATTTTGTTTGTTTCAATTGAAGTTCAACCAGCTCGTCATGGTCTCGATTTCCTCCTTAATCATCAAAGTTGTGTGAACTTCAATCATAATTTTATATTCCAGCTTAAATTAGTTTAGTTCTGACTGATGGAAAATATTGGTCTCGTTAACTCAGAACAAACAAAAAGTTTAATTTTTCCAATAGATTTTTTGTTTTATCCATTTCACTAGTGAAAACATACCTACCTATTAAGTATATATTGCTACTATTATGGCGAAAGGTCCTACATAACAATTTTCCATTTTTATTCTATTGGTGCTAAAGGTGACTTTTCGTAACATGCAACTGATATAGGCTGCCTGGTACAGTGGAAAATAAAATATGAAATTCTACTAATAAATCATAAAGAAATAATTTGTTTTTTATGCTCTCCTCTAAAACACTCGATTTTTACATATGACCTTTTACACTCACAGTAGGGATATAAATCTTGAGTATGTACTGGGATTTTTTTTAAGCATGATTTATCAAATAGGTGATTTGCAAATGTGGAACTTTTCCGCATTTTAGTATTCGCTGATGAACAAATTTGGTGGATATCAAACCCACAAAGGTTAACAAGTTACTATAAATTTTATTCTTATACTAAAAATTATAGACTTTGAAATATATATATTGTTTATCTAATGAAAACGACGAGGAAGCTATACTGGCCTTACTTGGCATACTTTTTTTTTTTTTTTTTAAGCTAGTATAAAGCATCATGGCCTAATTAGGCCCATTGGACAGCATATTATAACTTTAGATTAGGATAGTTATCATTCCCAAACTGAGGCAATCATCCTTGGGGTATGTTGCTTCAATAAATATACTTTCTGACTCTTCAGGTGTACTTGCCTGAATATCTCCATACTTAAGAGCTGCTAATGTCTGCAATGCCCTCAATTATCCTATAGCCATTCTGAATGAAATACCCCAAAGATTCTTTGAAGATTCACTATAATGAAATCGTTCCAGGTTCTCAGCTTTTACGAGCGCACTTTACTGTGGTTAACCCTAGCCTTGGACATGTACAAATTATGAAGTGTAGTGAGCCTCTTGTAACATCTGCTCCTTTGGTATGTCCAACGTGCCTTGTAGAGGTCTCTCTTTAAAGCAGTTCCAGCGTGCACTATTGTTTTAGCTTTTACCTTTCGTTGTTGGAGAGTCCTTTCGGCGGATGACATCTGTAATTCTTGATACACTATAATCCAAGTCATCCTCTCCATCTTGGATCGCCTCTTCCCATTCTTCACCAACAAGTTCGCCTTGTAATATACAACAGAAATTCCCTCCTCTGGTTACATAACCTTTATCAAAGCCGTGGGAAGATCCTGGTTTTTCTCTCAGGACAAATAATATGGCATTGTAATTGGAACTTGTCTCAGATTTGAGGGTCCAATCAATACCTTGATAAAACCGGTGAGATCATGGTCACATCGATCCAACTCTGCCCATAGTTCCAGAGAATGTTAGCAGTCGACAATGTTACTTCTGTCAGGTAGGTAAGCTGATATTAGTGTGAAGACAAGGCTTCCCCACCTAATAAAGCATGTAATACAGTCCACCATGGTGTGTTGGCTCAGATCCTTCACGTCGAGGTTAGGGTTATTAACCACAATGGCTGCCCTGGGCCTCCTCTCTCCACTGCTCAGGGCTATTACATCCATGTCCTACAAAATCCTTTGACCATGTTTCCACGGCAGCATGGTTATTGGATCATCATGATATCATACCAATGAACCATAGCTTTAAGCTCTTCTGCGACAATACGCTTGCGGGCCATGTTCAGTTGTAGAATGATTATCCTACTCATATTGGGTTTTTTTGGCTATTAAGAATTAATAACTAAGAATCAAACAGTTTATTATCCTCCAGTGCCTAAGTCATAATCATAATTTAATTTAAAAATTTAAATTGATAAAACAAAGTATAACCAAAAAACAATCTAAATACAAAATGATTAAAGTCGAGTTTCGTTATTACTTCACAATATATTTTTTTAAAAACTCTAAATTATAATTTCTGAAGAAAATTACCTTTTGTATTGCAACAAATAAAGGTTGAAAAACGTCAGTGTCATAATTAGACCTTTTATTTTGAATAACAGAAACAAGTCTCTCAAAACCCATCCCACAATCAATATGTTTTCGTGGAAGAACTTTCAAGCTTCCATCATTTTCTCTGAAATAAAAACAAAATATTTACCAAAATACATAAATCTACAAGCCAGTATAGTGAACTGAGAAATATTTTTTAAAATATTAAAGTATATAAATATATGATAGATATACACACATATTTATAGATATATTAATAATGTAAAAACTTAAAATTTAAAATAATGTAAAAATGTAAAATTTAATGAATTTAGAAATTAATAAAAATTAACTATTAACTAATTAGAAATATCAACTATCATTGTAACATTTAATTTAGTTCAGTGGCAATAAGAATTGGATAACTTCACAGTGGAGCAAATTAATTTAACTTCATTTTCGGAAATGGATTTTATTTTTTCTTTCATATCCCAAGATCTGTGGGTTTTATAAATGTGTCGTAACAACAGATAACAGCAATTTCTACTAGTTTAAGTAGAAGGCTGACTCTTGCCACACAAGAATATTTGATGCATTATAACTTGGGAACCAACTGAATCACAGTCATCAACTTTGTGTCATATATTTCTATCATTAAGGAGTATAAACTGTAACATCTCATGTTTCACTCAGTTCCTACTGAGGTAGTCTGTTGATGGTTTCTGAAAATTTATGTTTAAAAAAGAACAAAGTTCTTCAGATTGAAATTTCTTTAGCAATAAGCACAGTGATAGGATAACACAAGAAACAGAAATCAAAGGTGAGTCTGTTTTCATTGGTACACTTTTAAATTTTAATTGCCATTAGTTTTGTTTTATTATAATTTTCTTGAATATTTTTAATCACTTTTCTCACTTCTTAGGTGATGTAATTCTTGTAAGACAAAAGAGTAGAACACATCATTAACATAATTTTAGTTTCTATTTTGATTTTATAACTGCAAAATTAACAACGTTATAGATGAACAAGAGAAAATAAATTTTAATAGTAATATTAAAAAGAATATCTTATTTACATATTTACAAGTGTCCTGAATTAAGAGATATAAGAATCAAAGCTAAGACTGAGGATGAATTATTGATGTGTAAGTCATTTTATATCCAAAACAGCAATAAATAATAAGAAACAGTGTAAACTTGTGTTCAATGACAAAATACCTCTATGATTGAGTGTTGGAAGAAAGACAAAAGATAACAATGCTTTTTAAATGAATATTAATATAGGGTTGTCCAGAATATAATGCAGGATTTTGGTTTAAAGAGAAACAAGATGGGACCGTTCCAATTGACCAAAGATAGCTTCATTATTGCCAATTTCTGATGCACTGCATTAATTTGGTTACAGTACGATTCGGCATTGATGGTTTCTCCAGAATTTAAGAAGCTGTAGTGTATCAAACCAAATGAAACACACCAAACACTAACCATTACCTTTTTTTGATGAGTTGGGGGCTTTGGAAAATGTTTTGCTGCTTCTCCTTTGTCGAGCCACTGTCCAGAAGGATTGTTTTTGTTTTGACAAAAAAGTGAAGCACAAACTTCATAACGCTGGTTTGCAGTTGTTTAATGGGCATGGAATCCAACTTTCAAGTTTTTTTTTTACCTTTCCGATTGCCTTGAGGTGGTCATCAATGGTCGATTTCCTAAGTTTAAGTTTCCCTGCGAAAAAATCCAGCGTTATGAAATTTGTGCTATACTTCTTCGCCGAAACAACCACAATCCTTTTCTGCAAGTTCTCGAACAGTTGTTTTGGGATTTTCTTCCACCGAAGCCTGCAGAACATCGTCATCAAGAGAGGAAGTCCTTCCACGACCTACTTTGTCTTTAAGGCTGAAGTCTTCCTCCTGAAATTTTTGGAACCATTGTTGAACAGTGTACTCATTAAGATGCTCTCGTCGCAGACTTGAATGATGTTTCTCGGCGTCTGGGGCCAAAAACAAAATTATATGAAAACCATGTGTTGACATCTTAGTAAAGACTGAATTATTTCTAAGCAGCGAAATGCTACAGAGGTAAACAAACATTATCATTTGTAAGAGGATTAATAAATGTTGACATTCATAAAAATGAATAATCCAGTAAACGTAAACAGTTTGTTACATAGAGGAGAATTTTAAAGAAAGCTCAAAATTCTGCATTCTTTTTCAGACAACCCAATATAATTTGTTTAACGGCAATCGAGTAGAAATACATTCTATACTATTATTAAAAACTATTGTTAGCATCAGTTTTAAGGCATTGTTTAAAGATAGCGGTCTAGTACACCAGTGGGGAACCTGCAGCCTTCATGAACTATCTGATAATTCCAAATGCTTTTACTCAGTTTTCATTAATCTAGAACTTGAGTTATTTAGGTTACAAAAAATTGAAAATTAATATAATTAAGTTGAATATATGCATATGTATATATTACCTATATTGCTAATCAGTACAAATATGTGGGCACACTAATATATATTTATCTACAATGTAATATGTTTACTTGAGCTTTGTTATTTTAAGTTTAGGGTTAGATTATTATATTACCTACTTATTTCTAGATTTTCTTATAATGCCAGATAAATGTCACTTAACTGTGCATTATAATTATTCTTAAGGGCCAGAAAAAAATTTACTTTTCTTTCATGTGGATGTGTATTTACTTATATATAAAAATTGTAACTGTAAAATATAAATAATTATTGTGGCCCCTATTACCACTACCTAACCTTACTGGGGCCTCTAATGATAAAAAGGTTCCCCATAGGTGGTCTAATAGTCTGGCGAATGAGACCACGGGTGCGCTGTGAGCGCTAGGACGATCTTATATGGGAGTAAATGACAAGACGGTGTACTGAATAAATCACAAGTCAACAAGAAAAGAAGAGGCAGAAGGGTGAGAAGTTTTGAGAAAAGACAAAAAAAAAAAAAATGTGAGATGTAAAATTTTTTCCTTATATTACAGCAATGGTCAGGTAAAGGGTAAAAGTAAAATGTAAAAAATACCATGAATCAAATTGTTTCTTATTTAATTTTTTATACTAATCAGGTGATTTGACTTCAGGTGACATGCCCATCAATATGAGGAGACTAAAAACGTGCTGGATGAGAGACCTTCTTCCTTAGCAAACCATTGTAATTGATTCAAGCTAGGGAAGAGGTGCTATTGCTGGGTACTATCCTTCCCCATGCTTGACATGTCAGTTTTCATTACTTTAATCAGAGCATCTGCTGATTGTTAACGGTCGTCGAAAGGTGCAAATTGATATTGAAAGTTAAAAAAAAATTATGTTTATCTTATATTAAATAAAAAATAATAATCTTTTGAATTAATTATGAGTCATAACTTTTATTATACTATTTCTTTTAATAAATTTTGCTAATGAAATTTGAGTGTTTCACCTAAGAAGCCATAGCTAGCATATTAGTAATAAAATAACTCAGCTTTAAGTAAAGTAGCAAAGTGATATAACTTTTTTAACACACCAAATGAAAAAATATGTTAACTTTAATTTCTTCATTATGACTTTGATCAAGAAATTTAACTGTATAAATGAGCTTATAAGATAGAATCTCCTGAATTTGACCTACCGCTCATTTCTACAGGCATGAGACACTATAAAGATGCTAATGGAACTAAGTGACTCATTGAAAGTGTTGGTAGATTTTGTGAAAGTGTATCTACTATTAAATTGTGTGTGTGTGTGTGTGTGTGTGTGTGTGTGTGTAGGAGACTCATATTTGACTAAATATTTTAATTTAATTGCACAAAGAAAATTAAGGTTATCTCTTTCTAGGTTAAATTAAGTACATTTAATCAAAAGTGTTCATTGAAAGTTTATGTACCAGTCCAGTCCTTGATTAATAGCATTACATGATATATTAAGAATTAAATTTCTTCAACTTTCAAGACTAAAAATAGTAATATTCTCTGCCAATTTCTTATTGAATCATTCTTCAATCAGCTGGTTCTAATCAAAACTTATATTTGTCGTGAAGTCATAGGTTAGAAAAATTAATTCAATCAAATAAAATTACTGACACAAAAAATATAAAACTAAATTTTTAAAATTTACTTCTTCTAACCATAACAATATCAATTGTTAGTAATTTTAAAAAATAAATAAATATACATCAATTAGACCATTAATCTTACCTATTAAATTGAATAAAAACAAGGTTCCATATTTCAAGAACATCTGGGTCATCTTGATTTACTAAGTGTGGTACATCTCTTCCTCCAATCCGATCAAAATGAAGTTCAGAACAAGGACCACAAGGGCCCGTTTCACCCATTTCCCAAAAGTTATCTTTCATACTACCAGGAATAATATGAGATTCAGGAATCCTACACATTTATAAAAATATAACTAAAAACATACAGGAAGTAATGAAATAAGTAAATAAATATTATTTAAATCAATGTTTCCCAACAAATTGTTTTGAGGCCCTCCTTATCAAGTCCTCATATAGGCAAGGACTCCCTAAATATTAAAAATTATGAAGTTTGTTTTCTTTTAATAATAGCTACTGACACTTGCATAATCATGAATATATACATATATATATATATATATATATATATATATATATATATATATATATATATATATATATATATATATATATATATATACTAAGTATCCCTCAACTATCTGGAACTATGGAACTATTTAATAAAACATATTCCTATGATTATAACAAATATATTTCAATAAATATGTACATCAGTCTGTCGTATAATGATAACACTGTGAAACCCACAATTTCCTAAAAATCTCTTGTACTAATACGAGAACCATACTGTAATTGAATGAGGAAAGGCTTAGGGGAAACTGGAAGAATTATCTAACCACCTCTAATTGAAGATAAACCGAGGGCTTACATTTGGGCCTCCAAGGATCTATGCATTTTTCTCATTTCTCTGGCAAAAGAATGCTATGCCAGAAAAACTGTTGTTGTTTTTTGGCAAACACGTCACCAAGCCATTCTTGTACATATTCATAAGAAGTGACGTGCTGATGAGGAATTGTGTGCCCCAACAATGCAAATAAATAGTACAAGAGAAGAATGGTTGGGGTGATCAGTAAAAAAATAAAACAGTAAAAATAAATAAGTATATTTATTTTTAATGATATGGAGATGGTTGACCATGGATTCAATTTCACAAGAAATTAGTTGGGATGGGGTAAAAAAAAAAAAAAAATATATATATATATATATATATTTATATATATATATATATATATATATATTTTATTATATTGTCCAACGTTTCAACCTACGTTGTATGTAGGTCTTTCTCAGGGCTATATAAAATACAAAAAATACATATTAATTATTGTATTTTATAAAAACAATATATATAATTAATTATAGAAAGTTACAATATATGTAGATGTCTATTGACATTCAGTTCAATTGGGAAAAGGTAATGGATAACAACATTTGGATAACAAGCAGTATACTAAGAGGTAACAAGGAGTATATTAGTGGTAAGGAATAGAATCAGTGACAGGACAAATGTAAACGGATTAAGGTTAAATGCTGCCAAAACTCAGGCCATTGTCATTGCTTCCAAGCCCCTTCTCTGATCCCATACAGACTTTCCCATCCTACACTTTAATGATCAGCCAGTTTCCTTCTACTCCTCTGTTAAAAATTTAGGATTTTTCATTGTTCAAAACCTCTATTGGAATCACCATATTTCTCACATCTCTCGACGGACAATTTCCACCCTCAAACTATTCCATCGCTTCCACCATCTCCTACCTCAACATACGCGTAGACTTCTAGTTTCCTCTCTCATTTTCCCCCACTTTGATTACAGCTGTGTGGTGTATGATGGCCTCTCTGTGGAGCTCCCCAATAGACTGAAAGAATAATGAACAGCTCACAAGATTTGTGATTGGGGTCCCAAGATACTCCCATGTCTCTCACCACAACGCGGAGTTAGGGTGGCTTTCTCCCCTCCTTCCGAAGACAATAATTCCTAGGTACGTTCCTTTATCAAATCATCAACAATCATCATCCTTCTTATGCCTACAACCTTCTCCAGTTCAAATCCTCAGTCCATTTCCTATCCACAAGATCTCGACCTTCTAACTTTTACATGCCTTCTCACAGATCTGCCTCATTCCAAAACTCCTTTATTGCTCGCTCTGTCAATTTCTGGAATTCCCTCCCTATCAAAATTCGACATCCCATATCCACATTCAAAATCCTCCTATTCCAATTTCTATCCCAAAAACAGTCAGATAGTTGCTAACCATTTGACAACATATATTTATTTCATGTCATTCATTGTCAAATATCAATGCTATTCTTTGCTAGAGATATTAATTTTCTTATAGGGTAAAGCTTTTCCTACTCTTGTTGTCACTAAACGCATCTATTGGTAGTTTTAACTATTATCTTTTACACACCACTAAATTCTTGCCTATTGTTATGTTAAAAAATGATGATGATGTATTCATATATTAATCAACATTTAAATGATAAAGTATTTATAAATTAATCAGACACTGTATATTGCCAGGTTCAGCTTTCTGTTTTCTCAACAGAAACACAAAGTTTATTTTAATGAAGAATTTAATATATTTTTATTTTTTAATTCTTTATCGTTTTCTTGCTGCTGGTCTATCAGTGCAAATAGCTTTAAGTGTCTTGTCATAATGTTAATTGTTTTGTATACAGTTTCGTTTGTTTTGTATATAGAATGTTTACCTTATATTTTCTTTACATTATTTCTTTTTTTCTATTGATTTTATTTTGGCCAGATGTAATGTTTTAATATTGTTCTATTTCGTTATTCTCAAGGGACTGTATCCCAGAATAAAGCTATTTTCTATCTATCTGTCTATGTACTAAGGAGTAACAAGAAGTATACTAAACCTTAGTATACTCCTTGTTATGCGAATAATCTATTACCTTTTCTCAATTGAACTGAATGTCAGTAGTCGTCTCCATATACTGTAACCTTCTATAATTAATTATATATTGTTTTTATAAAATCCAATAACTAATATGTATTGTTTGTATTTTATATAATCCTGAGGAAGACCTACAACGTAGGTCGAAACGTTGGACAATATAATAAAATATAGTATTTTTTTTTACCGTACCCCTTCTAATTCTTGTGAAATACTTATTTTTATTTATGTTGACATTTCAGCCCAAAGTTCAGGCCTTAATCAGGGCTGGCCAAATAAATAGTAGTTGGACGGAGTCAAGTCTAGTTAGTAAGCCGCATGTGCTAATATTTCCCAAGTAAACGCCTTAATCCTTCACTAGTCCACAGTAAATTGGCCTTCCTGGCAAATACCTTGTTATTACCCTAGATCCCAAATTAAACTAGAGTCCTCATTTGGCAAGTTAAAAGAAAAACAACAGCAGTCTTCTGTAAGATGCGCTGACGTTACGTATGTGACAGGTAAGATGTGCCATAGGCTTTACCTAGAGTTTTAATCTAAGAGTTATGCACTAGATACACATAACAATAATAAGACCTAGGTTACAATATGGAAGTAAAGTGTAGTGGACAGCCCTACATAAGACTACTCACTCACAAACACTTTACTATATACAAAGAATAACCTATATTGGCATTACTAAATTGTTTCGCTCAGCACCTACTAAAGTCTTGGAAGTTGCACTGTCCTTGATACCACTACACCTATAAATGACATAATCACATAAAAATAGCCACATAAAGTAAAATAACCTAAAACTAGGAGTTACAAATCATGTTTTTCTTCTTTGTTGTGTAAGTTTATATTATATTTTAATTATTATCATTGCAAAAATAATTTTCCAAAAGTAATTGCAGTTAGTTATCGTATACGAAACCCATGCCCAAGGGATCCGCAGACCACCTGCTAAGAAATGTTGGCTTATATCAATATAACTTATATCTTAAGTTACTGTGCCTGCCTGAAAGTTGTCTCTTCAGAGTTATTGCCATTGAAGTGATTAAACGTAACACCTTTTAGTTTAAAAATTGGTGCAATTCGGCGGAAAGATACTCTTGCAGATTCGACAGGTATTTGGAATGCTTTTCGTTATGGAAAGACCAGTTGGCAACAATACAGTCTGCAATCACTCAGCAACATTGGGAGTAGTGTTAATTAGCGGTATTGCATTCTGATTGTTTTTTTCTATTCTATAGGGAATTGAGTCCTGATCTTAACATTTTGAAATTCGTGGATGGCTGTTGTTGGGATTTGACTGGGTGCGAGTTGAGGTGGTTGTTTAAACTCAGGTGTGAACTCCTTTATTAGAATTACATCCTCTTGACAGAGAATATATGGATTGTCCGCTCTGTAACCTACCAGGAAAGAAGGATCTGTTCCATTTTTTGGCTGAATGTTCAATACTTAGTCAAATTCGTATAGAATTTCTTGGAACTAGCCCGGTTCGAAATGATATCCTATTTTCTCTTCTATCCTATGCCCCATCTGTGAACGAATGTCATAAAATTGTCAGTTTTGCTCGACATCGAGGATACACCGTTTTAATTTGCTACATCCAGCATAGGCAATGATCCGTCTAATTTATTTGTGGTCAGTTTTATTCATGTTAATGTTAATGATTTCTCTTATTTTCCTTTATTATTATTTCTTGTATATAAATTATTCAAAATATTTATTATTTTATATTGTATTTGTTGTTTTATTATTTATCAGTTATTCATGTAAATGTAATTATTATAAAGTCTTTATTTGTACTGTACCTGTAAAACATATAAAATTTCCATCAGACGAATAATCATACCATATAAATGTTCTATGTACACTAACATTTATAATTTATGTATATTTAACAAAGCATTTCTCATTAGAAAAAAAAAATGTATATATATATATATATATATATATATATATATATATAACTTATATTTACCCTAATTCCAACCATATTTGTCGACATTCATCATCTGGCTGAAGACCTGAATCTGGATCTCCACCAAAATAAGTGACATAAAGCCTTTCCTTTGGCAGTGAAAATACTTCAGTAAGAAGTTCCCAAGACCAAGTACAGATTTCTTTCTAAGACAAATTATAAAATAAAATAGTACCAATGTTTTAAATTCTGTAAATGAATAATTAATTAAGTACATTGTAGTGATCACAGTAGAATGCAACCTAATAGTAATAGATCGGTAAGAAAGTGTCTACAGGGAGAGAGTATTTCTTCACATTCAGGCTCAGAATTGGGTATTAAGCATATCCTTCCAATAACCAAAGAACAGCCCCTAGATAGATGTCACCACTTGGTTTTACTCCAGCCCACATTTTCAAGTAACATACATTTTACTAAAGTAAAACTGAGGTTAAATGGGGATACCTAACAGCCTTGAAATAATAAGCTTGAAATAAGTAGGAAATTAAATTAAAAAAAAAAAAGAAATAACAATAAAATTAGATATTTATGTATATTTATGACCTTGGCCATTTCTCAAAACAATATCCACAAAATTCAGTGCAGGATTAACATATTAAAATATGTTATGCTACTTTGATATTTCATGAGTGTAGTATTATCCAGAACTACAAAGATCCGTCTATATAAAATACTATAAATGTTATCACATGTGCTATGGAGTATTTGAATAAAAGCAAAAATTTAGAACAGATTTTGGTAAGATTTGGGAGGCAGACTCTGAACAAAAATATTGGAGGCAATCTGTTTAAATGGATCATGATAAGAGTGGACTTTATGAACTTAGAGGAGTTAATGAAACAACATGAAGGTATTGTTAAAGTAATCTTATTGTTGAAAGTAATTTTGAAGTAAGTCTCCTCACATGGGTTGGGCTTGTAAGAATCCCTGAAGATCAAATTCTAAAGAAAATGCTTCAAGAAGAGCACAACAGCTAAAAAAGGAGAGACCAATCAAGCTTGTTGTAGAGGAAGAGTTGAAGATGCAAGACTAATCTCTGAGTTCAGGTATTGGAAAGTAGCAAGACAGAATCGGGATAGCTAGTGGTCAATGTTGCAGGAGACCCTATCCTGTGGACACTCATGTGGTCTCAACCTGGCGCCATATAAGAGGAATATATTGTTTATAATTAACTTATAATACTAATTTGTTTTCATTGTTTATAGTTTCTTACTCATCTTTGAATTAATTGATTTATGCATTGTATTTAAAGTAGTTCTATAAACAGAGATGGATATGGAGGGTTTTAATGTTATCTGGATAAATAATAAATGAACAAACCAACCACTCGTAATAAACAAGTTAAAGTTAAGATAAAACTTATTGAAGTCTTTTGATACACTGATACACATAATCTGTGGGCCAGACCCCCTTACCGTGCACCCCCCCCACATCCCTATAAATTGCATATCGTTGTGTTCCTTGTGACAATTTATTAAAAAAAAGCCAATGTTCCCACAAAACAAAGTGAACGAACTGCCCCAAAATGGCGTCCAAACATGGCGGATTGACGACTTTGACTTTAATTAGTTTTTTTGTTACTGAGAATCAGCATTTGGCTTAATTTCATTATAGTTGGTCTTTTATTAAAGCTGGATAGTCAGAGAATAATAAAACATGAAAAAATATTAAAAACTAATTGGCTTAGGCATTAAAAAAAATCGGTAAAGTCAATTTTTTTTACAAAAAAATTTTCAAGTTGAAAATCAAGCGTCGTTTGTAATTAAACGGTCAACAATAATGCAAAACGTGCTGAAATAAAACATCTGGAGAATACATTTCTCTTTCTAAAACACTGATTACTTTTTAAAATATTTGAAGTAGTTCCGTATAAAATGTACTTAAGCGGCAGAAAAGCGCTACTGGCGTGGGTGCCTACAGGCCTCTACCACACCACTCAGTACTCATAAATGGCTTAGTTATAGTGCTATAATAACGTTTTTGTTATATTTTATTGATTATATTAACGAACAAATATTAATACAATAATTTAATTGTAAAAAATTATTTTTTTTTAAATTTATTATTTTTGTTTTTATTTTTCATTATTTTTTTTTTTAATTTAACTTCATTTATTCTATACGGAGATCGCTTAAGAAGGCCTCTATTATAAAAATTATAAAATTATAATAATAAAACTTAATTGAAAAATACTTTGCAGAATATCTTGATTTTTTTATTTAATATTTGCAATTTAACATTTTGTTTTATATATTTACTGATTCTTAGAGGTAATTTAAATTGTATATCCTTCCCCGGAAATGAGTCATATTAATATATGTTTTATAAACTAAAATAATATATACCTAATCTGAACTGCTTTTAATGAATAGGTGATGGATTGTTTGGTAAAATTGTTATATCGCTATTAAAAAAACCATTTGTATTTCCTTTATTTTATTCGAAAGTTGGACCATATCATAAAAAATAGGAACTTTTAATATTAAAGTGCATTATTCCCTCTGCACAAAAGAAATATGGAAAGGGCGAAGCTATAAGTTCTTCTAGGTAACTGGAACTGATTGTTAGTATTTGGTCTCAAAATGAGGGTAAACGCCGAAATTGAACCCAAACATTGGAAAAATACATTAAGCGAACGACAAAGGAAGTGCAAAAATTTCGGAAAAGAAAACAAGGATCAGTATCCATTATATGGCTAAACGAATATATAGTAGACAGATGAACAGAATATTTCAAGATGCTGCTAAAAGAGGGTAAAAATGCTTGATGGGTTTGGATGATGTTAAGCAGGTTTATTATGGTGAAGAACACTTTATCAGCAAGAAAGATTTGCTCTAAGCAATTGGCAAGCAGGTCTGGAGGAAGTAAACGAGATTGATAATGGTGTAAACCACTTTATTTTAGATTGCTATTGAAGTTGTAGATTGGGACTATCTTCACTTTGAAGCAGGTTATACAGAGGTCTATTGATAAAAGGAAATAGCTCTGCTCCTCTTTAGTGCAATTGCAAAAGATTTGTGAATGAATCTGAAAGGAAAACGAGTTTTTGTGAAAGACTAGTAGATATTCGATCAATCCAAAGTGTGAGGCACTAAGCAGATAGAGAACCATTTTTCTTTCTCTGTGGACTTCTTTATAACCTACCTTAAAGTGAAGACAGTCCCAATGGTTTGCAACTTATGCTCCAATGTGCAACTTGAGTTTCTCAATCCATATCGCTCAGGCAATCGACAATATTTCTAATTTTAGCTTATACGATTCTTGAGTAGACTTTCTTTGGTACTATAAACAGTAAGGAATCTCGAATAACATTTCCTAGTATCTCATTTCCTGTAAAGGGACAAAACTACAGTCCTTCCATATCATTTTCTAATACATTTGTAGCCTTTGTACGCACAGCATTTCGGGTTACTTCTTCCAGACCAGCTGACTTGCCAATTGCCTAGAACAAATCTTTCTTGCTGATGAAATGGTCTTCACCATAATAAACCTGCTTAACATCATCCAAACTGATCAAGCATTTTTACCCCATTTAGCAGCATCTTGAAATATTCTGTTCATCTGTCTACTATATATTCGTTTAGCCATATAATGGATACTGATTCTTGTTTTCTTTTCCGAAATTTTTGCACTTCCTTTGTCGTTCGCTTAATGTATTTTTCCAATGTTTGGGTTCAATTTCGGGGTTTACCCTCATTTTGAGACCAAATACTAACAATCAGTTCCAGTTACCTAGAAGAACTTATAGCTTCGCCCTTTCCATATTTCTTTTGTGCAGAGGGAATAATGCACTTTAATATTAAAAGTTCCTATTTTTTATGATATGGTCCAACTTTCGAATAAAATAAAGGAAATACAAATGGTTTTTTTAATAGCGATATAACAATTTTACCAAACAATCCATCACCTATTCATTAAAAGCAGTTCAGATTAGGTATATATTATTTTAGTTTATAAAACATATATTAATATGACTCATTTCCGGGGAAGGATATACAATTTAAATTACCTCTAAGAATCAGTAAATATATAAAACAAAATGTTAAATTGCAAATATTAAATAAAAAAATCAAGATATTCTGCAAAGTATTTTTCAATTAAGTTTTATTATTATAATTTTATAATTTTTATAATAGAGGCCTTCTTAAGCGATCTCCGTATAGAATAAATGAAGTTAAATTAAAAAAAAAAATAATGAAAAATAAAAACAAAAATAATAAATTTAAAAAAAAATAATTTTTTACAATTAAATTATTGTATTAATATTTGTTCGTTAATATAATCAATAAAATATAACAAAAACGTTATTATAGCACTATAACTAAGCCATTTATGAGTACTGAGTGGTGTGGTAGAGGCCTGTAGGCACCCACGCCAGTAGCGCTTTTCTGCCGCTTAAGTACATTTTATACGGAACTACTTCAAATATTTTAAAAAGTAATCAGTGTTTTAGAAAGAGAAATGTATTCTCCAGATGTTTTATTTCAGCACGTTTTGCATTATTGTTGACCGTTTAATTACAAACGACGCTTGATTTTCAACTTGAAAATTTTTTTGTAAAAAAAATTGACTTTACCGATTTTTTTTAATGCCTAAGCCAATTAGTTTTTAATATTTTTTCATGTTTTATTATTCTCTGACTATCCAGCTTTAATAAAAGACCAACTATAATGAAATTAAGCCAAATACTGATTCTCAGTAACAAAAAAACTAATTAAAGTCAAAGTCGTCAATCCGCCATGTTTGGACGCCATTTTGGGGCAGTTCGTTCACTTTGTTTTGTGGGAACATTGGCTTTTTTTTAATAAATTGTCACAAGGAACACAACGATATGCAATTTATAGGGATGTGGGGGGGGTGCACGGTAAGGGGGTCTGGCCCACCGTGTAACAACACATTAAATACATTCTCTATTTTTAAATATTTTGGAGGTACAAAAATTAATAACATAATAAAAAATATATAATACTAATATTTTGATAAATTTTAACAAGGTTTGACATTAGCTTTTATAACATTATAAAAGAATCATAATATTATTAAATTATTAAATTAAAACAAAGAAATTTGAAATGTTACTTTACCTTGAAATAATCACCAAACGACCAATTACCAAGCATCTCAAAAAACGTATGATGATAAACATCTTTACCCACATCATCCAGATCATTATGTTTTCCCCCAGCCCGAATACACTTCTGTGTGTTTGCAGCTCTGACCCATGTAGCCATTTCACTATTTGGATCAGCAATTCCCAAAAATATCGCCTTAAACTAAAAACAGGTAGAAGAATAAATATAACTAGATATATATAACCAATAACTAGATAACTGACATTTGACATTAATAAAAAAGGAAACTATGATAAAAAAGCTAAATAAAACAAGTTTTATCTGAGATCCTTCCACAACTCTATGGAAGTGTATTAGCACTAACTACAATAGAAAGTATTTTTAAAAAATCCATTGATAAGTTTTTGAAAAAGACATATACAGTAGTATCAATTAATCTTGGTCAGGTGCACCGAATCTGTGAGATAAGTATGACAAAGGTGGAATACACCTTGACCCCAACATCCAAAGGATGTTTTAACCCAATTTATATTTTTTTCCCCCTGCCAGAATTTACACTAAAAATACTAATCACTCAACATTTATTATCAAATATTAATGTCAATTATATAAAAACATTTTTAAAAAATTAAAATGTTTTTTATTAAGAAAAAGTACTTATTTTAATTTATTACAATTAAAAAGTAAACTATTGTGCAAAATTAAACTAATCTTACTTCCACTCTCTTCGGGTCATAATCTTCAAAAAATTCTTAACTAATTTGTCTAAATTTAACTTTGAAGGTCAAATATTTTCAATTTATAAACTCAGATTAGATGAATCAATAGTGCTTTTATAGTAATGTTTTGTAATTTTAAATACTGAAAATGACCTTTTGCTAATAGCTACAGAGATCATTGATAGAGATCAAGTTCAATAATAAATCATTTCAGAATTCATTGCTACCGAATCTGGAGTTGATGTAGTCAATAAGTTCTTCAGAAAAAAAATTTAAAAATTCAGAAGTAATTTTTCAAATGATAATGGGGTATACACATGTTTCTATATTCTTTGTTCAACATATAACACAAAACATTTAGCCTTTGTCAGCTTCACAATATCTTCCATGCTTGAATCTAAGACACTGAGACTAGGCTTTCTCCAAAAGCCTACGACCAATTGATACAGTCAATTGTGGCAACTTTCCGGAAAAGTAGAACTAGTGCACCCGCCAAGACCAAGTCTACCACCTAAAGGTACTATTTCACTGGTTCTACCAACCGGACCAACTGCTGGCAATTGAGCAGTGCTTTAGTGGGATAGAAAGGAGCCTATTTCGTTGGCACTGCTAGGAAATCTAGGTATTATGTCATATCAATATTGCTCCATTCTGATGGCTTCTGTAGAAGTGAAACTGTTGGCAGTACAGTCGTTATAGGTCATACTATCATATTGGATCATTTTTTTGATAACAGTCACATTGACACGTTTCTTTTTCCTTTTTTTTTTTCATTAAATCAGGCAAAATTAAATAAAATATTGTTTAAAATTTAAACAAAGTTATAGATATAGTAAAGCACTTATTAAAGATTTAAGAAGATTACTTGTTTATTTATCCCACCAAAAGTATTTTACAGAGAAATTCTAATATACCTAAATCCAAATGACACTAAATAAATTAAATAATCCAAAAAAATTTAACTTCAGACAAAAACTCAAATCCAGACATTGAAAAATCAATTTGTATTAAAGTGCTGATTTACTGATCTGATTAAATAAGATAAGATTGAGACAGCCACAATATGTATTGCTGTCATTCTGATACAAATGAAAACCATTAAATTTAAGGCAAACATTTTATTTAAAATTATTTCAAACTAAGATGTTACATCAAGAGGATTTGACCGCGACAGTAAGCAGTTCCAGCAAAACAGATAAGCATCGACGGTTGGCAGTATGAAATGGCAGTCACTGCTGTGGGCAGTATCAGTGAAATTTCCACCTCTTTGCCAAAGGGTCTATCTAGCAACACCCTCTTGGGTGTCCAGTCATTATCCATTTTCACGACATGCTCATCCCACTTAATTCATCCTAGTATGATGAACTTATGAGGATGAACTGAAGAACCTATGAGTTATGTATCCAGTGACTTCGACATTCTTCCTTCTCCAGATACCATTTTCTTAAACAGAACCTCTAGAAGACAAGATGTCAATTCTCATCTATTTTTATAAATAACCATGATTCTAACCCATAAGTTAACTGGATGAAGTAAAGTCTTGCATACAGTAATCTTAGTCCTGTTAGAAAAGAATCTGCTTCTGAAATAGCATAGGCTTGCTGCCGCTATTTTCCTATTGATCTCCCAGGATATCTTGTTTCCCAATGTAGCTCCTTCAGGTAGATGAAGCTGCTTACTTTCTCAACACCGTTGAGTCCAATCTCAAAGGAATTGATCCCTGATCCTTGCCTCCAACTCTTATTTACGTTGTCTTAGTCTCATTAATACCGAATTAACATTTCTTTGCTGCATCTTGTAAGACCAAGAATGGCTCTCAAAATGCACTAGAATTGTACTATGCTGTTGAACAGGATGGGATGATGCTGGATTCCCAATATCCAAACAGCTTCCGCTTCTGCCAGGTTAAAGAGCAGATAGAAAAATGCTCCTGCCTTACACTGCAATTCGCATCAGAGAGCTCAGAAAGGTTAACTTAACTTCTTCAACAATGACATCTGGTACAGTGATATCTCTAACAGTTCTCTAGATGGTGAATCAGATAATCTGATGACAAGCTCGCTGTGATGTGACTTATAAAAGGAGAGAGCTGAGAAGTTCTCTGGTCTGTTGCTGGTTCTCAAATGACTGGCCAAAGATTGGATGAGAATGAAACTGATTGTACTAATCGAAGGCCAACTGTTGAGTGAAGACTGGACTCTACTGGCTAAAGGCTGGCTGGCTGCATGCGTGCTTCTTGCAAAAGGTCATACATAACAGTTTTACATGTTTATTCTATTCGTGCTATAGGTGACATTTTGTAGTCTGCTACTGCAATAAATAGTCCACTACCATGGAAAATAGCAGAGAGAAATAAAATATAAAATTATACTAATACATATGAGTTGATCGGGAGGAGGGGGAGGGGGGTTGCGGTCAAATTAATACTAAATTAAATAAGTAGAATTATTTAATTTTTGCCGATGTTTCGACCCACTTTGTAGGTCTTCATCAGGGCATAGGATATAGCACTGCGGGAGGCAGTTGAAACACTGAGTGTTTCTACGCCCTGATGAAGACCTACAAAGTGGGTCAAAACATCGGCAAAAATTAAATAATTCTACTTATTTAATTTAGTATTAATTTGACCGCACCCCCCGATCAACTCCTTCTCATATTTTATCAATGGTCAACCAACTCTACATCATTATACTAATAAATCATAAACAAATAATCAGTTTTTACATTTTTCTGTAAGAAACCTGAATTTTTACATATGACCTCTTGCACTAACAGTAGCAATTTTTGAATGCAAACCATTTTTAATTACTAAAGACAGACACATCTTTGTAATAGTTTCTGATAGCATTACCTCCGGTTAATAGATTAATGTTTAATGTTATAAGATTATTGTATAACATTGTAAAAACTACCTGATTCATCCCAGCATTAGTAAAAAGCAGGGTAGGGTCTTCATGGGGAATCACTGAAGATGAGTGAACATATTTATGATGCTTTGTTTTTACAAAAAAGTCAATAAATTTTGACCTTATACTTTTAGAATCCATATTTAGTTACCCTAAAACAAACAAGTAAAGATTTAATAAAGACAGTTATGTATCAGTTGGATGTTTACAACTAAACATCCTTTAATTGTTGATGTATTATTTTCTTAAAAATATAATTATTTTACAATTGTGGATTGATGATTGACTGGAGTGAATAATTGAAGAGAATGGTTGGGGTGATCAGTAAAAAAAAAAATTGTAAAAATAAATAAAGTCTTGTGCCACCTCTTTGCTTGACTAGCCCTGATGAAGGCCTGAACTTTGTGACGAAAAGGTCGGCAAATATAAAAATAAATATATTTTTTTTTTTTTTTACTGATCATCCCAACCATTCTTCTCTTCAATAATTATTTTACACTATGACATCACTAGTCATTCTATAGAAGCATTTCTATTTCGAACCCTAATTAACACAAATAAAATAAAATGAATCATTTCATGTTAAATAAACAAACCTCCCAGATTCTAATGAAAATTCATTAGTATGAAGGGAACACCATTAAGAATAAAGGCCAAATTTTTAACCAATTATAACAATGAGATTCAGAATTCAGTCCTTTTGAAGTTTTTACTTATTTAAACTAGGGGAGAAAACTTGAGCGGAAACTAGTTTGCATGTATTTAGATTTTCTAAGTAAAATCACAATTTATTGAACTACAGGCTTCAAAATGCAGTTATTTGTTCTAAATTTTATGAAGAATCAGATGATACCATAAGCAGGGGTGCCTCCCCCCCCCTCCCCAAGGTCCATGAAGCAAGAACCTACCCGTCCTTTCACTCAAGATATTTTTTTGCTCTCCTTTTCTTAAAAACAGAGCAAGTTGAGGAAGAAAAATAAAAATCATAGATTATATACGATTACACTTGCTGCGGCCGGTTAAATGTTTTTCCCTTGTCCCTTAGTTCGATTATTGAAATTATTGTTAAATAGAACAATAAATATTCATTTAAAGCTGTGATGCATGTATCAAAAATTATCATTGTTCTTGTTGGTAATTAAAACTGCCTAAAGAATGTAAAAAAAAAATGGAATGGAATGTAATATATACATGTGCGGTTTTCGTAAATGCTAGTGTTGGTATTATTTGATATTTAATTGTACATATTACAGCTATATAAAAGTTAAAATGTGTATATATATCAGTGAAAACAAATAAAAATACCTACAATTAAATATGAATAAATATAGCGGTCTTCTTTATCAGTGGCAGTCTTTAAGGACTAAAAATATTTTGTGGCACTTAATTATTATAATCTAATAAATAATTAAAATATACATTCATGAAAGAAAATGGTTAGTCACAAAAAAATGCATAAATATAATACATTAGACCGATATAAGAAACATTGGTAAATTACTGTTTTAAATAATATTTTGTACCGTCTGAAATTTTTACTTTCACATCCCTTTGCCTGAAAAGGGTAAGTGAAAGTTGTGTGATACGCGAAATACTGGTAAACGCGCCAGATGTTTTGTTATGTGGATGAGATCTCTGTTTGCAAAAGGAGCACAGCACAAATGCACATCAACTAATGGAACTTATATCATGTAGTTATGAAGTTTCTCTTATTTGCAGACCACATTGTACTTATTGTGGCATTGTGAAACACCCAAGGGATATCAACTAGTAGGAACAGAGTGGAATAAGGAACTGAAGAGAAAGCAAATTCCAATAAAAGCAAAGTACTTCAAGTCATATACCTTGGGATGGTGATCAGTAGATCTGGTAAAGTGGATTTGGAAATCTCAAGCAGAATCTGTAAAGATAATTACATTAAAAGAAAAGGGACAGGAAATAAAGTTCCACTTATTTAAATCCATCTTCTTATCAAAACTTCTCTATGGATCAGAGTTGGATTTTGAATGAGAGATTTCAAAGCCATGTTACTGCTGTTTCTAAGATGAATTGTGGATAACACATAGACTGCATTGGGAATGACAGGATTAGGGAAGAGCTGAATGTACACCAAGTGACAGACACCCTAGAAAAGAGGTAACTGAGATAGTAAAGATATGTCCTACATATAGACCACCACAGGAAGTCAATTAAAACCATGGAGATGAAACCATTGAACAGAAGACCAAGATGGCCAAATCTATCTCCAGATACCCTCAAGCAACCATATTTTACTATGAATAGCATGGAATCTCTTTCAAACAATGCAATAATATTAGTGAGTTTAAAGTTTTAAAACAATGTAAATAAAATATTGTTTTTTACTTGTTGCAGAAATGGTACATTCGAAAAATATATAAAATTAGAGAGAGTGAGAGAAAAGTTCTTAACTTACTTGAATAACAGTGTAATAAAACTCTTTAAACTCAGAGAAAAAAAAAAAAACTGTACCACTAATAACCCATGAAGGGTCTTGGGTTCTGTTCAATGTGAGGAAGAACTGTTACAAGGCCAACAGTTGTGGAGGGAGGTGACGGGCCATCTCCCTCAACTGGCTGGTTTTCCCCCCTTAATTAATTATTTAATTAAGAATGACGACTTTATAAAGGATGTTTGTCCCAGAAAAGTATACCAGCCCCACGATCGATGAAAAGTTACTAGTCATCAGTCGGATTCGAACCCAGGAACTCGAGCTCTGGAAGTCAGAGTTCACCCACTGAGCTACCCTGTCCTTAAACTCAAAAACCAACCAAAATATTTCATCCTTTGAAAGGGAATTCCTTTTTTTTCTCTTTTTTTCAGTATCCATCAGTATAAACATGTTTTTAAAATATAGTTAGAAGATAACCGTTAGAAGGAGATATATAAATCTGAATATAATATTAAGTTGACCAGTGTAATCTTTGGATCACTGTTCCTGTCCCATTGACCATGGAGGTCAATTTGAAGATTGTAGTGTGTTCAGGAATTGTTCTACAATGAGTATTCTGAAAATCTCACACCAATTTGAAATTATCATCATGCAAAACTGTGATGTATGGAGTCTATCACAATATAAATGAAAAAAAAAACTCCTACTTCTCTTTTTTTAATGAGCCATTCATGGAAGTGTCTCACTAAACCTGTTCTGACAGATCCAGTATTAGGGCATCTGATATGTAACTTGTGAATCTAATGTGATTTTAATTGTTATAAAACTCTTTAATCTCAAAAACGGTCCAATAAAATAAGAAAGAAGAAACTTTCTTTTTTTATTTAATTACAAATTTATAGTACAGAATGATTTTGATATAATTAAATATGCTTCATCCTTATAATCAAAGACACTAGATTGCATTTTAAACATAGCAATACACTTTATACAATGTATACAAAAAACATAATTTAAAGTAGACAGAAAAATTGAAAAACATCCACCAATATTATTCCATCATTTGAAAGGGACTCCCTGATTTTTTAACCTGAGGATATCTAGAGAGACGTTTAAGTCACAGATATTTTTCTTCATAGGGATCGCAAATTTTAAAGAATATTTATTTTTAGATTTAAAAACAATTTTATTCATGATAAAATCATAATGTCAATACTACAAGTTTCATTTTATTCTCTATACAATTTAGAATGATTGAATAAAGTTTGAAACTTCCACCTCAATAAATATTAATTTTACACTAGTTGGCCCATGCGAATAATTCACAGAAAATTTTGTTTAGTGAAGGAATAGCAAAACAATATGAAAATAAGTAGATCCTATATATTATGTGAGAGAGAAATTAATTGTTGTTCCTTGGTCGATTCAAATATCCCATTTAACATAACAGACCAAAATATTTGTACAAATTGCTTTGCTAGGGCATATTTTTAAATGCTGACTGGAAAAGTAACATTCAAAATAAAGTCTCAATCATGGGATTTTCTAAATTATTAAAACACATAAAATTTACAAAAAAAAAAAAATGTCTTTAAGAAATAATAAAGTATATATCAGCCAGGGAAAAAAAGGTAAGTAGAATAGTTAATGCAGTATATTTAAAGAGGAAGAAATTATTAAGTATGCCAAAACAATGGACTATATCTTTGTTAATAATTATCCGATTTTTACATTTTTTTTTTTTTTTGTTTTGTGGGTAATTCAGTGATATATCCAATTATCATGGGTACTATCCAGAAAAAAATACATAATTTTTAAGTTATGGGAATGTTTTTGCCTGCCGTTAACTAAAACATCCATAACTTCTCAGGATTTTATCCTAATTAAACGTTTCTACAACCGTTAAAATGCTGAATCATTGCTCTTAAAAACAGTTTAAATAACCTTTTGATTTAACATGTCCATAAAAGAGATAAAACTCCCAACAGATTAATATTTTATAACTTCTAGTTCCATAAGTTCTGAATTATTTAGGGGGATACAGTTTGTGTCATTTTGTGTAGTTTATAAGGGTCTATATCGCTGCTAAATTTCGTTTGGATAGTTGGAAGGGTATTGAAGTTTTCAAACTTTTTGATTTTCAAAAAGAAATCCATATTTGATATATTTCAGGGTCTTTCGACTTGCTAAATACAAATCTCAACTCTGATTCCTCCTTTAAAAAAATACTTGAATAAATTTAACTCTTTCAGTCGGTACAAATTGTTTGAATTTTACAAATTTCTGGTCGATTTCCATTTTTTTTTTGTTTTGTTTTGTAAGTAATTTATTAATCTTTCTAATTATCATGGATACAATCAAGAAATAAATCCATAATTTTTTTTTTATTTGCAAATAAGGTTTCTTTTCCTTCATAAATTTTTTTCCTTAAATTTCGGGGGGATGTTACTCATTTGGGGTGATTTTTCCCATCAGAATGTAAGAAGATCTTTAAAATGAGGGCTCAATCATTTGATTTGATGAAGAATTGATGTCACTGTGGTGTTGGAACAAAAAAACACCTTTTAGAAATAATATATAAGATACAAAAATCTAAATACATACAAGTTGGTTTCCAACTCAAATTTCAAATCTCTTAAAAACTTTTAACGACCATAATTTTGAAACAACCTATTAGAATAAAACAAAATTTGGCATTTTTTCTTATTTGTGAATTCACTAATACAAAATACAAAATTTTGGTTATCAACAAATTATAAAATTATCCTTTCAAGAGTAAGAAGGTTGAACTCAATCTATATATTGACTGAACACAAAGATTCAGGAGCTCAGCAATTATTCACATAATCTTAATTTCAAACATATTTTAAAATCAATGACTAATGGCCATTCACAGAACACAATAAATGTTAGTCAAACCATAGTTTCATCCTAACACACAAATTGTCTAGGAAAAAAAATTAAGTAGACTAATCATGAATTGAGTATAGATCACTTGGCATAGTAAGCAAGTGATCTACTTTCTCGGCTACCTAATAAATAATTCAAAGGCAAATAGTCCATTTCATACAATAACATACACAAGACATTGGAGATTCCACAATTATGTATTATATACATTAATAAAAAACCTTTGAAAATGGCTTTAAAGACAGTTTAAATCCTGATGAATGGTTGTAGTCATCTAATCTAGTGATCGTCATCCTCCAACAGGATTAAAAATATTTTTTAAATTTCAAAAACCATAAAAAAAAAGTTTATGAATTTGTTGCATCAAGCAATTTTAAACAGTTGTAATGAAAAAAGAGCTACTTAGCAAATAATCTATCACATGTGTTCAGTTGTAAAAACTAAATTTACACTGATAGAATCATTGAGAAAACAATTCAGATAAACCATCAATCCACAAAAATTTGATTTAATGCCCCACCAATTAACACCTTATTAATATTATGTTTCATTATTAATGATATGAAAAGAGAATCTATTGCACTAATAATAAATATAAATGATAAAACATGACCTAATAAAAGTCATATACAGATAAAAAATAAATGAGGGTCAAAATTAATCAGAATATGCAGTCTTTGAATGATTTATAATACTATAATTTTATATATAATATAATTTCATAATGTGTGTGTATCCAGATTATTTCCCACCCATATAATTTTAACAGTTGACTATTGGAGGAAGATAGTTGACTATTCTACATATCATGGGTGATAAATATTCAGTCATTTTAAGGTTTTAATTGAAGACGACATTTCAACCCAAGCTTGTGGGTCATCATAAGATTACTTAAGCACCTTCAGTGCTGGTAACATATCCTGATGACCCACAAGCTTGGGTTGAAAGAAAGCAACAATATAAATCTTAAAGAGACAGTCCTGACATCCATATCAGTCAACTACATATACATCTCTAAAAAATAAATATATATATTTTATATTTAGCCTCTCTTTTATTTACATGGTCTCATTAATACTGGTCTCATTAAAAATATATGCTTTAACAAATCACACTAATTGGTTCATTTAATGTTGCCTGACCAAATTTTAATTATAAAAAAAGCACTCTTTTCATTAAGGATATGTCAACAATTTAATTATACATTCCAGTATAAAGAAAAAATTACTCTTATTGTTGATAAAGTACTACAAATACCTACCCAAAGTTGAATTGAAAAAAATCACTGAATTACAAAAGACAGTTAGTTAAAGTTGTGCCAAATTTGACATTTCCACGTGGGTAGGTTGAAGAAAGTGGTCAATCGAGTCCAAAGAGATCGTGTTGAAAAATATTTAATGTATAAAACTATAAATGACGTCAAAGCAAAATTTTAAAATATTTGAAATAAAAATCAATATTTAATCCTTGTTACATGTTCTCGTTAACTAAAAAAGGATTAGTTATTCCTAAGTTTCTTTCCAACAAGCGTATCATACTCGTATAACTTGAACTCATCTATAACCAGAGTCAAAATTATTCATACACTAGTTTAAAACAAACCAAATAAAATTATTGTTATTATTGCCTGCGAGTAATAGCAATATTTTTATTTGTTTTAAACTATTGTATTTGACTTTGACTTTTGACTCTGGTTAATAAAACCATTTCATATTGACATCAACACTTTAATAATAATAAAAAAAGAACTATTTTCGATCATATTAATTATATAACATTGTCGTGTAAATAAATTATATAAAATAATCAAAATAAAACAGGAGTCAAAAGTATGTACACATTATTTTCATAATTGAATACTTAATAGTTGACTGTTGTATTTTAGAGGAAGGATATGGTCTAGGGTGGTGGTCAAAAATAAACTAAAATAGAGGCATAACTATTTTATTTTAAGTCAATATGTTAGACATTTCAGGTAAGTCAAACTATCGGAACATGCCTTAACCCTCAACCATTCATTTGATTTTGAAAAAAACTCTACTCTTGCCACGACCCCCAAAACCTCTACTCTTGCCACGGTCTTTAAAATTTTAACTTCCGTTAAAGTGTTAATTTGGTGATTTAACCATTTAAATTTGTTTATTAAGTGCGCCTGCATTTATAGGTGAAGTCCTGTGCCAATTTGACGATATTTTACGAAGTTATACGCAAAAGAATGTGCTCAATGGGGCGCCAAATTGGTCTATTTTCGGTAGATTTTGCGGCCGTAGAAAGACAGAGATAAGGCCCGGCGGTCATATCAGAGGTGTAGTAACTCCTTTAGAAGATTAAAGGAGTACAGTATCAGCAGTGGTCAAGTCAAAATAGGGAGGCGAGTCTCGTATTAGCTATTGTAGTGATAGGACCTCGCTGTGTCGTTCTTAAGAATTATTCACAACCGTTGCAGCCCAACTTCATTATCACTGCTGTGCCAGCCGTCTTTAAGATAAGACGTTATCTGTCTTAGCTCCGGCAGTACGGTGGCGTGAATCGGCTGTGACGAAGTTCTGTGCCGGAATAACGTTCCGTTTCATAACGGCGGGGCGCTCATTGTTTTAGGTTGAGTCTCAGGGGACACTAGTGAGATCTGAGACTCTCTAGACAAGGACAGGAGTGGTGATTAGTTGATTTTTGAATGGTATTAATCTGATAAATCAGCATTGATCAGAAATTATTATTTTATCAGTTATGAGGTTAGTTAGTAAATTTGTTAGTTAGTTTGTAAGTTTATTGTTAGTTTGTAAATTTATAACTTATTTGTAAATCATTTCCCCAAATTCAGGTAGTTAATATGAGCGAAAACCAACTCAATATGGATCTAGAGAACAACGTAGAAGATGCCGTAATCTTAATAGTAGAAGAGACTGCGAAGACTCTGGGTGCGTTAGAGACCCCAGGTACGCTCAAGGTTTACCGGAAGGTCCCCGTACAACGGAAAAATTACAAATACCACAAGTGAAGAGGCCTCGTGAAGAAACTTCTGATCTTGAAGACGAGGAAACAGAAGAAAGTCTTGCCCAAGAGTAAGAAAATCAAGGCGTCCCTAAAAGTATATCTTGTTGCAAAAAAAAAAAAAAAATAAACAGAGTTCAGCAGAAAGCTCAACTCAATAAAAAAAATCAAGGAGAAAATTGATAATATTGCAGACATCCTGGAAATCCTGTATTATAAAGCTATGGAGTATAGGTCTAGAATGCAGGGAATTCCACAGATAGTGAGGCACGTGGTAAAGGAGGTCCTAGCATCTACGGAAATATATAAAATTATCACCAGGAAAGTCATGGAGGTTGCCTTACTTAACATCAAAGAAGGCATGCGCGATGATAATAAGAAAACAAAACAACTTCACCCCCCTCCAAAAGCGGGACCGTCTGGAGTTAGACAGGAAGTGAGAGATGAGATAAAGCCTCAGCCTGTGACCCTCTCTCTAGAACAAAATTTTCGGGAAGTTATTAGTAAGAAAAAAAAAGAATAAAAAGAAAAAAATAGAAACTCACGGAACATCACAGACCGAAATTAAACCACTCAATCAGCTGAAAGGCAAAAGAAAAAAGGGAGAACTATGGCAGACATTGTGAAGTTCCTTCCCCAAAAGCCTTCTGAAGATGTTTCTAAATATAACTTTATAATAGGTAGGAAAAGGAAGAATGCTTTGGAAGTATTAAAGAACCTACTCAGATAGCCAGACCTCGAAGCTGATTCATTCAATGGACAGGCCTCACCGATAATGGTATCGAAGGCAGAATGGACTTGAAAAGAAGGCCCTCTCGTCTGGGAAGCTCCCAAAATTTATTCATATTTTATAAAATAATAATAATAAAATTCCTGTGCTCTGAAATTATTCTAACCTATTTTTTCCTGCTGTTGATTGCGTAATTTCTGGGACTTTTTTTAGATTTTTAAAGCTGTCAGATTCGTATAAAACTTCGAAAATGTTGTCTGACTTTATCAACTCTGTCAAGTACTGAGTTGTTTGAAACTATTTCAGTAAGTTTTTTTCCTGCTGCTGATCACGTAATTTTTGTGATTTTTTAAATTCTACCATATCCAAACGCTTCCTGTTAACCGTCAGAGTCGAGCGTTTTCGGCAGTAGGATTGTCATCTATACTGTTTTCAATTTTCAAACCTTATGCCGCCGAATACGTGATTAAATTTTCGGTAGATCCCGGACTATGTGTATGTACTATGATTTTCCTTTCTGCATCTGTCGTTTCCCTTAATTTACTCATCCATTTTCACTTCACAGTAAGAATAAAATCCTCACCTACACAGAAACAGGTTGTACCGCAAAATATTAATAAACTATTCAATATAAGTTTAATTTGGTAATAGAGAAAGTTGAGAATTGTGACAACGAAGTTCACTTATTTTTAACTCGTGTTGATAATAGACAAAATCTTATGTGGGTTACATGATAAAATATATATATTTTTATTAAAGTTTATAATAAATGTTTTCATTATTTTAAATCACCCCCGCGAGTGATAGCAATATTTTTTTAAATCCTTTAGATCTGATGTGCCTATACTTATGACCTTGATTGTATTAATAAAATAATTTACTGAGTTTACATAAATTACTTTAGAACTAACTACACATTGATTGATAGCTTAATTCGAATAAGTTTTCTGAAGTTACTATTAATATTACTTGATATTGCTCTTTCCTCATACTTCACTGAAACGATTGTATAAATCGATTATTGGTTCAAGTTCTTCCCTGTAAAATCAGTATAGCTTTCATTAACCACGCTCTCTCAATATGGTTTGTTTGACTGTATTTATCCATTTTTATTTACCTAATCGAGATGTAGTCATTAGAAATTGCTTTACTAATTTTATATTTATGTGCATTATGTGTTTTATTTATATGTATATTTGTTTATTTAAATGTTTTTGTTGTGTTTCAATGTGGTATGGATTGTTCTTGGTGGTTATGTATTAATTATTTTTTTTGTATATGTTAAGGGGAAAGTGAAATGTTCAGAGCTAAGAAGCAAAGACAAAAAGGATTTGCTTAAACAATTAGATGAGCTGAAAACGGAATTAACAAATCTTAGGGTTGCTAAAGTAACTGGTGGTGCAGCTTCTAAATTATCCAAGATGTAAGTTCAAAGGAGAATTTCATTTATATCGATAAAATAATTTCGATTATATATTTCGTTTTAAATTTCCTAGGCATATTGTAGTAACAGCACAATTTGAGTCCAATTAACTGTATGATTTATTAACAGTTTATTTTGTTTTTTACAGCCGAGTTGTTCGCAAGGCTATTGCCAGGGTGTACATTGTTATGCACCAAAAGCAGAAAGAAAATCTACGAAAATTGTTTAAGGTATGTTTATATTTTCATTTAGGGTTGTTATGAATGAATGTTTCTGTACATCTTATTTTGACCATTTACCTTTATTACAATTCTGTAAGTAGTATTAGTCTGGTGTAGTTGGCAGGTGGGTTTAAATCACATTTATCATTATACAAATGGAATACTGAACCTTACTGGGTGGGTCAGAAATTGTTCTGAGGTAATTACCTTAAGCAATCTAACACTAGACTTTTCTTAGTAATAAAGTTCACGCTATTTATGTACAGAAATTAACTAATATTTTTAAAATGTAAGTCAATTCTCATTGATAACAGTTACACTTAAGAGAGATTTGCACAATTTTTTTAAAGCATGTGATTGTTTACATGTTTCTTCAGGGGACCCTACACGGTCAATCGGAATTGCACTAATGACGTTCCGAATTGTCGTGTAAGGTAGTGAATGAAGTACTGATGGTGGTGCGCTGTGGATTTCCGAACATCCGGAAATCAAAGGTTCATTCACGAGAAGTGGAGGGGAGACCGACCATACTACTGGATAGGTTAGGTTACCTAGGCCTCACAACCATTATAAATTTCTGATTTTCAATATATGTAAATAGTCAAATAATTTTTCATATCCCTTGTTTATAATTTTAAACCATCTTCAACTATTTCTTTTAAATAGTCAAGTGTGCAACAAATTAAAAAAAAAAATGAGGAAACTTCACAATTTACTTTAGGAAAAAAAAACTTTATCGTTGTGTATATTTATCAGTTCTTTAACCATTTTCCTCAACAGATTTATTATTTTCGCAATACCTTTCCTTAATTTTTGTAAGTAGTAGACTTATATTTTAATAACTTTTGTCAAAACTATTTTCTATGAGACTACTACTAGATAGGTTAGTTTACCTAGGTCTCGTTATTAAGTGAATAGTTGTTTATATCCCTAGTCTATGTTATTATTAACCATTTTCAACTATTTTTTCTTTAAATAGTCAAGTACACAATAAATTGAAGAGAAAAAAAAGTGGAAACTTCACAATTTACTTCTAGAAAATTTTTTTTTAACTGTTGTGTTTATTTCCATTAATTTTTCAATTTTTCTTAACAAATTTATTATTTTCGCAATACTTTTCCTATATTTTTGTATGTAGTTGACTTATATTTTTCTAACTTTGGTCTAAACGATTTTCAGGCACTAGGAAGTAATTATTATATGTTAGTTTTTCTCTTGATGCCCAGTATTATAAATGGCAATGTCCAAATAAGCATATCTATGCTGTTTCTTTGTTTGCAACTGAGCTAAATTGGTATCAGCAACGACAAGTAATGATTGAACGTGTAAGGGTCTTCATGACTAAAGCGATCGCGGGCAATCTTGGAACTTCTTGTGACGTTCATTCATGAATTACCGTGTAGGGTCTGCTTTACAGGCCATTTAAAAGTACTGTAGGTGCCTAAATGAGCCTCACGCCACCTATTTGGGATGATATGACCTACTCTAGTTAGTGTAAGCCATTTTTAGTATTTTTCTGTAGAAGTGTTTTTTTTTTAACCATCCTGTAATTTATATCTGAATTCGTTCTATCCATTTCTTAGTTCTTCTCCTGAGTTCAGTTCCCTTCCCTCTTCGTTTTCATTTAAAAATGTGTTATAGGCGATAAAAAAAAAATTTTAAACCATGACAAAACGGACAGGTGTACCAGAGCTTTAATTCTGTATTTTAGGATCCCTTCTTTTTTCTAAGTAAAGTTACTCCAACATAGCAATATCTTGTCAACATATTTTTATAATAGCAATACTTATCTAATATCGTATGTTTTGTATGAAATATCATCTAGCACTTAATAGCGAGTATATTTCATTACATCTTATAATCTTAATATTTCATCAACTGAATAATCAAATATTTATTTAATGTTATCATCATTTATTGTTACTTTTATTTTCCAGAACAAGAAATATAAGCCTTTGGATTTGAGACCCAAGAAAACAAGAGCTATGAGAAAGGCGCTCACAAAGCATGAGAAAAAAATTAAAACTCTGAAGGAAATTCGCAAGAGATCTGCCTTCCCTTCTCGAAAATATGCTGTAAAAGCATAATTTTTTTAAATTAAAATTTTATTAAATAAGTTTTTCTGCTGGTTATTTTGTTTTTCCTCTATATCCACCCATGCTAAACTTATTATTTGATTAAATAAGTAAAATTTATTGATTGTATGTTATTTTTCAAGATTAAAACTAAGTTTAAAGTTATAAAATTATTAACTGAGGTATTCAGTTATAAAAACTGGAAATCTCAAATGGTCATGAGTTAAAGTAGAGTTCACAAGCTACTTCAGGCTTAATCACAACCATCATCATATTATATTAACTCAATATACAGGACTGTGTTTACTAAATATAGAAATCGATTTTATTCTGGGGCAAAGTCCCTTAAGAATAAAATATAGGTTAATATTATATCTGGCTGTTTCAATAAAGAATAACTAAAAGATAAGTATATACATAGCTATGTTATGAAGATATACAACATTAAAAAAAGCAGAGGAGCAAATAGGGTTACTATACTGCAAGATTGCTAATAAAATAACTAAAATTAATTTTATAAGTTAACTATTGTAATGGTTAAAAAAACAAACTGATTAAGTAAAATAAATAGTTCACATCTGTTCCTTAAGATGTGTAAATGAATATTGTTAATGGTATTGTCAGAAATTGAATAAGTGTTTTGATATACATACACAGGCCTAAATTGAGAGGGGGAAAAAAATATATATATTCATAGAGGAAAGGAGTGTCGAAGGTTGGTAAAAAATCAAATACTCTCAAAAAGATAGAATCTTATGAATAGGAAAAATAAAAAAACCAATACCTATTCACAATGTTTTGTGATGAGAAATCTTTTCCATATTCATAACAGAATAATGATATATATTAAAAAAGTAATACCTTCTTACACAATAGATAATTAGACAGTATCTGATTGTATTGAGAAAAGGAATTGGAATAAGAGGGTTTTAAAGTGGGATGGAATTCCAGAATGTGGCGGAACATTATATCATACCATCTAAATACTGAATACATTATATCATACTGTTTTAAAAGTGTATAATAAAAAAAAACTGGTTTTAAACATGTTATTTGTGCAAAAAAGTCCTACTACAATTGGTTACCATTTGTAAGGTTCCTGCAGCTTTTACTGCCCAAAACTTGTGGTTTACCACTACCTGAATGCTTGAACTCTGTGATTTCCAACTTCGTCGACAGTCTTGCTTTCGCTTTGAAGAGAGAACCTTGTATAAGTTTTTTACTCTACGTTGTCAGAACTATTTCATTAACAAATCCTCTAGAATAGGAAATTCACTATCTGGCCCACTTGCGATTTTCATGCAAATGAGCAATGTTTTTTTTTTTATTCTGTAATTGAGTGTACATCAACCTTGCACTGATCGTGACAAACTAAAGAGAACTGGGAAGTTGAGATGGGCTGAAAGGGGGTTAAACATTGCTAGAAAAAATTCGGATTATAAAGAGAAGTGTACTAGTTTGAATTATAGAACATTCTCTTCCCCTCTTGTTATGAAAAGGAAATTCCATTTTGAGGTTTAAATTTTGAAATTTCTCAAAAACCTTGAAAAGCCATTTTAAAATTATTTGGATGTAATGAAAACTTTTATGTCTACACACACACTGATATGTATTTTATGTTATGTTCACATACTACTAACTTCACAATAAGTGATACATTAGGTATAATGAATACTACTTAAGTACAAAGTTTAATGGTCCACTGAACTTTGTTATAACAGATTTTAAATGTAGTTCGTGATTAAGACTAATAGGTAAATATAGATGAAGGCTCTATATTCTGACAGTGATTGATCTTTAGCTAATTGCCAAGAACTACCACTTCAAAAAGACCTAACCTAAGATTACAGATGGAAAGTAGTTAGTACTACCCACTTCTCCTAGAGTAGGAGAGAGAGCCTAAAGGCCACCAAAAAGTATAGAAAACTGACTGAATTAAGAAAGAGCAAGCTGTGTTAACACAACTAGAGAAAAAAAATTGTTTTACTTCTAGCTGTAGAAAGAATCGCTGATATGCTCTCTACTGCTGCAAATACTCATGTTGCCTAACAGGCAGGGTAGTGTAATAAATGTTTTATTGTATAGATATATTTATTGTATAATTTAATGCATGTTATTGTAATAATGTAAACTATACATATTTTCAATAAAGCTGTACAGACAGAGATGTTCTGGATAAAACAAAAATATAAAAATACTGGTAGGATGCCTTGACATTAATGTTAACTGCGAGCAAAGGAAGTTGCCATTGAGATGAAGAATTGCCAAGTTTTTTACAGGGCATCTCTGACTGTCATATTAAGAGAATTTTGAGTTCATATTTAGTGTTAACTCATTACATCTCTGTTTTTTGGATTCCCTATTATTATTTCTATAAGGTCAGAGGGTTGGTTCAATGTGTAACCCCTCAAGTTATAGTTTTGAAAGGTTTGTTTCCTTCAGTTACCTCCCAATTCTTGTTATGTCATTAAAGATATCTATCTTTCCTACTATATGTGGGCTGATGAAGTTGTTTGCATGAGACTTATTATCAGTTCACCAATCATTGTCAAGGCAGCATATGTACATAAAATATCTTGGACAATGACTGAAAATTATGATGCCTAACTATTACTAAATTATTTTAAAAAATCATAACTTTCGATTATAGATTGTTCATTTAAGAATAACAATTATAAACTGAACAAACAACACAATCTTCAAACAATTTTATTATAAAACCAACATACAAAAATTAACAATGATGATCAATGGTTGCAACATATTATTGTTGACAATATATATTTAATAATGATGTTAATTTATATGTATACAAACATACATATATCTTTAACTTTCATCTACAAAACAATTCTTACAAAAAATAAAAAACGCTCAAAACATATTCAGTCTAGAAATATGAATTAGCTGAACATGGCTTCAGTGACCCTCGTTTAACCCATGATAGTCCAGATGAGTGACCATTATATTTGCTGCAAGTCTAAAAAAAAAATAACAATAGGTAAATAAATATAATTTAAAACCTCTTATTTTAGGTCTTTACTACCTGTAGTTTTGAAAGGTTAGCTTTAACATTTAGAAAATTTTAAAAATGCTTGCTATATGTTAAATCTATTTACAGCTGTTTAAACTTATTCAAGTTTAATCTGTTAAGAATAAATAAAAAGTCATAAATAATTTTATTATTTTTGTTATTAAATACAAAAACTATTATTCTTATATTATCCAAAAAAAGAACAGTGATATATATATATATATATATATATATATATATATATATATATATATATATATATATATATATATATATATATATATATATGAAACATAAAATAATTGTTAGGAAAAAAATACATTTTATATAAATATAAATTATTATATATATATTTAATTTTTTTTTTTAAAGATCTGTTTACAAATTCATGTTACCCCATAATAGGAAGCAAATTTCCCAATATATGGTGAATTTTGTCAAGACATCCAGTAAATAATATATATATATGCGTAAAGTGGTTGTCATCGGATTCGCCAAAACATAAATATTCCAGCACATCATAGAACAAACTATTTTGTGTTACCTGATTACACATATGGATAAACCCAATCTAAGATTAAATTTTAATGCATTTGACTTAGGTATTTTTGAGGATAACTAAGGACCTCAAAACAAGAAAAAAATTTCCTCTGAAGGTATGTCCGCAAAAGCTTTGTTTAGAAGATATTCACACCTAAAGATTTTCGTTGTTATGAATTATTTATGTTAAATGAAATAAATAAAACCTACTTATTTGTTCTAACTACTTTATTAATTAAACATAAACATTAACATTCATATTAAATGTTGTTTAAAGTGATTTTCTTGAGCATTAAGACAGGCTCGGCAACTATTTTTAACAGCAGCAGTGGCAGAACGGCACTGGATATGTGTTATTGTTTTTCACAAGATTAAATTATCCTTCTTCTTAAGAAATTAAGGTCATTGCCGGACTTGCTCAATCATATCCCAACAAATGGATTGGCCGTGCCAGACCAGTGGCTTGGCCTGCATGCTCTCCAGACCTGACACCACTGGATTTTTTTACTTGGGGTGACATCAAACAAAAAGTATATACAAGTCCGGTCAATGACCTTAATTCCTTAAGAAGAAGTATAATTTAATCTTGTGAAACAATAACACATGTCCAGTACCGTTCTGCCACTGCGGCTGTTGAAGAAAGATGCCAAACCAGTCTTAATGCTCAAGGAAATTACTTTGAACAACATTTAATATGAATGTTGATGTTTACATTTAATTAATAAAGTAGTTAGAACAAATAAATAGGTTTTATATATTTCATATAACATAAATAATTCATAACAACGAAAATCTTTAGGTGTGAATATCTCCTAAACAAAGCGTTTGCGGAGATACCTTCAGAGGAATTTTTTATTGTTGAGGTCCTTAGTTCATTTTTGCAGTTTGGCCACTGAACCCTGAAACATCCTATATATATTTATTAAGATATAGGTAAATACTTAAGGGAGATCCTATTAATATGCATGCAACCTTTTGATATTAAAATAACAAACAACAAAAGTATGTAAAAAAAAAAAAAATGTTATATTTTGTAAGTTAAGAGCAAATTTTTAGCCTAACTTCCGCCCTCAATTTCTCTGTTTAAATTTATGATTGTTAATTTATTATTTTCAACAGCCACACTACAAAAGCCTTTAAGAACTAAAACTAAAATTATTCATAATATGAAATAAACCACATATTTTTTATTTTATGTGGTAGCTTATAACAAAATTTTAAACTCATCATTTTTATTACATATATAAATTTTTATTGCATGCTCAAGAACATTTAATTTTTTATACAACATTTTTAATTTACACTTCTGATTAAATCTGAGGCCAATATTGACCAGTAAAGCTCAAAACCTCAATATCTAATAAAATTGCACTTACAGGCTTCTGTTTGTGTTTTTACCCATCAATTGAGTCATTTAAAATTTGTTCCTGTTGCTTCTATTTTTTGCAGAAAGACATAAATTTATTTTTGAACAAACAAAAAGATTGATAGAGACGACAAAATTGTCAAGATTTACAGACAAAAATTTTTATAATGAGTTAGCCGACCCAAACATGTGGATCATTTTTAGGTCTAAAAATTAAAAAATACAAAATAACATCAGAAAAATGATAAATAAAAAAATGTAAGAGTAAATAATAACGGTAATAAAATAATAGGAATAAGATTAAATAAATAAGATAATAGTAATAAGAATAAAGAATAAAATTTAAAAAATGATAAATATAAAAATATCAAGTATCAGGTAAGTATATCAAAATTTTGATATACTTACCTTTTTCATTTGTTTGTAACACAAAAACGTTTTCTTATCATATTTCAATGTTTTTATTATTGTTGTCTATATAACCGTTATCTTGTTTGTACATTTCACCTTTTTCTTCTCCTAAACTTTTATATTTAAAATTTGTCTAATTTTATTCTTTACCTTATTACTACTTTCTTGTTACTGTTATCCTTCACTCTCACACTTTATATTTACCATTTTTCTAATGTTATATTATATTTTTTAATTTTTAGCCCTAATGATGACCCACATGTTCGGGCCGAAACATCAGCTATCTCATTAAAGAATTTTTTAATTTCAATACATGCTTGCATTAGCATAAAATTATTATTTTGTGTAAGACTTAAAGGTCTTTTTTTGAAATTTGCATCGCAAATAGAGAAGAATGATCAATGCCAATAACTGCATGGTAGAAATTCATTTTTTTTCTTTTCATCCTCAGTATTATAGTACTTCTCATCAGTAACGGTGTGAGAGGTGGTAAGATTTTTATTGATCAACGTGATTTCACTTAGATAAGGACTTTTCCTTATCTAATCCTCCCTTCATCCTCTATGCAATCCCCTAATCATCAAATCCTCTCTCTAATCCCCTTGCATACTTCTATACCAAGAAGTAACAAAGCAACACTTTCGTTGCTGAAGTAGAAGCTATGAATCTAAATAATTCCGATTTCAACCTTTATTTTATATTCAATTTTTGGTACTTGTCGGTTAGCCGGACAGGACCAACTGCTATCTGCCACTGTTTATAACCTGAACACTGATATTCAGATAAGGCTGCTCGTAATTCCTATCTTTGTATTCATATTTTTGTATTATATTCATATTATTGAAATTGTAAACAAAAACAAAAGTAATAATTAAAAAATACTTTTATTTTACAACATATATTTTAAATAGGCGAAAACAAATGTAATAATAACAAAACAGTTTGGTTTGAAATAGACAAAAAGAAATGTAACAATTCCCACAACAATGAGAAAACACTTTAATTTTACAACACATACACTGACAGGCAAAAAATTCCACCCACTTGATTTTTTCATGTTTTCATCTAAAAATATTTCTGCTTTGGATTGGTCTATTGTTTTTAATGAATAAATAGGTAATCTTTTTGTTTGTTTTCAATTAGGAATGTTAATATAGAGGACAATAACCCTTAATCCTTAATTCAATGAAAAGATTCTAGATCCCAATGTTTACTTTCTATGGAATCAAAATGTTTATTCAGTATCATTAGTTCAGTGCCGTTTCTTGCAGCACATTTCTTAGTGTCCGGCTTTTAATTTTTTCAATATTTTTAAAAATGCCTCTTAGTGCTGAGGATGTTGCGCGTGGTGTGGCACTTATTGATGATGGACGTCCATTAGATATGCAGCTAATGCCATCGGAGTTCCATATGAAACTTTACGAGATGCCGTCAAGCGTTTTCGGGAAAGTGGTTCTTACAATAGAAGGCCCGGTTCTGGACGGCCTAGGGTAACAGAACCATGGGATGACCGGTTTTCGACTTTGAGAATTTTACAAAACCGGCACCTTACCGTTGTTCAAGCAATTCATCAGCTCAAAGAAGTTCGAGATGTGCAAATTTCTGAACGTACCGCTCGGAGAAGATTAAATGAGTACGGATTAATGGCTTTTTGTCCAGTAAGAGGACCAGAGTTGACCAGAACTCACAGAGTAACACGGCTGGCTTTTACTCGAGAACACAGCCATTGGACTATGGACGAATGGAGTGCTGTACTTTTTACAGATGAGTCAAGATTCGCTCTTCGATCTCCAGACGGGTGTGAAAGGGTGTGGAGAAGAAGAAACGAAAGATATGCAGCCTGTAATTTTTCCCAGAGCCAACCTTTCCAACGTGGTTCCTTAATGGTGTGTGCTAGGATTTCAAGAGCGCCCCACAGAATTGGTTGTTGTTCGTGGAGGGTCTTTGACGGCCATTCGCTATGTAGATGAGATTTTGGAACCTCATGTGTTGCCAATCTTCAACGAAATCGGCGATAGTTCTATTCTAATGCACGATAATGCACACCCACATAGTGCAGACGTTCCTTCAACAGAACAATATTGAGGTTTTAGCCTGGCCAGCACGTTCTCCAGATTTGAACCCCATTGAGCATTTATGGGATAACCTCGGAAGACGAATAAGAGAGCGTGCAATACTTCCTGATAAACTGCAGGACCTTGAAAGGGCTCCTTGGGAGAAATGGGCTATCCTACAGCAAAGGGACATTTCCCGACTGGTGGAAAGTATTCCGAGGCGTCTTCAAGAAGTAGTGAAGGCAAGGGGAGGAAACACGCGCTACTAAACGATGATGTAATTAATTTCTTTTAGAATAATAATGGTTCGTTTTTCAATTTTTTTTTCTCTAATCTTTCTTACCTAATCAAATTTTGATCATTAAAGGTAAAAAAGATTATAAAATTCCATAAATACTAAGTATTATCTACAAATACCATGTATTATATACAAATACAACTTTTTTTACAAATGTTTATTGGGTGGAATTTTTTGCCTGTCAGTGTATATGAAATAGACAAAAATAAATGTAATAATAAAAAAACACTTAAACAACATATGTACAATTTATTTTCACTTCACCTTATTTATTTTGGTAGGCAAAATAGTTTAATGGTATTGGAGGAACTATATGAACCCGCCACCACAAAAATTCACATAAATATGAATCGAGGTGTTGTCTGGAAAGTCCTCTATGTTTCTTATTTCTCCACTTAGCTGAGAACCATAATCGTTCTATGTGTTGAGTATGGAGTCCAGTTGATGGATCAACAAAATTATAGCGGTGATTCACCTGGAAATGATTATAGTTTGCTTCATTCAGTTGTCGGGTGTTGTATCCTTTCTAACAGTCAGAATAAATGGTGCTTCACTCTTCTATATTGTTTTTAATACCTTGTAATGAACTTGTTGCCTTTCTGTCGTTTATTTTGACAATAAAACACTCATCTGTTTCTCAGCAAACTCCACCAAACATCCATTGCTCAGATAAAACTCTCCCCACATGATTTTTTCTTTTAAAAAAAAAGACTCTCTTCTACTTCAACAACTTTGCCAGGCCCTCCAATTTTATACTTGACCTGTATAACATGTTATGGGCACAAACCTCTCTTAAACATTTGTTTCACATTACCATAGTTTCCTTTGATAGTTTCAGCTGCTCTTTGCCCCACTTTATCGTTTTTAAATTTGAAGCCGTTAAAAACTAATTAATTACATACATAATTTAACAAAAATAAACAATGGAATAACTCAAAGCTTTCAGGAGATAAGAAGGAAGGTTATATGATGTAAGATTAGATAACAAGGAAGGTTTCGTACAGGCCTCCTATCCAACAAGTACCCAATTTTTTTTTTTTAGATTAAGTGGTTTAGGATCCATTACCTTTAAGCCATTGGAAAGGAGACACATTTTTTCAAATAAAATTCTTTTTCATAACAAGTTGGAGAAAACTGGTTCAGACACTAAAAGACTCATTTGATTGGCATCTTTTTTAGAATTACACAAATAAAAATTATTGAATTACATTTTTCCCTAATTATAATATTAAACATCAAATAACACAGCTACATAACTATATATAACAGCTAATTAATAGTATAAAACATAGAACAAAGTAATATTAAATTCTCACTTTAAATTTTTTCAAGGCACGCAGGGTTTCACCATGAATAGTTTCATCATACTGAGAAAATTTTAAATAATGAGCATCATCAGTTTCTAAAGATTTATATACATCAGACTGACTATCTTGGACGCACTTCATTGCCTGACTTAAGTATTCTTCCCTTTCAAATTCATACCTTTAAAAATAACCACAGACAAATTCACATTTTCTTATATCAAATAAGCAGAAATATAACAAAATAAAAATGTTGGTCACCATAAGTCATATAGATATTGTATCAAAACTTTAATTTACTTTCCACATTTTATGAGTGAAGACATTTAGTGAATGAGTAAGCATAAGCATCCTTAATAAATAAAATTATATTAAATCAAATGATATTTATTAATTTACCATGACTAGCATTCATTATGATAATGACTTTATTGAAATAACCACCCAAATAGAATTTTTTCAATTCATAAGTGAAAACTATAAGCCTAATCAACAGAAAACTGCAGTGAATTAGTTTCACTCGAAACAACCAAAAAAAAAAAAACATTTTAATAATTATCTAAGTCACATAGTCAGTCATTTATTAGATTTAGCATTTAACTTTATATAATAATTAAAATGTTTTTTAGTTGTTTAAACTAATTCTTATTCCAATTGTTAGGAATAAAAAAACAAATTACAAAACGTATGAGAATAATTAATTTTAGCCTATTAATAGAGAAAATAAGTTAGAGACATACTGAATCAAATACAATTCAATATTACTTTATACAAAACAGCTTAAGCAATTTTTTTTTTTTTTTTTTGGAAGAAAGCGTCGTTACCTGGGATGACAAAATATCTAAGGCTGGCAGTGGTCAGTTTCTCGCAAAAAGTCACTAACAACATTTTTGATGGCGCTTAACTTAATTTGTGAATTTTAAACTTATTTATAACTGGAAAAATACAATAAGTTTATCAAAATGATACAAAACCTATTAGATATAAAAAAAAAAACTGGACACAATGTTCTGATTTCTCAGAGGAAAAATTCATCAAAGTGCTAAGTGATTTATGACTTTTGGTTATTAACCAGTGATATAATTATTAATATATACTGGTCCAACCATCCAAGTTGGTAGACATAATTTAAAAAAACTTAGAAGATTCAAATACATAGGATGAGTAGTTACTGTGGATATCAATATAAACTAGGAGAAGGTAAAGTCATGTTGCCACAAATAGACGTTATAGTCTTCTCAATCATATGAGAGCCATTCACTACTATGATCTACAAAGTTGGCCAATAACAACATTCATACAACCCATTCTGACATAAGGATTTCTGAAATATGGATTATGAGAAAGGTAAGAAAGAGAAAACCACTGGTTTTCAAAAGAAAAAAAAAGTAAATATAAATTAGTATATTTATTTTAATTTCGTATCGGCCCAAAATTCAGGCCTTCATCAGAGCTAAGAAAAAACCTGATAACAATGGGTATGAGAAACTACAAACATTAAATAATAAAAAAAAATAATATGTAGGTGAAAGGTATAGCCTAAAAAATGTAGTGAGAATAATAACAGTAACAGAGAACTAAGAGATAAATAATAACTGCAACAAAGTAAGGACTAATGAAATAAACATAATCAAAATAAGGTACCATAAGAAATGAAAAATGAATTAACAATGAAAAGTAAAAGAATGCATGAGATAAAAAATTTAAGTGTAGAGAAAAATAAATGGAGTGACATAGTGGCTAAAATATGATGTAATATTATGCTAAAAGGAACTGAGATAATCCTACAATCTATACAAATAAAATAACGGTTTTGTCTGCACATTAATTAGAATCAATCCGTTTTATGATATCTTTACGTTTCATACATTGCAGACACCAAATCCACTTTAAAAAATTTTTTGTCTGTCTGTATGCCCCCATAGCAATGAAATTTTGTCAGAGGTAAGGTCAGCAATGGCTTATTGTAGACTTTTGAAATGTTGTCATTATATTAAGGTTTGCTTCACTTAAAACATAGTCTTTAAATTAAAACAAAATATTGAGTAGAACCAAAGTTATGAATTCTTGAGTACTTTGTTCTAGAAATCTCGGTTAATGTTGATAATAAATGTTAATAATAAACATATATTTATCGGTTAAAGATCATTATTGAGTCTTGGTACTACAACATTGTTTATATTTTAATTTGAATATGTTACACAGACCAAATTCTCTTTTATTTTTTTATACAGACAAATTGTGTGGGATTTTTTAAATTTGGTTTTAAAATATTTTCAACGATTTGATAAAATTGCCTACAAAAAGTCCGATTTAAGCTCAATTTCCAAATCAGCCAAAGTTAAAATGAAACTTCAGTTGAAAGACCATCTCAGGAATAGGTTTGCTTGATTTGAAACATAGGCTTTATATGAAAACAAAATATTAAGTAGAACCGAATTTATGAATTCTTGAGTAATTTGTCTAGAGATCCCGGTTAGGCAGTTACTTACTTCAATTCTCACCCCAACCTACTCAACCGTGAGTCACATTAAAAGTTGTACTACTCAAATGATGGAAAAGATTACCACAAGTCAACGGGAAAAATCCGAAATCCTGAACTTCTGTAATGCATTGTCGCTTATAACACAGGTAAAACAAACGCACTCATTTTTCAACTTTTTCCGATCTTCCCATTCAAGGTGTCATTCGATTCAACTTCCTGAGCTTAACAAATGTTGACGTATACATTTTTAGGATTAACCATAAAAAACTCAAAGATTTCACCCCGCTCACCAAAATATTCAGATCAAGTTCTAATTTTACACGGATACAGGTGACTCAATGTCCAATGTTATTTTTCCAGTGATAAACTCAGCAGAGTTTAAAGAAGTGGAGAGACTACAACTCTTTTTGATTATTTCAATCGACTCCACAATCTCCTTGCTTCATCATAAATGAACACTTACAAAATTTTATTGGATTGGTGGTGGTTGGTTTAGTTGGGAGGCACCTAAACAAATAACAAGTTTTTATTATGAGTATTGCGAAACCTTGACTTTCATAAGCCCCCAACAAAATTTCAAAACAACCACCCCCACCCAATTTTATAAAATTAAATTTGGAACTCTCCCCATAATAAAAAATCCATCTAAAAAAAAAGATTCTCAAATTTAAACCATACACCCGTCAACGACAGGATGTACATCTGACAGGACAGATGTAAATAGAAAACTGAGATACTGTAAAATCTATCAAAAGATATTGACTACGTATAAGAGAATAAAAAATTAAAATAAAGTAAATAAGATATAATGTGCAAATTTTTTTTATTTTAACTCTTAATAAGCAGACATATCGAAACATTCATAATACTTCAGTTGTCACTAAAAGGATTAAAAATCATCATAATAAAAAATATATAAATAGTATTTATAAATACAGTTATTACTACTTATGATCAATTATAAATTTAATATTACTGAAAACCATAACTTTGAAAAGTTTGTCAACCATACTTACAGATGGGCTGCCAATTTATTAGTTCTTGCTTTTGCAGGTATATGATAAAAAATGTTTCTAGCATAATCAAGGACTTGCCAGATATGATTAATATTTCGAGACCAATTGTTAAAAACAGTACTCAAATTGAGCTCCAATGTTTCAATATCTACTGATGGATGAAATACCTTTGTCTCAAAGACTAAACTCTAGAAAAAAATAAAATAAATTAGAATCAGATTTCCTATAAATAATGTATCATTGTCATTAAAACTAACTTATTAAATGTAATTAGTCAGAAAGCATCAAATATTGTAATGCAAAAATGTAATTATTTTGATTTTTAAATATGGTACACTCAATAAAAATACATCAAATAAACATGATAAATTAAGATGCTTTTTATTTTGTGGAAGTTATTCACACACACATATATATATATATATATATATATATATATATATATATATATATATATATATATATATATATATATATATATATACATATAAATATCTAATATATGTATATAAACGTTAAGATAAATATATATATATATATATGGAGTGGGGTAACTCAGCGGTAGGGTACTGAGCTTCCAATGCTTAAGGTCTCAGGTTCGAATCCCAGCTCATGGCAGAAAAATTATTCTGTTTCATTGGCCGTGGGGTGACCCTGGGTAGGTAGACCCTCCTGGGGCACACCTCAAATGAAAATTTAGCTAGTCATTGTTAAAACCATTTAAAGGGGACTTCTAAGAAGCTAAACTTGGCTAAGTTCGGCTTTTACAACAATCATAAATTATTGGTGATTTTTTTTTTATCTTTATCCAACTGTACTATAGATAGATACCCCACTTTTAGAAAAACTTCTTCGTTTAATGAGCTTTTATATTTATTAAATTGAGGTTTATTAGGAAAATCCTTGAGGATCAACTCAAGTTGTGTAAAGAAATGTTGTGATTTTTACTTTCACTTACATATATATGTAATATATAGTAAGGGTAAGTAATGCGATCGAGAAAATTTTAAAATCTGAATTAGCCAATGCGAAGCACTCCTTTTTAATAACCTCAATGGAAAAGGATCTGTAATAGGATCTTTTTATTTATTGAATAAGTGTAGTTATTGGAAGTCCAGCATTTTAGCATAATGATTTTAATAAACACTGATCAACACCTAAAAATACAGATTATGTAACTTGACCAACCCTTAACTCTGGGTATATAATCTAAACATCCTGTAATATGTAATGATCGATCAGAAGTTGATTAGGATAAAACTTACAATGTCCGGGTGATTGATGGCTCAAATGCCAGGAAGAATTTCCATTTTGAGTACTAATATAACATTTATAGATAAAATAGTTTATTAAATTTGTAATACTCACTGGGTGAACATTATCAGGAAACTCTTCTGGAATTTGCAGTATAAACCGAAAAATGCCTCCTCTGTACACACCTGATCTAATAAATATTACACCAAACCATACTGAAAAATATATTAAACATTACACAGAGCATAACACCATTGTTCGCACATTAAATTTTTATAAAAATAAAAAGAAACTTACACAATTCTGAGTTAGCAGAAGGAATAACATAGAGTCCAGGGATATGTCTGCTGACAACCAAATTGCTAAATAATTGAAAGATTTTCATACAAAAGAAGTAAATTAATTAAGTGTATAAAAAATTTTAATTATAAAGTTATAGAACTAATCCTTACTATTCTGATATAATGGTATATTCTTTAAAGCTAAGAGAGTAGTCATCAGGATCAAGAGACGTGCCTTTCGATTTTGGACGGTCTAACATTTTTGCAGATTTGCCTAACAGAGAATCAGTTCCCACAAGAGAATGGAGAACTTTTCTAATTGAACCATGCCTTGAAAGATCACCAGCTTCATTATCAGGATCCTGAATTATTTGAAAAGAATATTAGTTAAAGAAAAGCAAGATATTTTCCTAAAATTCTGATAAGAAACTTACAAAATCATTAGGCTCCATCACTGCCATTTTTTTTTATTAAATCATTAAACTAAATTCATCTATTGAAATCGTATATCAAGAGCAAATGAAAATACATTCTTTAAATAAAAAGAGAGTAATTTCCCATTCACAATACATTATCACTTAAAGATAACAACAGTGTCAGGTAAAAATAGTAACCTAATGGTAATAAACCTTTCTGCACTTCCAAAGAGAAACACGATAAAATTCCATGAATAATAAAAAAGATATATATATATATTATTGTACACATTCATTGATTTTTGAAACATTAAATTTATTATCCTTATATAATTCTATAATAACTTTATCCTTAAAGCAAATGGCTAATTTTATGCACACTTAACAATAGCAAATGAAATCACTTCATCTAAATCATTCATTTATTTATAGTATTATTTTAAAACTTACAAATAAATATACTTTAACTCATTTTCAAACGATGTATTTTCTATCTCCTTCTTATTATTTCTTTATTCATTAATTTTAAAAAACCTCAAACTATGCGTTCAAAGTGAAAAGGCGTATCATTAAATGCTCAGAATCCCTTGAAAAAAAAAAGTCATCTCCAACTGACAATTCCTCCTCTCAATGCAAGTATACATTCATTTTAATACCTGACGCAGAGGCAGAAGTTGGAATGTCTATTTAAATGTAAAATATTAAGAAAACTGGGAAGGCTTTGAATCAATTGGAATTGTAGTGCCCGAAGGAAAAAAGCTTATGTTATAAATAACTTTTTATGTTGCTCTTTAATCGTCTAAATTTGAGTTTATTGTCGTACATTGTTGAATTACAATATGGCTTTTTCTCACGTTATTCCTAACTTCAATTTGGAGGCTATAACTCTTAACATAAAAGTAGATAAGCATTTTAAAGGAAAATCCTACGCCACATATTTGGAGCTATGTAGGAGGATAACATTTGGAGAAGAGAACAAATGCAGAGGTTTATGATAGAAGGGCCGATTTAATGACATACGTAAGATTAAGCAGACTGTTATGCTAGCCTATTGGATAAATACCAGTAGAAGAGATCCCAAGGGAGTTGTTGGATGGGAGACTATGGGATCAGAGGAGCTGCTGGACGCCCGTAACTGGCGAGAATCTGCTCAAGATAAATTTACCTGTCGATGACACATTGAGGAGACCAAGGACCACACCGGTCTGTAGTGCCACGGAGTATTAGTAGTATATAAGTATTTCATGTATTGATGTTATAAATTAAACAAAAATGTTATGTACAAAGTTTTACACTTTTGGGGTTTTACTGCACGATTCTGCACATTTTTAGTTTTTTACCGAATCTTTTTTCGGATTTTTATTGCACAAAAATTTGGTCTCTAATTACTAGTTTCATACATTAAACCTCTTGGTACTCATTGTCAATAGACGCCAGAAGTGCCCAGAAGGGAGTTTCATGTACTGTAGTTTCATGGCGCAAGCTGCGCTATCTACATTTTTGAGGGGGATACAATTTGACGGGGTTATAAATTGTAGGTTCAGAACCAAGGACAAAAGGAAAACATGGAAAAGACCGCGGTAAGTATAATTAAATGAAATCTTCGATCTTTCTAATTCTACTTTTCCTTGCACGGATTTTAAAAAGAGGATATCAATCAAATGTTATGGAAGGGGATGGGAGAGGGTCATACGCCATCGATCTTATAGAAGTCGTGGAGTCGTGAAGTTGTGGATTTGGAGCGTAATAGTGGACGCGATATTGTATACTGTACAACTGTTATTCTATGAGTTTTCTTTCTTAGGAAACTCATTTCTAAGCCACAGAGCCTTTATAGGGCATTTTCTCAGTTTTTGACAAAGTTCGTAAAACTCAACGTTGGTTGATTGTGGTTTTCAACCATACTACTTAGCCTGATTATTAGGCTTAGGTATTCGTTCGATGCACAATTTAACGATCTTTTATTTCTTTGAGGAGAGTACGTTTTTCTCTTCGTTGCACCGTTTATGAGTTAAAGACAAAAAAATAAAAGAAGATAGAAAAAAAGGCGTTTTAGCTGTAAAAAGTATTTCCCTTGATTCGTAGCGCTAGCAATTTTTTTTTTTTTTTACATGTTTAAATCCATATATATATATTTATACACATTTTCTGCCCCCTCTTACAAACTAGCGGTGTCCCTCAGGGATCTTAGCTCTCTCCAACTCTTTTCTCCATCTACATCAACGATCTTCCAGATTCCATCCATCATTCACAATATCACTTATATGATGACGACTCCCAAATCTACCTTTCCTTTCATCCTACCAAGATGCTTGAGGTGATCCAAAGGCTTTAAGAAGACATTCATAGTCTGTCTGGTGGGCTTGAGATTAGATGAAAGAGACTAATGAATTGTTTCATTAGATTTATTTTTTGTGTCCCCAGGCGCTTCCACATCTCCAGTTGGTATGCCGAATTGCAACGGCTCTATATAGTCTTCCGACGGCAATACTCATAGGTGTATTCCTTTTTCGAACCTTTTCAACGAAAAAACCTTCTTACATTCTCGATCTGTTTAATCCTTGTTTCTCTGTCCATTCGTTCAACACGAGATCCCAGCCCTCAAACCTGTTTATTCCTTCTCATAGAACTTTTTCTGTTAAAAAATCCATTGGCATACGAGCTACCTTGTTTTGGAATTCCCTACCAACCTCCATACGCAAAATCCTTATCCTTGACTTCATTTAAACATAATTTATCTATCTTATCAGCAATCAATCTTCCGAACATGTGTAAAATAATGTAATTTTTCAGACCTGTCAGTCGCATTTAATGTTTACGTGTAAAAATATGTGAATTCGCATATCTGAATTTATCTACAATTTCATATGTCTACCAGTGCCTTTTCTTTATTGTAATTTTAGATCTAGATTATTCTGCAATTAATTTATTCCTACAGGTGTCTTGACCGAAACTATAGTTCAATGCTTACATCACTTTCTCTTTGTTGCCCTGTCATCTACTTATTTCTATCAAAACTGCTGCTTTAAGTTGATAACAGTGAGTTTGTGAACATTTAAACACATTAACATTGAAATATTTGTCAGCTCTCAGTTATCCTCTTCTCATGTCACTATCAAATCCCTGAATGATCTTTCTTCAGATCTTAGTCCAGTTATGTTTTCATTGCACCCAACCTTCGCTTCTAAGCCCTCCTCCCCTCCTACTTTGATTAAAGGATTGGGATTAAGTAGACTGGGAAAACTTTCATTATGATTTGGAAAGCAAACTGGACTTGAAAATTTCGCTTAAAACATGACAAGCCATAGAAAAACTTAACACATTAAAAGCAATCAGCATAAATGATAATACATCTACCAATAAAAACATAAACATACGAAATATTAACTTGCCACAACATAATGGAATTTTATTAAGGGAAGAACGCAGAGCAAGATCGAAGTGGCACAGGTTCAGATATTCTACAGATATAATTCGCTATAAAAAATTTACTAACTAAAAATAGAAAGTTTAAAACTCAAAAATTACTTAACCTAACTGAAAATCTGATAAATCACTATAGACGACAACTAGAAACTCCTTTAGTTTAAAAACATTAATCATCCACTTCTCACTGAAGCTCAAACCTGGAACAAATCTGATGAGAAATCTCTCATATTTGCTCAAAACATCTTCAAATCCTTTAATCTACATCCTGATATCCTTAATCCAAATCACTTTGAGTGTATTGAAGCAGAATTGGATATACTTCTCTAAATGACTCCTCCACCTAAAGCATTTCATCTTTCAGAAATCGCCAATATCATTCATAGATTACCTTCCCGCAAAGCTCCTGGCCACGACCAATTCACACCTCAGATCTTAAAACTGCTTTCTCGGAAAGGCATCCTGTTCCTTACCTACATATATAATTCTGTACTCTGATCCACATGTTTTACTGATCCCTGGAAACTACTTATTGTTAAAATGATACACAAACCCAAAAAACCGCCCGAACACACATCCTCTTACCGAACACCGACCTATCTCTCTATTACCCATCATGGGCAAAATCCTGGAAAAACTCATTCTAAAACGCTTGTACCCCATCCTAGATTCTAATCATATAATCCGTGATCACCAATTTGGATTCCGCTCTTCCCATTCCACTATCCAGCAATGCCATCCTGTGGTAGACGTAGTCTCCTCTGCATTGCAGCGCACGGGAGTCTTTCTCGATGTTAAACAGGCGTTTGATAGAATCTGGCAACCGGGAATGCTGTACAAACTCCGTAAACTCCTACCACCTACATACTTCCTCATTATTCGTTCCTACCTTTCTAATAGATACTTCAAAGTAAATCACAACAATGCCTATTCATCCCTCTTTTCCCAGTCCGCTGGAGCTCCTCAAGGTAGTATCCTAGGTCCTATTCTTTGCACAGTCTATACAGCTGACATCCCAACCCACACTGTTGGGTATAAACACCGTTATTACAACCTATTCCGGTGACAAATGTGTCCTATCAGTTCATAAAGACTCAACAATTGCATCCCCAAACACTTCAATTCCACATCACAAACCTTGAAGAATGGTGTCAAAACTAAAGAATTAAAATAAATTCCAATAAATCCCACCAAATTATCTTTATTCTTTGTCGTGAACCTATGACTTCCTGTCCTACAGGATCCTTTAATAATCCCCACTTATCGCTGTTGAACAAATCCTATACCTAGGACTCCACCTGGACAAACGTCTAACCTGGAATCCTCATACCGAACTGAAATGACAAGAAACCGCTCGATGTTTCCGACTACTTCAGCACTTATTAGAAAAATGCTATAACCTTTCAATTAATTACAAAAGATTCATATACATGACCATAATGAGACCTATTTGGACTTATTCTAAGTCCTTATTGGAGTTATTCTAAGGGGACTTAGTCCCAGAATAAAATTTATTTTTCTTCTATATACAAGATAAAAAATAAGAATATTTCCCGCATATATTTCCCGTTTCGATTCTCAGGTTACTGGCCCAATATTCTTTAACTCATTTTTGAAAACAGGTGCTCTGGAATGGCAGAAAAGGTCTATTTTCCATAGAATAACATAAACTTTCGTAATTTACATTCAAACATTCGCTCAAAGGCACAGACTTTTTATTCTGGTTCGAGAGGGGGAGGGAGGCGATGGACCTCCCTCCTCCCAAAAAAAGTCTCGGATCTTATATTATGAATACAAATTATAAGTGACATTAAACATAATTATCATCATCAATTACATCAATGGCAGGCAATAGCGGATCCAGAATTTAATTTTGGGAGAGAGGCTTTAGCCTGAAAGCTTTTTTTTTTTTTATAAAAATAAAGATAATTACTTTGGAAAAAAGAGATAAACTAACTGCCAACATGAAATGGTGTTTAAGTGATTCCTAAAGTCCTTTTAAATGTGATTACATGAACAATAATATTTTAAGAGATAATTTTTTTATATTTTTTTCCATAAAACATGGTTATATTCTAACATTTTGGGGGAAGGGAGGGCTTCAGTGCGAAAGCCCCTCCCCTCAGCCCATAGATCCACCGTTACCACCCATATTATCCATTCAGCAATTCCTTCACCACTTCCGGATTTACACAAATATGTCCCCACTTCTCATGACTGATATCATTTTAACCTGCCAGTTAATGCTCAGTCACTCCTGGCCCATTTTTTTTTTTTTTTATAAATTTTACTTTTTCCTGCATAATTTTTAGCATCTAATCGCATTATCTGAAACCTGACTAAAATCCACAATCTATATCTCTCTACCCAACTATGCTCTCCTTAATCATGACAGAGATCATATGGGTGATAGTGTAGGTCTCTTTGTCCACGACCGCCTTAAATCTAAAATCTTCCATTGCTCTTCAAATACCGATTCTCACAAACCTTGAATACCTTTTTAGTGAAATCCGCACCTCCTCTCCCGCACTTTTTGCAGACATCTATTGCCCTCCAAAAATTCTCTTTGATGAGGCATTTGAGACTGCTTTTTACAACTTAATCCTTTCCTATTCCTTTGTCATTCTCTCGGAGACCTTAACACCAATTTGCTGATGCCATCCTCTGACTATTCTTATCTAACAAGCCTCCTCCATTCCTTCAGCCTTTACATTATACCTTACAATTCATACCCAGTTTTTGGAGTCCTGGCTTGATTTGTTTATTGTTGATGCCTCAGACAAACTCCTTGTCACATCTCACTTTCTGGTCCCATTACTATCTTCCCATGATCTTATCCAGATTTCCTACAATATCTCTATCCCATTTTTTCTCTCCCTCGAACTATATTCTTCTGAAACCTCAATTTCCTCACTTATGAAATCCTGTCACAAGATCTAGACACAATACAGTGTAACGCCATTTATTTCTTAAACTCTATCGACACCATGGTAGAAATCCTTACTACTCATCTTCAAACAATCCTTGACCGGCATGCTCCTCTTATTACCATGAAAAACCATCTGAAATCCCCAGCTCCCTCGCTGACACCTGCTCTGAGAGTGACGCTGTCAGGCGACTGTTCAAATGAACTTGACTCTCTTAGATTATCTCTTCTTCAAATAGCCCCTTAACAGCACTCAAACTGCAGTGTGCTGAGCCAAATCCTGCTACTTCCATCATTCCCTATCCAACCTCCCTACTACCAAGATCATATAGATTATTCTTATAAAACTGACAAGACCATTTCCTTTTCTACTGATAACCTAAACGCATACTTTGTCTCCTAACCTTTTTCTTTCTCTCCACCCCGGCTACTACTTATTCTCCTTTTAATCCTGACCACTTATTTTTTTCCCACATGATCTCCTCGGTTCCATACCAATGATCATGGTCCTGATAACATCTTGGCAGACTGTTTAAAGCTGCTCTGGCATCCATTCTTTGGACCCTTTACTATATTTACAATTATTTACTGCAAAATGCTACCTTCCCTACATCCTAGAAAACCACCCTAGTTCACCCCTTCAAAAATACTTCTAACCCACCAACTTTAAATGATTTCTGTCTTATTTCCCTTCTATCAAACCTCTTCAAATCTTTAGAGGGACTAATTCTTAGAACAGAATAACCTCCTAAACCCCATCCAGTCCGGTTTCCTGCCTGGCTATTCCACTCAGTCTGCTCAAATCAAAATTTCCAAGACCTCCATAAAGCCATAGATCAGCAGAAACTAACCGTCCTTATTCTCCTTGACTTCTCCAAAGCCTTTGACTCAGTAGACTACAACATCCTCCTAATCAAACTTAAAAATATCTGCTTCCTTACCAGTCACTCACAGTATGTTGTAGTCCCTAATCCCACATCAGAATCTCTACCCTTGTCCAGATGTGTCCCACAAGGCTCCCAATCTCCCACTCTTTTCATGATCTATATCAATGTCCTCCTATCCTCTATCCTGCACTGTCAATACCATGTGTATACCGACGACATCCAAATTTACCTCTCCTTCAATCCAACCGACTCCTTATGTTCCATCCTAAAACTCCAGTAAGATATTAACAGAATATATGCAAATATCAGTAGGCTCACTCTAAATGCCAAGAAGAAGAAAGCCATCTTGATCGGATCTTCCTCACTTCTCAAATCCTTTCCTGTACCCCTCCCTCCAATCTTCACCAACAACTCACCTATCTCATTCCATACTTCTCTAAATAACCTCGGTGTCACTTTTTATCAACCCCTCCCATGGAAACTAAACATCTCCCAAATGTCTCGTCGTACTATCTCTATCCTGAAACAGTTCAACCGTTTACACTATCTCCTTCCATACATGTCCCGAGTCCAATATTACACAGAATTGAAGTGGCTTTATCCATCCTACCACTGTCAATACTTTCTTGCTATCTTTTTATACCAGGCCATTAGAACTCAGCAACCCTCCAATATTTTCCATAGCCTACAATTTAAATACTCCATTCAATCCCACCCCACTAGATCCTGTACTTCCAATCTCTGGATGGAGTCATCACTCTATTCCAATACTTAACAGAAACCCAATATTACAATTGAGTATAGAAAACTAGCCACCAATGAACCTCTAGGATAGAGACAATTACAAATTAAAAAAAACAATACTCTAATTAAATATTATTATATCAGATTATTTATTTATTATGGACTTTCTTTATATTACATAGGTAATGATATCTAGTTCAGACATCACTGAATATTATTAATGTTTACAACAGTGTCTAAATATATCTATAATTACAAATAAATACAATTTAAAATAACTCTTGCCTATAATACAATGATATACAACAGTGAACTAATAAATTATAGTAGGTACATATATTGAATACAAGATGAAAAGCATTAAAATTATAGTTATCCTCAAGTTAACAGTTATACTTATAAACAATAAATCTCTGAAATTTAAACATTAAATCTCGTTTCAGATCCATCAGCTAGCATCAATGTTACAGTTCTATTATTGATCCACACAAGCTTAGCAAGCCTCATCGGATTTAATCTTGACATATCTGTGAGAGGAGAAGTGCTGTAAGACTTTATTCTTTTGGTCTGGCTATTACCAAGACCAAACATACCAGCTGAGCTCTATAAAAAATATCAATATATAAAAGTAAATATAGATATAATAAAACTACTTCCACTGGAAATATCACAAAAAGATGAATCATTACCTGCCAAAAAGAGAGTTTATTTTCTCCACAGCTATAAGACACCAAAAATTTACCATCTGGAGAGAATGCATTCGCAGTGATTGCAGATTCATGGGCAGGGATCATCTTGACAAGAAAACAAAATAAACCGTTGACAATATAAAAAGTCAAAAGAATAAAGTAATGGTAATTTAAAAATTAGACTCATACTGTTTTCCATCCTAGTTTGTAGTCTTGAGAAGCTTGAGTCAAGTTTAAATGCACCATTTAATTTATTTTGAATATATTTAGTAATTTATATTTTCCAAATTTCATACTTTTTAAGAAAAAAAAAAAAAAGTTTATACAAAGGCTAAGCTAATAAATCACAGGCAAGTATATGACTTTCGGTTTCCACTTTGACTAAATTATAATATATTTTTAATAAGATTATTTTAAAAACTCATATCAATGTTCTCTATGATTTCCATTTTGTTCTATTGTTTACAATCCAGTAGGGAATAAAACATATGCAAAGATGGCATATAAGGTACATTGAAACACAAAAGGTGAGCCTCATTGTAAATTTTGTAAGTGCCCTAATATGATTCGTTATTTCCTATCATTATTTTTTTTTTTTTTTATTTCTCTTTAGTGCTATCTTTTCAAGCAGCTTGCAAAAGACACTAGTTAATACTATAGGTCTGTAATTTTCCACACAATCAGTAGGTTTTCTGTTCTTAATGATGGGAATAATGTCAGCTTTTCTTCATTCACAAGGCACATAAGATGACCATACCTCGTTTAGGAATCGAATTACCACCTGTTTCGCAGAGCTGCCAAGATGGGTGAGAAATTCAGGCAGTAAATTATCTGGTCCAGCACTCTTCCCACGTTTTATTCCTTTTAGCGCTACTTCCATTTCTCCCAAACTAAATTCACAGTTAAATAGAACCGTTTCTTCCTTATTTAAGCATGTTTCAGTGATTTCAATAGTAAGAGTGTTATTATTATCATTGTAACAGGAATTACTGCATTTTGTGTTTCACCCATTTTAGAAACTGAGTCGAAAAAATCTGAGTAAAATGGTACCGCTGTATATTATCCAGGTCCTGCATTATTTTTAGTCTATTGCTAAATAAGAAGTTGGATTTTATACATTCAACACAGTTTGTGTGTTTGTTTTACCATTACGCCATGATTGTTTCTGGTAACCCACATATTTGTTATTTTGGTGACTGCTGTCAGATACTATGACAGAACTGTATAATAATGCAATATAATTTTGACATGTTAGAAAGTATTGCTATACTATTCACTAGGGTACATTTGATGAGGTAGGCAGGAAAAATAAAAACAAAAAAAAGTGTTTCATTTTGCTTGATGTTCCTCTATAGATAGTAAAGTTAAAGAAATATTCAAATTAAAATTATGAACTGTAAAATTTACATAAAATAATTTCTAACAAAAAAGTGAACACATTTTTTTATAACATTGGATTGATGATAGAGGATTTAAGCCAACTCGTTAGGAGGCTATGATGACTTGTATTTTTGCATACTAGGTACTAACTTTGCATACTAATTTGAATGGGACATAAACATATATCACAACTTTTGAATGATAGATATTTTTTCATAACGACAATGTTCAAAATTTGATGTAAATTAGTTTGGAAGATATTTTTTTATATGCTGACATGCTGCTCCGGTATCTATAAAAAAATCTTGCCCGGACTTTCTATTGGTGGAACCATACAACGCTATATCTGCGTCCGCCTTCTAGTTTTTTGGAACCTGTTTGCTCTCAGAATCCTAGGCGCAAGGTCTTATACATTTTTTTGCTTTATCTTCGAATTTAAAATGATAAAAGCAGAGCCAATTTTCCTTCTCAAGTTTTATTCTTTGCACGCTTGGTGCTTTACAACGTGAATTTCGATTAATACTTTACAAATATTTCATTATATATTTCCTTTCTTCTATTTAACTTGGCATCTTTTTCAGTGAGTTAATGCTATTTTGAAAACCATAATTAGAGCAGTAGAAGAAGATCATTAAACAAAGTTATTAACATGAAAAATTAAAAAAGTTAAGGCTCATTTATATATGGAAAGAAAATTGAAGACTATTATAATGAAGCTAATTTCACTTGCACTAACAGAATAATCAATAACAAAAATGTTTATTTAAAAAAATTAACGTGAAAAAATAAAAGTTTCTTGTGCTTCTTTTTTTATGTGTTTGGACACAATAGAAATATAAAAATTGGCAAAAAAAGTAAGACAACCAATGAATGATAAAAATGTACTAACAAATAGAATGAAGTAAATGGAATACCAAAACATGACCGATTATTAGGTAAATTTTTGTAGATTGTAAATTTTATTTAAATAAACCTATTATTATTATGTAAATGGAATAAACATATTTATATCATAATAATGAACAAAAAAAAGTATTAATTTGAAATTTCATGAGTTCAATTTTTGGGATGACACAATTTTACATCTTGATGCAGATTTAAGCTTTAGTTATAAAAAATACTTTTAATTTCTTCTAAAACTTGATACAAATACTAAACCAATTTATATTAAAACAAAACTGATCTATGAATTGAAGTTTTTATATCTAGTTGCATGTTAGATTTTATGTAACTTAAAAGAATAACTTTTTTTTTGTACAATGTTTATTCTATTTTCATTTAGACCATAAAGATGAATAAAGTGTAAATATGTATATAAATATCAAAAATGTCTACCTGACATTTTGCTGATCTGAGTTCATATAAAGCAATGGTTCCATTCTTAGCACCAACAGCTATTCTTCTGGTAGCAGGGCAATGAGAGATTTGGTTGAATTTATTCACAGCAGGGAATACTTCACCTAATGATTTCATTTTTAGATGTCCACTTTCTACACAGTGCAATATCACATCAACTACCTACAAAAATGTTTTTAAAAACTGTAGTAAAAAATAAACATAGTAATTTAGCAAAATAAACAAATTCTATCATAAGATTCATAATATCCTTAAAAACAAAGAATCAACTATTTATTTATTTTTTCAAATAAAACAGCATTATTTTTGGTGCATGTTCTTAAAAACAAAATAAGAACTATCTCAAAATTAGTTGGATCAGGAACTCTATAAAAAAACACTCTATAAATTTCTAGCTTATCCTTTAGAACACTATAAATATCAAGTAATATTAGAGGAAAGGCACCAAATCATGTAGAAGAATTCAGTAATGGGTCTTTTAAGGCATAAAATCCCAAAATACTTTCCTAGATATTAGCAATTTTTACTTATTTTCTTTGATATGCTGCTGTTTCAGCAAGAATTCCAAATTGAGAGATGTTACTAAACATTAACCTTCCACTCTAATAAATCCAGAAATCACATATATTTTTGTATAATTGCAATATTTATAAACATTTTATAAATTGAGTTTAAAGTATATGGCAAAAAACATTTACAAGATGTTTACTAAAACTTTAATGTACAACTTATATAAAGAGTTAGAGTAGTGTTATAGCCAAAAATATGAAAGTTAAGTTTTCAGCAAAATCTCAGAATTTACAAAAAAAAAATATATAGATAATTGATCCAACTTTTGAATAGTTGAAGATAAAATAGTAAAGTAACGTATATTTTTAAAGGAAATTTAATGCTAAACAAATTTTTTTATCATAATTTTTTCATATAATGAAAAGATAAAGAGTTAGATAGTCAAATAAAAATTAAAATACGAGTCAAAAAATCTTCCTTTTTTAAATTAATAAATTATATATAAGAGGACACATTTCAGAAACAATACAAGATAGCAAAAAAAAAAAAAAAAAAAAAAAATGGATATAATCAATCCTGTTGGAAATTTGGTCAGTTATGATTTATATATAGAACCATCTCATCCATAAGAGGCATAGTTACTCAGATATAAGTAAAAAAATTGAAAAAGTAACCTGCCAGGTTCCCACCTCACTCACATCCTAGGAGTGGGGTAACTTTTAGTATGTTTACCTTCTAAAGAGTCCCTAAATCAAAAATTGTATTTTTGAACCAGTCATTTCTCTCAATACCCCCTTTTAAGCATTCAATGACTGGACTATGATGGTGTTTAGAGGCTTATATTTTTATGTTATTTTTTTACCAAAAATTTGCCAGACAAAGCAGTTAATACTTGAAATTTTTATTTGTTTACCAAAAATTTGACAGACAAAGCAGTTAATACTTGAAATGTAGGTACAGACTTCGTTTTGAATTTACAAAATAGGAATTTACTGGCTATATTATTTTTCGTTAATTCAAATTTCAAACAAAGATATCTCAGGCTGCTGTCATTGCTTTGAAATGTTTAAAAGATTTTTTTTTTTGCAAATAGAAAACAAACTACAAAATTCTCTTCAAAGTAAGTCATGAAGTATGTAACATAATATTAAAGTAAAGTAAATCAGTGGAACTGAATGAATGCATAACTTGAAATGTCCTTCAATTATGTAACAAGGGAAACTTTGCTAGATTCTTTGCTCATGTATACTAAATTGGCCATTTATCATTTAAAAATAAACGGGAGCTTACAACTCATATAGTGAAGGGGCAACCGCTAGAAGCCAACTGGCTTAAACTAATGACTATTGAGAGGCAAACTGCGGATGAACGCGAGGAACTTCCAGGAGAGAGTGCAATTGAGCTAGAAGTAAAGAAGTGGGCAACCATATTTAAAGACCTACTCAAAGCTCCGTTGGATTCCAATAAAACTATGAGTGATTTCAATCATTTTCTAAGAGAGGCAAACAAAACTCTTCCAGTTCCAAAACACCCAACTATACGTTTCTATCAGATATGTAGAAGGAAAAACCTAGAAATGAAGAGCAAGAGAGAACAACAGGACAACACTCCTCAAAGATGTAACAAGGCTGCCATAGAGGGGCGGCGAGAGAAATATCAATATGAACTGGCTCAGTTAAAATATTACAATTGTGGAAAAAAAGTGGTCCAGAGTATAATGAACGAGGACAGCCCAAAGCAGTGTCCTATCAATATGGAGAAAATTGAGGAAAAAAATGTATTCTTGATTTTGGCCATGAAGTTCAAAAGTACACAGATCTGTTGGGCTTTGAAGCAAATAATGTAGAAGCATCAGTATCAGTCAAGAAAGTTAGGCAGTCCCTGTGAGAAAAGTTGTTTGAGGATTAGGGTAAATGTAAGTGGTAGGGAATAGATGTTTCCCACTTTTAAGTCAAACTAATGGGCGAACAAGTTTACGTATGATAGGAAGATTCTTGTAGGTTCAGAATCAACGAATGCTTTAAAATTAAACATCAACTATGCTTCTTAGAGTTCCAAGGACCACAGGCCAGGTGTATGGAGATGTCCCCTCTGCCGAGTCAGAAACACTAGCTTATATACTGTGCAAATATCTGAATAACATGCTCCTTGTCACCCCCCGGATCAATAATATAAAGCTTCAAATTGCTGGATTCCTGGAGACAAACATATTCCTTGAAGTATATTGCATAGATACAAAAGGCTCAAGATACGTAAATATCTTAGCCTTCAGTGCAAAAGGAATGATCAAAATCTCAAAATAAAAACAGAAAAAGAGGAGATCTATAAAAATGCATTCTTTACCTGCAGGAAAAATATAGAGAGGAATTTAGTGAAAGAAAATTTTCGGTTAGGGGACTTTGGTTTGGGAGTAGAGGAGCAATTCAACTGCTGAGTTTTTGGGAGGGCTGGAAGTGGAAAGGATCCAGGTGCAGAGTATGGCAGAGCCTAAGGTCATGATGGCTAAGCGTGTGGTCCAGTTTAGCATTCTCATGTCTAGTGACGCCGGTACGAATCTGGCCTGGGAGGGGTTGATTTTAATTTCATGGGGGACCCATGGAATGAAACTCGACCCTCCTACTCTTGTTAGAATAGGTTTGGTTGTACCTCTAGAACAACTCCCCCGTATGCCAGAAATAGTGGGTAGAAGGTTATCATAAAAAAAATAAAATAATAAAATAAAAAAAAAGCAGAATCTATAACTTTAGACTCATTAGGAATCCTGCATCATCATTTGTATTAATTCTGGCTACTTCGTTATGAACTTTATGGACAGCTGTGAGAAGGAAGAAAATGTGGAGAAAATTATATTAATGAATAAATTATAACATTCAGTACTTTGGATAAAAGGGCCACAAAACTTTATCCTTTTTGTACTCTCTCATTACATACTATCTATTGGGAGTGATCGGTGTGCTGGATCATTTGGCAACTCAATATAGAAGAGCAGCTGTATAGTTATATTGTACCTCTCTCTTCTGAAGAGTTGAGTCCTTAACAACAAATCAGATGGTTAATCTGACTGTTGTGAGAGCAATAAGATTATAAGAGAACCATAAATTGAAATAACAATTCTAAAATTATGATTATACAAAAATTAAAATTCCAGCTTACACTTGGATTAATTATTATAAAAGTTTTATTGTATATTTACTTCAATAAGTAGATCAGCCATTTCTGTATGCATTTTGTCAATTAGAAGTTCTACACATCTTAGAATTTCCGGTTTTGCACGATGAAGAACTGCTGTACTCAGATTAACATTTAATGTTTGAGCATTTTGTTGCAATGTATTATATCTAGCAACCTAAAATGAAAAAATAAATGTTAACACAAAAATGGAACTAATTCTCATACAACAGCCTTCAGTTGTCTACCTCACAATGTAACATTCATAACCAAAGCTCAAAAATGGATTGGTTCATTTTTTTTTTTTTTTAAATGATTATAAATATTCTATTTCAGGGAAGTATGAAATTTGAATTAGCTTCTCAAAATTATAATTTTTAGCTTTATTCAAGAAATATCATGAGGGAATGTCTATTGAATTATTCCTCAAACATAATTGTATTCCTTTTTACTTATCGCAAATTATTTTTCAATTTTCTGGCAACCAACATGGATTCTAAATTTAGTATACTGCAAGTATGAAGGCTCACTAGTCCCAATATGATATTTTTACTTTATATTTTCATTTTATTAACATTAAGATAAACATATATATACCTCTCTAGCCATAGTTGTTATAAAAGCAGCAGGACGAGCAGTCGCTATAAGAGTAAGAGCATGACGGGCAGTTCTAGCAGAATCTGCAGCAGGAGTTAAAGGAAGCCCATAGGTCATACTATTAAAGAAAAAAATAATGAATAGCAGACAAAGATAATTCAATATAAATTTACATAAGTTAAGAAATGTTAATTGTAATAGTGAACCTACATCATGTATACAATGTTTTTGCTTTTTTCTTAACTTATATCATAACATTTTGGAGATTTTATAACTAAGACCAAAGACTGTATTTTTTTATTTAATCAATGAATTGGGAAATAAAACATCAAACAATTATGATTTACATTAAGAACCAAATTTCCAACCTCAGCAAGCCACCAGAATTTCATTTTGTTCCAGTAAAACCTAAAATCCATTAACTATAAAAATTAGCTATTTTAAATCCTACTAGATGTCTTTCTGCATTATGGAAAACATTGTTTTTTTGCAACGTGCCACAGACAGAAAGCAATGCTATTAATTTATAAAACAATCTTGAGACCGATTGTCACTTACGTGATTTCTTACACAGAAATCTGAGAAGATGCACTGGACCTGGAAGACGAAGGTCTTTCTACAAATCTTTAGGGAAGTATATATAAATGGCATTGGAAAATGAGAAATAATGGAGAACTTCAGGAACTATATAATGAACTAGATGTAGTCAATTATGTTAAATCAAGCCGTACAAGATGGCTTGCCACATAGAAAGGATGAGAGAAGGCAGGAGGCAAAAAAAGGAGAGGATGGCCCAGACTAAGATGGATCGATGATGATCTGCAGAAGATAGAAATTAGACAATAGAGAGGCCGGGCCATTGCTAAGGAGGATTGGAAAGGCATTTTTGAGGAGCCCAAGGTCCTACAAGGGCTGTAGAGCCATGGAATAAATAAATAAAATACACTGAACTATTAGGACTGGTATTACTTTTATCATACCTGGGTACCAGCTTGTCAGCATCACAGCAAAGCTCTAACAGTCCTAAAAGAACCTTGCTGACATCAATGTATGGTTCCCATACAGTAAAACCTCTTCCAATAAGATCTATGGCAGCCCTTCGTAGTGGTGTATGGGCAGGTAATTTAGGTGAAGGTATTGCCAGTAGCAAATGTGTCAATGCATAACCTATGGAAATTTAAAAAAATATTTAATATTATTTAAAAATAGTTATCTCTGGATTTAACTTAGATGATGGTTGGATGGTTGGGGTGCAGTCAAAATAAATCACAGTAAGAAAAATTGTTTTTGGCAATTTTGAAGGCTTTCACAAAGTTATTAACCAGAAAAGAATAAGTATGAGAAAAGAAAAGTTGAGTGACAATACATAGAAATTTGATCATGAGTAACAACTAAGAGAAATGAAATAATAAGAGCTTGTAAACAGAAACTAAATAGACATAAAATAAACTCGTACAGATACCGATGTTACATAAAACTAAATAGATTAAAATAATCATAATATCCAATAAATGTAATATGTGGCAAGACACAATTAATAATGTAGATGAGATTTTGGGCTATACTGATTTTTTTGCAGAAACAACCCTTTTATTTTAAGCAAACATGTGGATCATCATCAGGGCTACAAATTAAAAATTAATTATCCAGTCAAGTTCCTATACTGGTTGATCATTAGATGAATGATAAACACGTTTATAAGCAACAAGCAGAATTTTAGAAGTGAAACTTTACTGACCCAGATAAAATAAGGCCGATATATCGGCCTTAGTAATATTGACATCAGTACAAGTTTCTATACAGTTTGATTTGTAGACGATTGATTGGCACATTTATTAGCAATAAGCAGAATTTTTCTAAAACTTTAAAATAAGACAGAAGAGCCAATATTTCGGTCTTAAGAATATCAGTACCAGCTCAATTTTCTATACTGGTCGATCCATAGATGATTGATTGGCACATTTATAAGCAATAAGCAGAATTTTTCAAGTGAAACTTTACTAACACTGGTAAAATAAGATCAAAAGGCAGATAAATCGGTTTTTGGAATATTGGTATTGGTTAAAATTTATTTATAGATCCAACCATAGATGACTGATTGATAGCCTCATTCAGCAATTAAGAGAATTTTGCAAGTGACACTGTATCAAATTTGACACATAGAAATGAAAGGCCAAAATACTGATACATAGGTTTATTACTCTTTTAATGGCCGTAATTTGTGTATAGGCCAATGGATAGATGGTTTATTTATTCGGTTATTTATCAATGAATAGGATATTCGATGTGAAACTGAACAAACCGTGACAGAAAACAAAAAAAGGCTGATATATCAGCCTTTGAAATACTCATATCGTCCAAAATTTTGATATTGGTCCATCCCTAATAGTGGAAATATGTATTATCATAGCATATATTCTATATATATCATATTAAATTTATAGTATTATTTTTTTTATTTGGTTATTTTCAATTTTTGGGTTAGATAATTGTTACTTAATTATTTCTTGATTGTCTTCTAATGATATTAGAACAAATGTTACTTTTCTGTTCATTATAATTATTCTTACCTTAGAATAAAATTTACTCATCTTCTAATGTTTTATGACTTAAGTTTGTAAGTAATCTAACAAAAATCAAACAGCCTTAAAATTTCCTTCACTTCAGTCCATTGTTCAATTTGAAGTGATTTTCAAGAGCTGAACGATTGTACTTGTCTCACTAAATTGTATTCATACTATTTATTCAAATTTATGAAAATTCATATTATAAACTCAGGTGAATGTAAACATATCTTTACTATTACTAACTATCAAACACAAAATTCATCTTTCCATGACATATGCATGTAACAAAAATAAATTTTCACCATAGATATTAAAATGAGGGATTGACTATTTGAATACAAGAAAGTCTAAGATTCATTTATAATACTAATTATGTTTTTGTAAATAAAAGAAAAATAATTCTTTTAAATAAGTAAAATGCTTTAAAAAAAAAAAATCATAAGTTTCAATTTTTGAAACAATAACTAGAAAAGAAAAAAAAAATATAAAATAAATCATACTTGTAAGACGAGCTAAGTTATTATTGCCAATTCCGAATCCATCGATTATAGATGATTTTCGTCTTTGTTCTGGTCCTCTTCGCTCACCAACATCTTGTCCGAATTCTGCACCAATAACTCCCAGAAGGACTACAGCAGTTGTTTGCTTACGTTTTATTTCATTTATAGATGATGGTTTCCTTAAATATATTTCTAAAAGAAAATAAAAAAATTAAATCTTACATTTTCACACAATAAATTTAATTATTTCAACTTTACAAACCTTCAGTTGGATCTTCATCATCAAATTCATCCTCTTCATGAACTATTGGTGCCTGACCTTCTGACTGATTACCCTTCATATTAAGAAAAAAAGCCTAATGTTTTAAATGGTACTTTTAAACATTATTAGTCAAAACAAGAAAACTTTATGAATATTAAGTGGTTTTTCTTCTTTTAACTTTAGAGAATTTTTTAAAGAAACAAATGATTATCATCTAAGTGCAGTAAATAGAGATTTATTTACTATCAACAGCATAGTTGGGGAACATTTTTATCATTAGAGGCTGGATTCAAGTCAGGTAGGAGTGATAAAGGAGGCTGCTGTAGTTTTTTATATTTCACTGTTGGTGTTTTATTTGTTAAACCACATATATAGATGTTTTAATTTCCATACATAGCATAATTTCTACCATGAAAGTCCCTTCTGGGAGTTCCAGGAGTTATCGTCAGGGGAGGGGATCTTAATAACAGTCTGTCACATTTTCAAACTTTAATTTTAATGGAAAATTGTTTAGTTAAATTAAATGAAAATGCAATTTAAAGTTTACCTGAACAACTGGAACAGAAGGAGTAGGAGGGGGTTGTTCAGCAGGTGTACTATATTGAGGTAAATACTGAGCCCAATAGTCAACCAGTGCCTTCCTTCCTTTAGTCCCAAGTCTTCCCAATTCCGCTAAAAGAAGAGCTTGAGCAGCTTCTCTCACCTAAAAAAAAGTAGTTATTGTTAAATATTTTAGTAAGTCCAATTGAAAAAGGAAAAATCAAATATTAAATTCATAATAAGAGAAGTTGGTGGGAGAATTGTAGTCATTTATGTATCAGATACATAAAAAAATTATATTTATTTTCTTTGTGCCGATGTTCCAGCCTAAGTTTAAGAAACTTATGAAATAACGGAACAAACTTAGGAAGTTATACAATAAAGGTAATAAAGTGATTAAGAAAATAATAATTAAATATGGAATCATAAAATTAACAAAGCAATGTAAAATGAAATAACAAAGAAATTAAATAGAATATTAAGAGATACTAATAAACCATAGGAGTAAGTAGTAAAAATAAAATAAATAGGCTGTAGTAGTTGCTATAAGTTGATATAATATGTTCAGAGGAAATGAAATAAACATAGAGTAATAATAAGGAACTTGAAGACAATAAATTAAATAAATATCTGGGCATGCAACAACATCTTAAAATTGCAAGAAAAGAAATGCAACAAGATCTTCTAACAATGTTCAAAATTAGGTTATGAAAAGTGCTCAAAACCCAGCTAACAAAAAAATCAAGGCTATCAACACTTTATACCTACTCTCGGTTATAGTTTCAGCATATTGCACTGGTCAAACACCAGTCTACAGGAGATCGATGGCCTTGTGCGAACGACTCTCACTCAAGAACGGAGACCACCAACCAATATCCTCCAGAGCTCGGTCTGTATTTACCTAGGAAAGAAGGAGGACATGGTTTGCTAAATATCGAAGAAGCTTGTTGCAAGCAGGAAGTGGTCCTACGCTGATACTTTCTCACAAAAACAAATGAGGTTTACCTCACAATCTGAAGAATGGATTCTGGTCTCACCGCACTTAATTGGAGCAAACATGATGATTCTACAATTGCGTCAGAAAATGAAAGAATGGAACAAACAAATCTCTGCATGGAAGATGGAATAAATTGAATGATGGCTTCATTGACAAGGAAATGTCCGTTGAATGGCTAAAAGCTGGAAAGATATACTCCGAGACAGAAGGATTTCTATTCGCCATCTAAAACCATAGCCACTAGATCATATAGAAGGCATGTTCTAAAAGACATAGCAACTATAGATAAATGTCGCTTATGCTCAGCAACGCTGGAATCAATCCAACATATCACAGGTGGGTGTGGAGTGTTAGCTGGCACCAAGTATCTTCAGAGGCATAACAATGTGGCCAAAATTTTTCACCAGGCTCTGGCAATGAAGCTTAACTTATTAGATGATAAAACTCCATATTATAAGCACGACCCAAATAGACTCCTCCAAAAAGGCGGTTTCAAGCTCTATTGGGATGAATCTATTATTACTGACCATAATGTACGTCATAATAAACTAGATATTGTCCTGATAGATATGAGAGAGAAAAAAACAGAGTTTATTGATGTTGGGGTCCCCAATGATAATAATATAAGCTCCACTGTTGGAAAAAAATTGAGAAAATATTAGGAACTGGCAATAGAATTGAAGGAATTATATTATTTGGGAAGTGTAACCACCACTCCAATTATAATATCCTCCAATGGACTGATACCAAAGTCAACCGTGGCAGGCACGATTGGTTTAAAATTATCTCTTGATGTGCTGAAAGACGCTCAACACTCAGTTCTCTTAGACAAAGCACGTATTGTCAGAAAGTTTTTAAACATCTAAAAATATAATAATGATATGAAGGTGGCTGAACTTTTGATCTCCCATCTCATAAACTCACCCCGCAAAGAGAGAATAAAAAGTATAAATAATAGTTATAACAAAGAATATAAAGTTATATAAAGAAAATAAAAAAGTAAATAGAAAGAATATAGCAGAGTAAATAAATAGAGTGATCGACCATCATTCATTATTGTTGTTACTTGTCTGAATTCCTTCAAACGAGCAGGTACATCCTATTATTTATCATTTATTTTTCTCATGCACCTCAGTTACCTTTCTCCCTTTGCTCTTTTTCATATCCATACTTAATTCTATGAAGCAAAAAATACTTGCATACAAATTTTAGATTAAAAAAACTTAAGGAGTTGCTATTGAGCTTTGAAAAACTGAAATAGTTAAGAGATTTTTTTATATTTTTCTAAAATTAAATTATACTAGTAAACATAAAAATTGTATTAAATTATTGATCAAATTACAAACAAAAGGTTGTAATATATTTCCATTATCCTCTACTTCACCTTATTCATTTATTACTATCAGATCAGGGATAGCCATTCCCAGTGTTCATTCCCAGAAAGGAGTTTTTAATCTCCAAGTTTTGAATTGAGGCCAATGGATGCACAAGGTAATTTACTATCTCTAGAAATCTTTATTCAAAGACCATTTCTTGTTCTCTTAAAAAGAAGAAACAGGCATCGATAACATTTGCATATTTGTTATAACAGTTTATGTTAACAGCTGGTTTAACGCACTATCTCAATGTGTTACCCTATTCAATGACTTGTAACATATGAGAAATATAAAATAATATGAAAGTGAAAAAAATATTTTATTTCAAGCCAAAGTTTTGACCTGACTTTGCAGGTCTTCTTCAAGAAGGTGCGTTCAGCATGGAGTTTCAGTTAAAACGCACTAAATTCAGTGAAAACAGTTTTAACTGAAACTCCTTGCTGAATGCACCTCTCTGAAGAAGACCTGCAAAGACGGGTCGAAACGTTGGCTTGAAATAAAATATATTTTCCACTAATTTAGTCTCTTTATAACCGCCACCCCTGACCACCTCCTTCCTCTAAGAAATTTTTAAATGTGGAATGGAAAGGTTTTTGAGAACATTGTAGTATATATCAGAGGAACTTGTGGCCCTGGCATTTTTTTTATGATGTAATAGAAAAGACCAGGAGAAAAATTATCAATACTTTAAAAGACAATGAAGAACTGCGGAAACAGATCCCAACAGTTTTAAAAAGGGCATGCGAAGTTTTGTTTCCAATAACATCCTGAGGTTTTTCACAATCCTAAATTTTACCACCAAAGCTCTAGCAAACAGATGTAACTATCTGGAAAGATAATAAATTTTATGGTATAAGAAGAGCAAGGCTTTTACAAGTTCATATAAAGTTCTAAATGATATTGCTAAACGTGGCATTAAACTGGAGGAAAACTAACAAACTTCATACACAATATGAAGAACATAAACACTTATTACTTTCACTTACTTTTACTATATATGAGATATATAGTAAAGGAAAGTATTGTGATCTTAGTTTTCAACGGAAATACACGTTTTGAGGTTCCCTGAGTCCAAATAACCATGTCCTCCAAAATGGTCTGTGTGTGTGTTAACAGTCTAGCTCAAAAACGAAAAGTCGTACGAAAGTGAAATTGCATATTTAACGTTTTTATATGCTAGGGATGTTACAGCAACTTTATCATCAAAATCGGCTAATTGTAAGTGGCACTTTATATCATGGCCTAAACACACTTTTACAATTTTCCCAAAAATGGCTCTAACGATTTTGATTAAATTCATTATATCAGAATAAAATTAAGCAGTTTCAAATAAACTGTAGTTTTTATTCTGATTGATGTTCTCTAACAGGGCTTAAATGGCTAATTTTCAATATCAGCTTCCTCTAAAGTACCTTTAATTTTTTTAATTTGAAACAATTGACCATTTCACATTAATTTCTGATATAAAAGATAGTTAAATATACAATATAAAAGAATTAGATAACTAACTAAAGGAGAAATAATAGATCATAACGGAGAATAGTTGTAATTGGGGAACCCAAGGAATATGAGCGCATCCGAGCTCACCCGAAAGATTAGAAAACGCTTCCATACGTAACATGAGCTTAATATAATACAAACTATAACGATATTGTATAAATATACAAATGCGGTTTTCATAAATGCTATTGTTGGTATTATTTAATATATAATTGTGTAGATTACAGCGATATAAATATTAAAATTTGTATACATTAGGGTACTCACAATACCAATAAAAAAACCCATAATGAAATATAAATAAATATAGCTTTTATAATTTTTACTTTCTCTTCCCCTTTGTCTGAAAATACTTATTTCTGCTAAGAAGAGGGTGGTAAGTGAAAGTTGTGTGACTTACCATAAAAAAAGATTTTTTTATTTATTTTTTATAAACGATTGGTCAAGAAATTCAGAAAAATGTATTCAGACAGATTAGCTGAAAGACATTTCATTGCTAAATTATTTTTCTTTCTTGCAAAGCAATATGACCTCAATAATATTTAAAAAATCTGGTGTGTCCACTCGCACGACTTTTCTACTTATTTCAGAAAAACTTTTATATCTTTAAACAAGTCCATTAAGAAATAAAAAATCAAATAGATTTATGTTCTTGAAAATTGATCAAAGAAAAGATTTGAGTACATTGATATCTTAGATAAACTAAACCAATGTAAACGGGCTTGTGAAATATCAGCATACAAAATTCAATACACTCTAATATTATTCCTAAGCAAAAACTTTTTGTCATAGTCCAATTTTGTCAGACAGTAATTTCTGTAAAAAAGAAGAGGAAATAGTGAAACTTGTGTGATACGGGGCACCAGATTTTTTTACTTTTACTTATTTTCTTTTTTCTCTTTCTTTTACCACTTTCTGGCTAAGGTAACTTTGTTAATAGTGACCTGAAATGAATGATTTTTATATAGTTTAGAGGGGAATTTCATCACTTTAAAAAAAAACATGTTAAAAAGTTGTTTTTCAGAACAACTCAGAAGGTTGTGAAACTTATAGATCTGTCGAAAACCGCATATTGGAAATTTGACCCGATCACAATACTTTTCTTACCTAGTATAGGTAGGAAAGTAATAAATTATTAAAATATGTGTAGAAAATATAACACGCTATATCATCACTAATACTGCTTTAGTTCAATTTTTTTTTGTTTTGTAGGGTTTGTAGGTATACAATCTTCCCACCTTCGCTTCAGTCTACCCCTCGGACGCTTACCATTCGGCACAGCAAATATTAACCTTTTAGGAATTCTCTCGTTACTAAGCCCAACAACTTTACAAGCCCATTTGATTCGCCGCGATGAAATTACCTCAATTATATTACCCGGATACAGCTCACGCAATTCGGCGTTGTGTAACCGTCTGAACTCTCTGGTTAACTCATCCTTCTTCGGTCCGAATATTCTACGCAATACTTTATTTTCAAAAACCTTAAGACGCTGCTCATCCCTTAATGTAAGGGCCAAGTTTCGCATCCATAAAGAACTGCAGGCAAGATAATTGTTTTATAGATTCTAATTTTTAAGTTCCGGGACAAGAGGCGCGAACTAAGTAGTTTTGTCACAGAAAAATAACAAGCATTTCCCGCCTTCAGTCTAACCTTAATCTCTTCTTCAATTTCGGTTTTTCTAGTTATCGTAGAACCTAGATATCTAAATTTATCAACCTGTTCAAACATATTACCATCTATATCGATATCACCAGTAGTATCGCCATTTTTGCAGCTAACCATATATTTTGTTTTATCCACGTTTATTTCGAGTCCTAGTTCTTTACCGGCTTTCATTAACATTGTCGTATTTAGTTCTATAGTTTCAACGTCTTCGCTTAACAGTACCAGATCATCAGCATAGCCCAGCACGGATGTTGTCCCGCCCAGATCCAACCCTTTCTCGGTTCGCATTACCTCCCTAATGGCATGTTCTAATGCCAAATTGAACAGGACAGGCGAAAGAGAATCCCCCTGTTTTAAACCCGAACGAACCTCAAATTTTTCGGACAAATTATTACCGATTCTAACTTCATTGAGTGTCTCCGTCAAGCACATTCTGACTAGATTTACTAGTTTTTTTGGAATCCCCTGCTCGATTAGAATATTATACAGTTTCTGGCGGTCAATAGAATCATAAGCCTTTTTAAAATCTATATACAGCTGGTGAAAAATACCGTTATACTCCAATTTTTTCTCTAATATTTGCCGTAAAGAAAATATTTGATCAATAGTCGAACTATTCAATAGTATAGCATACTTTCCTTCCCTCATCGAGCCCTCCCCTGGCCAGCGAACCTCTTGCAGAGCCACGACATCCAAATTGTACCCATTTATCTTATTTGCGACCGATTTTAGCCCCCCTGCTGTGTTTAAACTCCTTACGTTCCACGTACCAATATTTAAATCCCTATATTTCAACTTGCGCCATGAATCCCCTAAAGCAGTCCCCACCCGGAGACCCGAACAGGGGACTAGTTTACCTCCGGATAATGAGCGTTTTACCTTAGGGAGATCCATGACTATTTGTGGTGTTTGGTGAACTAAAGATATGTGAGTAGGGCGTTCAATTCTACGTCACACCCTCCAGCAAGTCTGGTGGGCCCCTACCTCCAGCAAGTCTGGAGGTCTCCTCCCTCCAGCAAGTCTGGAGGGCCCCTCTCATTGTTGGTCAGCGAGTCCATCGGACTGAGCCGGGAGGAACTTCCAAGGAATTTCCACCGACCATCCCCACATCCGTCACCCGTGGGACGCTCCCCATATGCGGTAATGAGCCCGCGCGAGGATATATATGAGTTGGGCCCCGAAATATTTTTCTTTTCTTTATAACTTCTTTTCCTGAATTTTCTGGGGAATTTAGTACATGTACGAAAATTGAAAGGACAATAATTAGAAAATTATAGGAAAGTTTCATCAAAATCCTTAGAGCCATTTTTGTGCTATAGTCTATAGAAAAATAAGTTTTACACTTATTGCGCAGCCTCTATTGCACAGGGAACACCCAATTTGTGTCACAGGCATCAGTAGTCAAAGGCCTACAAAATGAACAAAGAAACAACAAAATTGGTCTACTAGTTCCCAAGATAATCTTGACAGAGACAGACCAATGGCTGCAAATGTGTTTTTCGGACTCAGGGGGCTTTGAAATGTACAGATCCGTCCAAAATCGCACATCGGAAATTTGACCCGATTGCAATACTTTCCTTACCTATATAGATAGAAAAGTAAAAACTGAAGTTGGTTTTATAAAATATCAAAAAGAACCGTAACATTTGGAAAGCAGTTGAAATATTCTCAACAAATTTACTACCAATTATCTTTAATAAATTAAATACAAATTTATTCGTCATTTAATTTTTAGAAGAGAAAAATAGTTGTCAGTCACTGAATTGATTAAAAGAAGTACATATAAGCCTCCAGAAGTTTTTATTAAAAAAATATAAACCAGCTTTAAAGCTTAGATAATCAGAATATTACCTCCAGGCAATGGTGTTGCCATCTTGTAGCCAGCATTTCAACTTGTGCTCTTTTAAAAGTTTTGGAGCCTCTTCCAGTAACTTTGTCAGTCAAAAGAACACAATGAAGAGTAGCCAAAAGGGACCAGCCCTGTTTTATTTGAGCTGACACAGTTTCGTCAGGAACTGATTCTTCAGTGGCCCATGTTCTTGTAGTACTTTGTCTTAAAAAAAATAATAATATGTACAGATACGTAATCCTTTCCACATTACAACACAGTAAATCCTGATATTTTTAGAACATGAAACTATCACAAGTGTTGAAGTTTTGAATATGGCTAATTTTTTTTCAGTCTCTCATATACATATAGGTTTAGCAATATTACTACAATTATTATTTTGTAAATTATTTCTTTAAACAGACACAAATTCACAAAATTATAGTTAAGGCATATAATATATGCCTAAATAACCGTTAATAAAACACTTTTTCTAATTAATAGGATTTAAAGGAAGAGACATACAAAACATTCCTTTAAGAGCAACAAATGTAAGTGTGTCTGTATACCTATCCAGCATTTGTGAGTTTGTATCCTCTACTCACAATCCTGATTAGCTACATACCACTCCAAAAATAAAGGCTTTCACAAGAGGTTCAAAGGAAAATCAAACATAACTAAATCTGACCTCATGAGTTTTCTGCTGCGCTCTTGCTCTGCAACAAATGAGGCATTGTTCATGGACATCAATGTATTCGCAATTGCAATTATAGCAAGGAGATGGTTAGTAGTAATGCTTGTGCTCAATTCCCAATGGTATTGAGCTGTGAACTGTCTAGTAAGTGCTTCAAGTTTAAGCAATTCCTTTGGTAGATCAGAAGCAAGAGCAGTCTGTGTTTCTGGTTTTACTTCTTTCCACAACTGCCATGTTGGAAGCTGAAGGCTCATGTAACCTAGAAATATAATCAGAAGATGATTCTAATATATATGTATATATATATATATATATATATATATATATATATATATATATATATATATAGAGAGAGAGAGAGAGAGAGAGAGATTATCTTATAATGAAAATTAAATCCATGTGGACTACCAAGATAATTGAAAAAAAAAATAGTATTCTAATCGTGTAGAAAAAATATGAATCTATTTTGCTCCACTCCGATATGTAAAAATATATTCTATAAGTAAAAGACAGAAATTTGAATGATGTGAGTTTGTACCAACACGTTCTCAATATCATTATGGCTGCCATGATGATAAGTAAACATCATTGGCTCTATAGTATTGTACTGAACAGTATGCTTTTGTAACTATGATTTTTATTTTTTCTGATGAATCGTTTGTTCATTGATTTTTTCAGTGCTTTTCAATGTCTTGAGACCTTCATTCTACAGTAAAATATTTTTATCATATAGGCAATGTGTTGTAGAAGATAAAAGTAATGATGAAATTTTCGTAATGGACATGATTATTGATTCTATTTTAATATTCAATAGATGATAACATTTATTTTTTCTTCATTTTGAGAAGAATGTGAAATAATTTCTTAGGGTTCTAAGGTGAAAATTAGAATCTACTACTAATTTTTGTGAACGTTACATCCAAAAATGTAGGCATTGTATCATAGTAGACCCATAATGTTACTAAACAATGTCAACAAGTCTGTCAGTCTGATTCTCTGACTTTTCCCAGATGAAAATAAAATTCTCTGAGTCCCTTCCTCCAAATAAAGAAGTTAAAAAAAAAAAAGATGAAATGTGATAACAATATTTTTACATTGTTCATAAAATTCTTCTTTCATTTCTTTACCTTTTTCTTCTGTGTAGGCATGTGTATTCACAATTCCAATATTATAAAATTGTCCTCTCACCCTAAGTTTACAAATTAATTCTATAAGCAATAAATCCTATATTGAATACTACATTTTAGTAGAAAAAAGGAACTCAGTTACAAACTCATGCTTGTTCTTTGAACAAATGTAGAAGAATGTGAACTAAGCCTATGTTACAGACCTAAACTATTTTTTGCTTAAACTAAGAAAACCATACACAAGGAACACTGGACAAAACTTCTTCCAAACAAACATAAGCATCAATTCTAAATATGATCACCTTAATATTGACTTATGATTGTAATTATTTATTCATTACAATACAAAATACTCGCCTGCCTTGGAAATGACACCGAAAGATACAGGAACCATAGGCCTCAAAAGGCCCAATTTTGTTTCACAAAGACGGTCCAGGTCAGGATCCAGACCCCAAGCATGTAATAAAGAAAGAAGAAGCTGGCCCATTTCCATTGTCAAATTCGCTTCACAGACCTTGGCACGCATACCACTACTGCATTCTGAAGGTACTGAAAAATGTCATTAAAATAACTGTAACACAACTTCATAGAGTAAACAAACATTTTCTTCAATATTTTACTTAATTAATAACCATTAAAAAGTGGTGGATGATCATTTAACATGAAAGTAAACCAATGAAGCCCTCTTTGTTCTTATACATAAACTAAAAATAAAATAAAGTAATAATCAATAAACATGTGCAGTTGTTTTTTTTTTTTCATAACATAAGACACTTCTGAAACGCTTTCTGAGGTACAACATGAAAAACTAAAATTATAGAGTATAATAGAATAGTATTTCAAAAATTATAATAAAATACATGTAAATGATATAAAAAAACAAACAAACATTAAATGTAATTCTCCCTTAAATTTACAAAATATAAAGGACCTAAAAGACCTTAAAAAATTAATAAAACAAAATTAAGATATCATTATTATAAAAACTGATAAAACAAAAACGACAATATTCATGTATAAGGATGATTATTTTGATAAAATGGCAAGTGAACTAAGTGATAAAAATACCAATAGAAGATTCCAAAGTGATTCAATTTTTGGAATGAAATAATACATCAAAATATTGGGTGGATTCATAAGTTTGTTCAGTTTTTTAAGGGTGAAATAAAACATGTTTTTTTTCATACAAATAATGAATTTTATTCTATAATATATTTGCCGTTTTTATTAATTACCTCTTGCCATATTTCTAACAATTTCATTATTTAACTCTCGTAAAACATCTGGGGTTTAAAAGCGAAAAACTGACTGAGATAAGTTTTCACATCTCTCTCATCAGCGAACGATTTCCGTTGAGGGAGGTGTTGTCTGGCCTTGTCAATAGTGGATCTTTATTCCTTGTGGAAGCAACAGGTAAAACAGTACTCCACGACAATCCCACCATATAGAGAGCAAAATCTTTTCCGGCCTTCAGGGTGGTATTAGGCGGCCATCAGCTGTTGTCCACGATCTAAACACTACATTATCGTAGATGATCCACCTGTCACTCTTCTATTGAGACTGGATCCGTTTTGTGCCTGTTTAGAAGAAAGTTGCAGATTGATATTCGGTTGATCAGGTTTGCTTCAGCCGTTTTGTGTGACTCCCAAACATTGGGGCAGGATACGTAGCCAAGCTGTTTTAAATGCCTTTGAGCAGTTCCAAAATATATTTTCAGTTCCTCCGCAATTTCTCGTACCTATAACGACCAGTCTTGTTCGATTAGAGCCTTGATATCACTCAACCATTTTTGAGCAGTACGTTCTGTTAAGGTATCGTTCCTTTATACCTTACTTATCTTTCGATAAACCTTTGAAGCTCGCTTGCCTTTTTTGAAATAAAAATACCGAAAATGCACTTTGCCATTTGGCACATTTACTATGCTGTAGCATAAATTAATGCTAAAAAATAAACAAAATTAATGCCAACGAAACCAAACACAACAGTTTCGAAGAGCGGACTTTAACTTTTCCGATAAGCATCATTATTATCAAATAAGGCCAAGAGAACTTAAGATATTTTAAAACCATTTGCACCACTAACAAAAACCGAACAAACTTATGGATCCACCCGATATATATATTTTACCAAGATTTCCAATTTCATTGAAAAGACTAATTACAATTAAATTCAATAAATAAATTAGCTTACTTTTATTACTATCCATTGAAATTGGTTTAAACCCAACACTTTCTGCTTTAGCCTGAATTTTCGTTTGAACATTTTCAGCACCTTCTTTCATTTTTGCCAGAATACCTATGATATAAAACAAAATAATAGTAATAATGATAATAAAACAGTAGTAATAATAATAATAAGTATGATGATAATGTAATATAATAGTGCCTCATATTTTTCATGGCAGGAGAGAATTTAATGTGCAGTAGGTGTACAGTACAAGTACTTGTTCATGTCATATAAACAAAGGATGAAAAGTATGAAATTCTAAAAAATTAAGTCTGATCACTTGTCTATAATGAAGGTTTATTAGAAACATTCATTTAGGAAATTAATCTCACAGTAAAATAATACATATGTTCAACTTATTATAAAATACTTTATACTAGTTCTACGGTATAAAAATAAAATAATACCATGTTTATCTTTTTCTTTAAGCATCTTTCCAAGTTTGCTCACTTATCTATAATGAAGGTTTTTCCATAAAGATTAAACCATCCATAAAGATTAAAGAAATTAACCTCACAGCACAGTAAAATAATACGCGTGTTCAACTTAATCTAAAATATTTTATACTATTTCTACGGTATAAAAACAAAACAATACCATGTTTATCTTTTTCTTTAAGCATTCTTTCCATATCTCCAGCCTTATTCTTCACTTTTCCAAAAAAATCTGTGTATGCATGTTAAAATAGAAAAAAAAAAAAGGACATGAAGACACAGATAATATAGCCAAAAGTTATACATAATTAATAATGATTACAATTTTGAGAAAAGTTATTACAATAGAGGTTTTTTCAATTTAATGACGCTAATTTGGATTTACCTGCGGGGAAACTGTAATCGACTACCTTGAGAGTTTGCAGCAGTACATTCCTAGACTCACTTTCTTACCCATTCACTCTCTCAGTTTGGCATAGTATTGTAATGGGATCCAAAGTTACCCCTAAATTGGACTATCTATGAAACAGGAAGGCCCAATCTTTAAATGGCCGCAATCATGTCGGGATTGCTTTCTAGGAGCTAAGAAATCCAGCAACAATGACAATTTATAAACTAACTACTGACTCTTATAATTGCTTCATGCTTCTGCAAGTTTTTTTTTCAAATATTCATTACCCATGAAGTCCTAGCTGCAGCTTTCCAGAGACTGCTGAGCACCTCATCATCAACTGCACCACCTTTGAAGTATAAAGGGTGAAGTATACTGAGGAAAACTAGTATTTAGGTCCTCAAAGAAAAGGATTTCCTTCAGCTGCTCACTATTGAAAATTACCCATACTGCAAAGATTTAGTATACCAGTGGAAAGCCATAGTGGGCCCAGCCCACTTCAATCTAATAAGAGGAGATCCTAGAATGAGAAGGCGTGGAAAAATCCATAGCAACTCTTTGATCTGAAGGCGTTTTGTCAAAGGTCTTTCGGCTCAGTGGTAGATGGACAAATGACATTATCTAATTTAGGTTTACGAACGTAGAAGAGAAGTTAACAGAGTGGTAACAGGCCTTCCCAGATAATATGGGTTTCATGCTATTATTTTTGTAAAGAGTACTATAGTACAATGATATTATTTAAATTTTTACAAATAATAATATGTGGGTAGCAGCACTAATCGATATGGCATAAAACCTATTTGGCTTGAAGATACAGTCAGTTAGCCTTCCCCAGTGCTGCTCACATCGCATACATATAGCTCTAAAAAACGTATTTTTATCTGACAAAAATACAAGTATAGTGACGGTGAAAGTGACAGATAAAACAGAAGTCATAGTGGCGGAATGATAAATCAAATATAATTATCACAGACCTTTTAACCTCTTACTCACATAGCTTATTTTATTTATATTACAAGTACTCTGTTCCCTTTTATTTTACCAATCAGAAGATTTTTATTATTTATTTATTTTAGTACAGCATGTTTATGTTTATTCTCTGATATCCTTTGAACTATATAATATACACTAAATATGTAATGACATTTGAAGTTACTAATGCCATACAGATGATTTATACAAAGCATAATTATTTCATTATGAAAAGTTATCAAGATATTTTGGAACTGGCTAGTAACTGAAATGTCGGTAAGAAAAAAATGATCATTATCTAAAAAACAAAATAATAATTTAATGATTTGATCATGTTTAACATGATAACAATTTGATAATGTAATATTCTTAATGATAATGCAACGGTTTATATTAATATACAATCTAACTAATGTAACTCAATTAACTAATTTAATTCAATTAACTCAGATATTCTTAATTTTATTTATTTATAGTATAACACTTTGCATCTACCCAAGCGGGTCATTATCACTAGTCATAATTTAATTTGTATAAAATATAAACAATTGATGAGATTAGAAAATTTATTTCACACTTATCTGTTACATAAATAAACCTATTTCATCATGATTGGTAGACTGGTACAAGTATCGTGATACAACTGTTTTAAAATTTAAAAAGAGTCTTTGATCAATAACAGATAATAATTTTAACAAGGACCTAATGAATAAAATGCTGAAAATTACTTTATACACACCTGCAATTTTCTTTTGAGCATCAGGAGAAGCTGAGTGTGTAAGTGCTGCTACCTTCTGATACTCTAAAGCATTGATTAAACCATGAGATTCAAGAGTTCCTGGTGACATTGCACTGTATTCTTCACTTAACAATTCAACTAAAATAATATAGATATAATATTAGAAATAATAATAACAAATAATATTAATACAAATTAGTAATGAGGTAGGCTAAAATTATATATTTACAATAACATTTTTTAAAACTACCAGTATAGCAATAGTAATAATAATAATCTAATGCAAACTGTCGTTTATTGGATTTAGTGTCTTTATCTACTCCTGGAAGAGCAAGAAGAGCTGGTTTTCCTAGTTGGTAACAAACCATTCAAACCAGGGTGAGAAGGTTAAAATTAATTATAAGGACCAACGACATGATAAAAGAAACTCTTAAAAGATAGATTCAGGCTATTAATGTTTTTGATACAACAATAATGTTCCATATAATAACAAAGATGCAATCTAAATAGGAAGAGCCATAATGAATCTCATAGTTATTAGGACCAGATATATTGAATACTAATCTGTTTTTTTTTTTTTTTTGTAATAAGTTCTTTGATATTTAGTTGTAAGTTATTGAATGTTGTAAGTCAAAAACAATTCGTATTCTATGAAAAGTGAGAGTATGGAACCTTTCAAGCATGATATAGGTTCAATGAAGTAAAAGCCTCCACAATTCCAAATCCATTTTGAACCAATGAGACATCAAAAGTTTCCTTAAATATTGTAATAACGAACTGCAGAACCATCCGAATTCTCTTGTTTCAAACTTTGCTTCCTCCTCGATCCCTGATAACCCTCCGAGGCGTCTGAAAAGAAGATGGCCTCGGGACCTTCTAATAAAGAACTTTAATTTGAGTTCTACCAATGGGTACTTTCTCTTCATGTTGTATTTTCCATGTAATACAGTTGTAAATTCCATTAAAATGGAAAAAAAAATATTGTAACATTAGACAGCAACTATCTATACACTAAATTTTAAAAGTAAAATTAATTCCTTAGTTCAAAATCATTTCCAATACAAGATATCTAGAAAGCTGCGTTTTTTAAATTTTTGAGAAGGGAACTCTGCTTCAAGAAATAACATATCAATAACCAGCTAAATGAACTTTGCAGCTATCTCTGCACCTACTACCAACAGACAAACTGTGCGATCTTAGTATCGTCCAAGTAGCACCTTAGATTCCTAAGTATTGTCACAATAGATAATGATATTGCCGAGATAATCAATCATTTCTTTTAAATAGATTGGAAGGTTTGAGTTTTTTAATGTGAAGTGAAAATTATGAAATTCTCTTAACTGTACAGTAATATGAAAGTTCTTTTAGCTTTATTTTTTTTTTAATTCTATTTATTCTATTATGAAGCCATATAACTTCATAATTCTGCTTTCAACAGATCTTTCATTATTCAATCCACATCTCTATGGAATTCTATCCCATCTTACATCCGTCGCTCCAATACCCTCCCTATCTTTAAATCCCCCCTGTTCAATCATCTCTTATCTGTTCAGTTCTCATAGAATTGTAAATAGATGATGTAAATATGTATATAAATAATTCGTTTGTTTTAAATACTTTATTTCATTTTTTTTTTAAATTGAAGATTGAAGGTAAATAGTACCCTTTTTTTTATTTATTCATTATATAAATCAATTTATTTTGTAATTATTCTCTGAGGCTCCAAAGCCCACATTTCTATCTCTATACATTATTCTAAAGGGACTTGTCCCAGAATAAATAAAGCGTTATTATTATTATTATTATAACAAGATCGCATGATGTAATAATAAGATAATAATAATAATAAGATGATATAACAATAAGCATTTATATGGTTTGTAACTCACAGATGCATTTAAAACATGTTATGTATAGGTCCCAGATGATGAAATTTCTTCACATGTCTTACCAATGTTACTTTAGCTACTTCAGACCTAAAACTTTTTTCCGAACAAATTTTTAAATAAAGGTTTTACAGAACTTTTCTTAATGTATATATATATATATATATATATATATATATATATATATATATCCAGTGAGAAACTGGAGATAAAGAGAAAATACTCCACAAAACATCGACTCGGATCCACCGGATGAGAAAGAAATAGAGGAAATCATTGAGGGGCTAAAAAACAACAAGGCTTCTGGTGAGGATGGAGTCCTAGCAGAAATGTGGAAAAATTCCAGTGAGGTGTTCAGAAGAAAAGTCACAGAACTACTAATGGACGTCTGGGAACAAGAGAAAATACCTGCAGAACGGAAAATTGCCATAATCCACTCTCTTCACGAAAAAGGCAAAAAAACCGAGTTGGACAACTACAGGGGGATCTCTCTACTGCCAGTTGCCTACAAAATGTTTTCTAAGGCCCTAGTAAACAGGATAGAGCCCCAAATAGACCACAAAATAGGAGAATATCAGGGGAGATCCTGCCAGGAACAGATATTTAGTCTGAAACTTCTCATGAAATATTATCTGAATAGACTGCAGAAAAACCTCTATATCTCTTTCATGGACTTTAAAAAAGCATATAACACCGGAGAGAGAGAGAGAAATCTTACTGAAAATCCTGAGGGAATACGGCATCGATCAAAAGACCATAAACCTAATAAAAGAAACTCTAACAGAAATCAAGACAAAAATAAAATAAGAGGGAATATAAGCAAACCATTTCCAATAAAAAGCGGTATGAGACAAGGGAACAGACTGTTACCTATTTTCTGCAAGGTTGTTTTTGACAAAGTTATGAGGACCTTATGAGAAAAAGAAACATCAGGAGCTAAAGTAGGAAATCAAAGGAGCAATATCCTGATAAAATGTCTAGCCTTTGTGGATGACTTGAGCCTATTGGCAGAGTCGGAGGAAGAGGTGATTAGACAGATAAATTCCCTGAAAAAAATAGCTGAGAAAACTGGGCTTAAAATCTGCCAGAAAACTAAATTTATGACCACAAACCACAACTTTAGGAAGACAGAAATAAAAACAGAATTCAGTAAAATCAAGGTGTTTAAAAGCTTTAAATACCTGGGCGAAAAAATCAGTAGAAATTTATCGAAGAAAGAAAGCATGGAGTACAGGATAAAAAATTTGGAGAAATTATGCTACTTAACGAGTAGCATTTGTATTTGTAATAAAAAATGCCTCTCCAAAAAGTCCAAAATCAGGCACTACAATACAGTGGTAAAGCCAGTGATACTGTATGGAACGGAGACAATGTTCTTTCCCAGTTTGGAGAAACTGCTGAAAATAGAAAGAAGGATTCTTAGAAGAATCCATGGGCCCAAAATAACATCATAAGGATACAGACTGCAATCCAATAAGGAGATTTATAGTGAAACCTCTGATTTGGAAACGGAAATGAGGGTAAGAAGACTTAGGTTTTATGGACACATGCAAAGGATGACCGAGGAGAGGTTAAACAAGGAGATTTTCAGTAGGGTTATGGGATACAAGTTTAACCATGGATATACGGTACAAATAAAACAGAAAATACAGAGGCTTGAGATAACACGGGAATTATGTGAGGATAGGACAGAATACAAGAAATTCCTGAAAAGTGAGGTGCATGTGGTGGACAGTAAGGAACTTCCGTCCAGGAGGAAGTGGACGGAGGAGAGGAAGAAAAAATTTCGCGATATCCTCAAGTAGAGATAGGCAGAAAGGAAGAAATTGAAAAAGAAACCAGTATTATAGTCGTGTAGTCTTTTGGGGCTGTTTCGCATCAAATAAATATATATATCTAACAGCTCTGTTGAAACAATTTATTTTCCATAAAGTCACACTAAAAAATTGTACTCGAACAGTACATTCTGTTTTAACCTAACTTTCTTTTAAGAGCTTAAATAAATAAAAGTTAAACTTTCACCATAAACTAAGAAGAAATTTATACCAATATATTTATTTTTTAAATTTTCCCCTAAAATATTTTACTGAAGCTGTTAAAATGGAACTTTTTAGAAATATTTCAACTCCCCCTAAATAGCAATTTAACAGACTAATAATACTACTTTAAATTGACAAAAATCTATGACTCTAGCCAATTCTTCCATTTACCTACTTTTATGTATTTATTTAATTCTGTCACACTAGTGAAATCTACATCTCTATACCAGGAGTCCCTGCACCCAGTCCCCATGGGCACTATCTTGCCTCTGTGACATCATATGTATCTCATCATTTCATAGTGCTGCTGTTCAGCAAGTTTTTTCAGAAAACATTTTTTTTTTTTAAATATCTCATAAGTAATTTGTGTATATAATCTCGTAAGTAAATTGGTTATATAATTTTGTTTCTTTGAAAATGTCATTTATTGATATCATGGCATTTTTACAATATTTTTCAATCAATTTTCATTGTTATTTTTCCATTTTTTTTTTCCAAGAACGAAAAATAAATTACAAAGTTAGTAATTTTGCATTCAATGAATCTCATCACTAATTGTGTGCTTATATCCCCTATATCAGACGGTGTCTGAATATCAGCAGCGATGAGATAATAACCTGTTTGGATTAATTGTCTTTGTCTCAATGTCCAGGTAACCAGCTACTATACTATACTACTCTCATTCACCTGGGTAAAGCCAAAAAACTAGGTGTTCTGTCCCTCAGCCTTGAGCATAGTTTTCACTATCTACCATAACAGCCCATCGGCTATAACTTTCCATAGGATATGGTACTAAACTAATCTTTTATTCTCTCCAAAATAAGGCCAAAATGTTACAAATAAAAAAAACAAGTGGTATATTTTATTAAAGGTTTTTAATGTCAATTAAGATTTTTATAGCTTTGTATCTTTAATTGGGATGAATAGAAAAGTCCTATTTGTTGATTATTAATCAATTACTTTTTTCAGAAATTAATATATATTCTTAGCCAAATCCCAACCAGAGTTGGACTGCGAATCAACCTAGGCAAGACCAAAGAGAGGAGGACGAATGAGCGATACTGGGAGCCTCTTCCCCTGATGGGCGATACCGTGGAACAGGTTGACTCCTTTGTCTACCTGAGAACCATAGTCACAAAGGAAAGTGGCTCAGGAGAAGATATGAAAAGCCGCATAAAGAAAGTCAATGGGCTTTTGTTCAGCTATATATGGAAGAACAGAAACATATCCAAAGAAACAAAAATATGGGTTTTCAATACAAATGTTAAATCAGTCCTGCTTTATGGCAGTGAAACATGGAAGGTGGAAAGCATCACCTGCCCCCTACAGACCTGTCAACCGATGCCTGTGTAAAATATTGGTAATTTGGTGGTCTGAGAAAATACCCAAAGAGGGACTATGGAAAGCCATCAATCAGCTACCAAGCCATCTAGAAATAAAAAACTGAAAATGGAAATTGGTAGAGCACATCCTGGAGAAAAAAGATGAGGCTTTAGAAATAACAGCCCTACAATGGAACCCTCAAAGAAGAAGAAGGAAGGGCAGACCTAGAGAGACGTGGCATAGGCCTGAAGATAAAGAAATAGACCAGGTTGGCAAATCATGGAATGTTGGCAAGGAGGATTGCTGCCAATAGAAACAAACGGAAAGAACTCGTGAATGCCCTATGCTCTAGTGGGAGTCAAAGGAATTAATATAATATAATATAAATTCTTGGAGTAAACTTAATGCTCAACAACTTTCTTTCCTATTCATTTTTAATAGAATAAAGAGAGATAAACAGTTGCCTAATAAAATTAAGCAAACATTTTTTTTTTCAAATTTACCTAATACTCAGCATAAATATTTCAGAAACAATTCACAATATTTAATAAAATTAATATCGTCAATATTTTTGCAGATTTAACAGCTCTAGTTTTGTAGAGAACATTTTTATAGATAGAACACAGTTACCCTGCTATAAGCGGAACCAAAAACATTACCTTTTAAGTGCCTTTGGAAGGTTGCCATTTTGGATTCCAACCTCTATGGGGTGGTAGACAAAAAAATTGTAATGTAAAAGTTTAGTTGTAGAAAATTTAAAATTTTCTTAAAATAATCCAATATTTTGGTTGTCGACTTTTGGACTATAAGTATTGGTGCATTATTTTCTAAAACAAAGATTCAGTCAAGCCAATCAGAGCAAAGTGTGTGCTATAAAGATCTATGAATATGTTGTAAAGTAAACCCACTAGACTTTTCAAATCAAGCAAACTATAGTTCAGTTTCAACAAAAAAAAAAACTTGCAGAAAATGAACTGTTTGAGACTTACTATGAACTTTCAATTATGTTTATACTAAAATTCCTTTTAACATAATAAATTCCAAAAAGAAAGTCATGTACCTATCAAGGCTTCAATATCAAAACATAGTATGTGGCTCTCCGGATCCTTTGGATTGGTTCTGAGGCCTTGAATCATCAAAGGAAAAGCTCTTGGTTTAGGTTGATCTCCTCCATCCTGGTGATTGTGGTGACTTAGTTGTTGTAATTGATGTAACCCTCGCTGAAAAAAATTTCATTTTCAAATGACCTAGAAATTTTAGTAAGGAAAATAACAAATAATAAAAATAGTTATAACATTTTGTTGAAAATATTTGTGTAAAATTATATTACTTCCAAAATGTAAGTAATTCAAGTAAAGTACGGGCTAGTCCCTAAACTCAGCACTGAGCTTATGGATGGGCATCGGGAATTCATCAGGTCATTCCTAAACTCATTGATGGATCCATAAATGGAATTTAGCATGTTCCTTTATTCATTAATTAAATCACCAGTGGCTCAATAATTCCATAGGCTTTTGGGATTAATAGATTCGCTGGATTTAACCTCAGTGTTGTTATTTCTCAATATACTTTACATATTTATATTCAGTTTACTTTTTATCTATATTTATTTTTATTTTGAAATTTAACAATTCAGTAGGTTAATATTTTCTTATATATGTTTAACTTTTCAAGTGTTTTGTAACCTACTGGAGTCCAGGAGCTTGTTCCTACGCTAAGTATAAATCGGGGTCCATTAGCGTTAAATTCTTTAAAGGATTCCTTTGATGAAATAAGCACTGAGTTCAGGAACTTGCCTAATGACTTAGTTCAATAGCTCTTAAACTATAATACATAGTAACCATTGTTGGATCCAATTATGTGAACCAAAATATATATTTTAATTATTCATCAAAAGTGAAATATGATAAATACACTTAAGTTAACGGTAGTAATATTTTTTGGTTAAATTACAATTTTATTTATATATTATGGTTCTTGTTAGGTAAAGGATTTGATATCTATTAAAACATATGACTAATCTATAACCTGTGTTGCGTGTCTTATAGCAGAAATATTTCTATGTCTAAGTCCTCTGAAAAAATGTACTGCAGGATTTGCTAATCCAGATTCTCCAGAAATAGATAAACTAGTATTTTCATCACAAGCATATAGAACTTCTTCTGCATTTATTCCATGTAAAACTCTATCAAGATGACCTAAAGTGAAAAGAGATGTAAAAGCAGAATATAACAATAGTTTTAAATAAAAATGATTTTGTACTATATTGACAAGAGTAGGAACATTACGATTCTTGAAATTAAATTTAAGTAACTTTAAGTAATAAATAACATATTATTCCTTACAAATAAATTATTAATTTGCTAACAACCTAAACAAGGCCACATACACAACAAAATCCTTCACTTAATATAACTACAAGACTATGGTTCTAATTATATAGTTGTAAAATAACAGAAAAAAGAAAGATAAAAATAATAAAACAGAAAACAGTTTATTCTTGTGAACTTGTAAGCCATGACCTTCTTTACATATGTAACTCTATTTTTTCTTTTTTTTTTTTGTTTATAAATATTGGATTCAAATATAAAAGGAATGGATAAAGGTACACAAAGAAAGAAGTGAAACAACCAGAAGGGAGGCATCATCAAAGAAGAACATATAATACATATAATATATTGTTGGAAAGAGAAGAATTTTATTAAAAACAAAATCTAATATAGAAATTTGTAGAAGGTAACGGAGAGTGGCAAAAAAATTATAAATAATAATTTTTGAAAACTAATAATATTTAACGTAAATCACATGTTTTCAAGGAATTAAACAAAATTACTAAACTTTTAAAATATTTTAAATTTGAAAAAAGTATTTAAAACCCACGGATTCAAGGCAATGGCATTGTTTAAGATATTATTTCATTGTACTTGTGTGAAAGAAGAAGTGAAATATAAAAATATTTCATTTATATGTTTATAACCTTAAATATATTTACTGTAGTTTAATAACTCTAGATCTGATATCATATTTAATTAATTAGGAATCTATCATCGGTTTATTCCAAAAAATCAGCATGTAACCTTTTAGAAAATTAAATTAGTGAATAATTTAATAAATTTTCCCTTTGTGATATTCCAACAGTATCCCCTTACAATTAGTGTGACAACTTTTGACTTGTCTATGACAGACAATGCAAATCTCTTAATTCCGTTTTAGTAAACTTAGCAATGGAAAATAACAGTTAAATAACTAATAGTCGTACAATCCATAATCAACGGATCGTACAATCCATGATCAATCAGTGATATAATAAATAGGACTTTTGTTATTTTAATGGTATTTATGATTTTTTAGCTGTGATCTTTTACATTTAGCTTGGTTAAAAATGCAATTCAAAAGTTTTATAATAGCCTAACATAGCCAGAAAATAATTTCTATCAAATTTGATCGGTAATTGAAAGTTGTGTGTTGCGCACACCAGATTTTTGTTTTAGTATACAAAAGATTTTAGGGTTTTTCTATAGGATAAAAAAGTTTTGGGAGTTTTTCGGGGTGGTATTTTTTATTTCAAATTCAATACAAAATGCCTTCACTTATTTATTTGATTGGAAATCAATCATTAAAATTTTAGAATTTTTATTCCAGAATTTGTTGGGATTATTGACTTAAATTATTTTAAAAGAGGAATTTTTAGAAAAAGGAAAGTAGATGGTTGTTGATTTTTTGTGTAAGGAAAGTGACGAGGAAATATTCTCTTCAAAAGAAGGTGAAAAACCACTGAAACTGAGCTATTATAATGGGAAACATGAAACGTCTTGGGGTCCCATGATCAAACCTTATGAAGCGATTCATAATTGTCCTTAATCCGAAGAGGCTCTAATGACAGTCAGTATTTTAAGGTATGATCTTAGCACCTTTTTTTTCTTCCATTCTTCAAGGCATTATTGACCTAAATATTTATAACAGTTAATCAGAGTAGAAGCGTAAATGTGTGAAGGGCTATGGGTCATCCACTGATTGCTGTACTACTTGCCAGGCTCAGCAGCCAAGGTCATGGGGGAGACGAAGGTCATTGCTTACCTCAAAATTCGTGGGACCAGTAGCTAGTGAATTTTTTAGGGGTTGACTGATCATTCTCTTGGTTACACAGCTTAGTCCTGATAGGAATATAAGGTTTTAAACTAACCAGAGAAACAGAATTAAAGAGATATTGAAACCAATGAGAACATTTGTTTTATCTGTTGACTGCATAAATGATTCCTTATTAGAATAAATGAAATGAAATAAACATGAAAATCTCATACAAACCTGTTTCCATCTGCCAAACATATACGGTAGAATCAGAACATCCGACAATCATAAAATCATCAAGTGGCCTCCATTTAATATTTACAACAGGAAAAAGATGCCTTGATGCTAAAACTACACACTTTCTCTCTGTTAAACTCAAGAGAGTTACAGAGTGGTCACTAGCAACAGAACAAATACATTTCTGCACCCTTGTCTGAAAAATATAAATAAAATATTAATGGTAGCTTCCTCTTTCATTTTTCTGAGCAATTCTTCCATGAAGTTTATTCTAAATCGATTACATCTATAAGACTATGAAAGAAAGATATTTTATCTTAAACACTTAATTTTTATTTGATTTTAAGTTTTAGGTAGTCAAATCTGAAATGTACATATAATAGGGTCATTTCACTTTAAATGTCTGATTTCGCTTCCCAAATGCTATTTTAGTGTTTCAGAATGTCATTTTTTTTTTAATTTTAGTGGTTTAGAGATTGCTTTCCTTAACATGTTAACCCAACCGTTTGACTTTTTTTTATTACAAGTTTGGAAGAAAGTTGTATTAGTTAGTGGTAAACTTTCAGGAATGTTACTGCCACCTTCAATTTTGAAAAGAGACATATCTGAAGTAAAAAAAAATTATATTCTTGAATAAAATATTGATATATGGGATGATATAAATAAAATGTGATTAAAATAGAGATGATTTTAGAACATACACTGCAATTATTTGGAGGGACAAGAAGTTGTGTGATTTCTCCAGCATGAACACAAAATCTATGAAGAAGAGTTCCAGCATATAAATCCCATAGACAAACAGCAAAATCAACAGCTCCACTAACAAGATGTGATTTATCATATCGAGGATGAACATGGTAGGGATAACAGAGGCAGTTAACACGACCAGTATGACCAATTAAAGTTTGGTGCGGAGGCCAGTCTAAAATGAAAACATCAAAATTACTCAATTTATAAATTAATTATAACAATAATATTTAAAATATATGATAACCTTTTAACTGTAGTAAACTATTTCTCTATTAAATATTTTAAATGATTTTATTTATCCAATATTTAAATTAAAAAATGTACGTTGAAGTTAAAAATGTTGTGGAGGGAAGGACACAACTCCCACTCTCTTCTCGCCTTAGCCTAGTCTTCTTCCGGCCATTGGCCGAGATGCACGTTGTCTGTCTATTCCGGAACACTCCAACATTTATCATGGGAGTATAGACTTAGATGAGACCATCTTCAAGTGAAGTAACATTAGCGGAAGTAGTGCAAGTGATGAAAAGTAGAATATTGTTTCGCATAACTAAATTGCATTTGTACAAAACTCTGATTAAGCCAGTGCCAGTGCCAGTGCGGATCAGAGGGCTGGACTCTATCCAAGGCCCAGGAAAATCAACTTCCCCGATTCGAAAGAAAGATACTGAGACGAATTTTGGAATAACTTTCATCACCAACGAGCTAGCCTGGCGGATCAGGACAAATACTGAGATCTCAGAGCTGTACATCTGCGATGTAGTGCGCTTCATAAAGGTTAGCTGGGCATCTGGGCAGGAGAAATGCTGATTCAATACCAGGGAGGTTCCTCAAAGAAGAAATCCACACCACCAGAAGGCGTGAGCAACACAGGCTACACTGGATGGATGAGATAACCAAGGATGAATGCACCATTCTGGGGATCTGGAAGTGGAGAGCAGCTGCATGGAATAGAGATGAGTGGCAGACCTTGCTTCAGACGGCTGTGACCCCTCGCAGGTTGTAGAGCCATGGAAGAAGAAGATTAAAATAGGCTTTTATAAGTCATATAAATGAAATTCTTAATTTAATTAAAAGATATATGTATATTATTTTTAAATTTACAATTTAAATATATTTTTATGAGAAATAATATATTATTTATAATATCAGTTTTTATATATTAAAAAAATTAAAATTTCATATTACTAAGTATAATAATCTGTAATTTTGGTTTGAACTTTTTAGGGCATCAATATTTTTTTTTTCCAAATTGACTTGGATAGATAAAACCAGTATAACTCCTTCAATGTCTTTCTTCGAAATCAGTTTTTAATTTTATTTAGCTGGGTTCTTTATCCAGCAGGCAAACTGCTTTTAAATTTTAATGCATGATGAAATAACTAACATGACTTGATTGCTTTTAAAGATAGCTAGCTATATTATCTGCATATCCTCGAATTTTATGATTCATTTTGACATGCACCACTCCATTTTCACATGATGTAGTCTCTCCAGCATCAGTAACAGTCCATCTCGCTGCCATAAATCTCTTCGAACTTCAAGACCTTCAACACCTTATATCACTACTTTGTATTTAAGATCATTTTTACACACCTTTGTCAATTTCCAAGGAACACCCAGCTCAGTCATGATCTTTCAAAGACAGTTTCTGTCTACAGTATCATAGGCTGCTTTAAAGTTGACAAATAAGATGTATATATCCTCATCTACTTTCCATCTTTTCTCAAGTACCTGTTTTAGGATGAAGATCTGATCTAACATGCTCCTTCCTCTCCTGAATCCTACTTGATGGTTGCCTATCATTTTTTCAAAATTCAGATCTATCCAATTTAGCAGAAATTATTCGTTATGATTTAGCAGGATATCAAGTAACCAGAAGAAGTTCTATGCCTCTATTACCACATTTGTACATGTAGCTGTCCTAAGGCGTGGTTACGTGTTCCAGGCTTCTGGTTTTGTTTCTCCTTCAATATTTTCTAATTATTTGGAAAAGAATGGAAGAAGACTTACATGACAAAAGAAATTCTAGATGCTTTGGAAGTTTATTATCATAACAACTCTCAACTTATTTACCTACACCATACATATTATATTTCTATAACTAAAATCAAATATATATAATTTCTATACATTTAAAAATTGTTTACCTAAACCAACACTGTAAACACTAAACCACTATCCTGAATTTTGAATAGTATTTATTATAAACAATGAAATAAAACGAATAAATTATAGTAAAATTAAATCATACCATCATACTGTTGATGGCTGCCATGTAGTAGCTGCAGCATTACAGTTTGAGTTGCAGGAACAATGACAATTGATCCATCTTCTCTCCCTACGACTAAACGGCCTTGTTGAGGTAAATATATACTTGCTGTCAATTTTTCCCCAGTTTCCTGTAAAAAAAAAAGAAGAAGATAACATTTTATACAAGAAGTACATTTGATACCGTTGATTAATACTAAATCAACATTAAGAATAAAATGTGTTTTACTTTTCTTGTCAAGATTAAATTTGTCATTTAGGAACAGAAAGCAATTTCATATAAAATAGGAAAACTTCCCTTTTAGTTAATGTATTTATTGAAATTGGCAACAACTTCTCACTTCATAGTGTTGGGAATAACAACTTACAAAATAGGACTTGCTTTGCCAAATCTTAAAGCCAAAAAAATAAAAAATCTTGAATATTTTAGTATTAATTCATGGGGATACAACTCCATTTAGAAATACAGTTTTTGAAGACTCGTTCATTGCATTACCACCATGCACTTGTGTTACTTGCCTTTAAATTTTATGATTCCAAATAACAAAACATGTTAGACACTTTAACTGGCGCTACCATTTAGATACATTTTTGAACAGACAGGAGTGATCCTACAGTAATGAAACTTAACTAATACAGAAGTGGGGGAGTTAACTAGCTCAATAACCTTTACAATTTAATTAACTTTCTTATGATTAACCCGATGTCTTAGCAGTATTTTTTTCTCAACAATTTTTTTATAGTCATACTTCGATATCAATACACCTACATGACAGTAGTAGATTTTAGTTAAAACGCTCATTTGTCCACATTCTTTATGGAAGATGGTTCAACCATTCTGGCACTCCTTAAAAACATGATCAACTGGCTGCACAGGAAACGAGGACATGCTGGCAGAGCATGCTAAAGCATTCTCTGTTTTAATATTTAACATCTCAAGTCTCGTTAGTCATAAAATCAATCCATTGAAGAAAAAGTAATAAATATAAGAAGAAGAAGTAATACTTATCGAAAGGGTGACATATACCTTTATTGAGTAAAAAAATTGATAAATTCCTTCTAAAAAAATAAATAATGTTCCTCTAAATGGATATATCCATAGATGGGGAATCTTCTTATAATTAGAGGCCATATTAAGGTTAAGCAGTAATAATGGAGGTAGCAATTTTTTTTGTGCTCTAAACTTATTTAATAATTTGTTTTATATTTACTTACAAGCTGATCTAGTATTCCAACAGGTGAGGGTTTCATACTATTCCATGCCTCAGCAATACTTGTGCTAATCATGGGTTCAATTCCTAAGAATGAGAAAAAATTACAAATATTAACATTGTTAGTAAACAAAAGATTTCTTTAATACCAAGCTGTCATACAACTGTAAAGTATTTAATGTAAAAAATGCATTTTTTTTATACTCTGATTACAGTTGCTTAAGGAATGATATGCATAATGACAGAATGTCGTCACCCAAATAACTATGATGTGGTAAATATCAGGCCTTTACATTACTGGAATACAGTGAAATTCTCATCCAGCAATCTCTTGGAACACCCCTGATGAAGGCCTGAACTTCAGGTCGAAACGCAGGCAAATGTTAAAATAAATATTATTATTATTTTTGCCTTTTTATTTCTGATTGATCACCCCAACCATCCTTCTCTTCATTCTTCATACTTAACAGTTGACATTATGAGTAACTATAATAAATATGATAATAACTAACTTTATTTCATTAGAAAATTCATACCGTAGGGCTCATTCACTGACTGCTGCCGAAGCTGACTGAGTTGGGTTCCAGAAATTTCAGGAACAGTCCAAATAAGAACAGCACCTTCAGAATCAGCTCTTATCAAAATTGGTCCTTTTCGTGAGTTCTCAACAAATCTCATAGCCGGAGGACAACATACAGGCTAAAAAATAAAATCATTACAACTTCGAAAACCTCGTACTACATTAGTAAATTTAAACTACATAACTTCAGGTTTGAAGCTCTATAAACTAAGAGAGATTTGTAAGTATATAGGTATTATATGAATAAGTAAAAATAAATAATAATACTATATTGTTATTAGTAGTAATATTAGTATTAATATTAATGCTATATTAATAACAGGTTTGCTCACTTAGAAATATGTGCTGTACTTAATCTGTGACCTAGTACTAGGTAATAATAATCCTAATTTCATTCAATATTTTATCCAAACTAAAATATTGCTATTGTAAAATTAATTTTAAAACTTTTAGGTCTTTTTCTTTTAAAATAAAGATAAACTTTTTTTTTTTAACTTTGATATCAAAAATACCTGAACCAGTACTGGATTTAGGATTTAATTTAGTGAGGCTGTTTTTTTTGTTAATAAAAGGAAATGTATTGCATATTTAGTAGCTGAAGTACAAGTAATAATAACAGTATATACAAAAATTATTCGAAATTTTTGTCCCTAATAAACTGCATGAAATCCTACAAAATGGCACAAATACGACTTCCGTAAACTAATTAGAACCAAATATATAAAATAAAAAAAACTGAAAAGTAGTTATTCATTTCTACTCTATAAGTTCTAGGCATAAAATCTATAAGTTGTTGATATGGCTTGGAAAAGCAGTAATTCGGCTTTTCAAAGGTTGTGGTAACATTGAATTTGGAAACAATCCCGAAAAGCTATGAATATTTTAGTAAATGGCAGGAAAAAAATCCTTCAAGGAAATCAAATCCTAAAACTATATATTGTTTTTTTTCTATAACAATTCTTATTTAAGAGTTTTCAATTCAAGAAAGTACAATATTACTCATGCTTCAGAATCATGGACATGGAATCATGGAAAGCTGCAGATGAGCAGACTATCAGCAAATTTAAACACCACATAATTGGGAGGATTTAAGAGGGAACTTACACAGATGATATATGGAAAATGAAATGTAATGATGACAAAACAATATTTTGAAAAATCAAGATATTGTAAGATATATAAAATCCTGGAGGCCAGGCTAGATGTGCAGTAAATGAGTAATGACCAAATGCCAAAAAAACATACTCCTGGAAAAAACAATCAGAATAAAAAATAAAAGTCCATGTAAATGTTGGCTTGTTGGCCTAGAAGATGACCTTAAAAGAATGGGAATATCAGGCTGCAGAACTAAATTTCTAGATCAGCAAGACTGGCAGAAGACAGTGAAAGAGACAAGGGTCTATCTAGGACTGTAAACACAAGTATAGATACAAAGAAAACTAAATTAAACCTAATTGCTTTTTCATAATAAAAAATAATTTGGTTATTTACTTAATATTTTTAAACGTTTTCATTTGTCTAATTTTTGATACATTTGAACTTATTTAATACTATGAGTAATTATTTTTTCTTATAACAAAAAAAATCATCTCGTATGTAATGAATGATCTGGAAATGTGATCAAAACAAAGATAAAAAATAATATAAATCTCTCTATACATCAGTAAAAAAAACTTAGCAAGAGAAAGAAATTAAATGTTAGGTTATAACTGAAAAAAATCCAATCACACAGCCTTATATCTTCAAAATTCAGATAAGAAATAAAAAGACCGATCAACCTTTCGCCATCTGAATTTACATAAATAATTAAATAATATTTTTATAATAATGGTATCAGTAATCGGAGTATGCAGTTGGATGTCATGGGGTGATGTGATCTTTGATTTCTTTTCTTTTCTGTCATGATGCTGCCTGGATTGTTGAAATGTTGAAGGTTTTATAAATTCTTTACCTGCATTTTGGAGACATAAGGCTTTGTGATTGGAATTTTTCTAATTATAACCTAAAAATAAGTTTTTCTTAAAATGACAAAAAAAATAAATAATAAAGATGTTTTCTTGGCTCCTAAGTTCCATTGGAACAAATTCCAGGACAAATGTTTTATATTTTTCTATGTAGAATTGTAAAAAAAATGTTGGTTGAAATCGATGACCCACTGACTGTAATCTCCCATTCATTATAAGTTGAAATTTACATTTTATTTTTTTCCCTAATTCTTCGAATATTACTATGAAAATTTTATTAAATATTTACAAACTAAATAAATTTATTATAAAATATAGATTAACTTGAAAATTACAACTCAAATATTCATACGAGAATAGTTGAACAACTTGAGGGAGCACTTAGTGGACTGGTTTATAGAACCGAGAAGTTACACTCAAATTGGGAAAAGCTTTCTTCTCTCTCTACTGTAGAAGTTTAGGCAATAACCTCATAAATAAACCATCTTGAATTTTTTTTTCAACTATTTATTTGTTTTTTATTTTCACTTACCTATATATGAAATATTTCATATATAGATAAGTGACAGTATTGCGATTGTGAAAATTTTCGAATCTGGGTTTTCAACAGAAATACATGTTTTGAGATCTCCTGAGTCCAAATAACCAAGTCCCGCAAAATGGTCTGTGTCTGTGTGTGTGAGTGTATATGTGTATGTATATGACGAGACTAGCTCAAAAAGAAAAGTTGCATGAAAGTGAAATTGCATATTTGAGGATTTTATAAGCCTTGAATGTTGGTTAAACTAATTTCTTACCTTCCTAGCAGTAGCCTCTAACACACAATAAAGGAATGGGCTATCCTCTTCAACTGAAACAGTGTGGAAATCCTTGTTGTCAGCAACACTACTGTAAAATAGATTTTTTTATTAACCACTTTATGACAATACATTTCTGCCTTAATCGACTATAATAAATAAATACTAACCTTTCAATTATACATTAATTTTAATGACATCACAATTGATCACCCTTGAATATATATAATATTATATCAAAAATTAATAAAATTTTGATAATAATGGTATTGATGATAGGTTTTCAGATGAGTAAATAATGAATTCAAGGTTGCAAAAACAGAATTTATTAACAGAAAGACAAATATAAATAATATATTTTATTCGTATATATACAATTGTAAAATATACAAAGAATGATACTCTTTGATGTTTATTCCTCCTGATATTCTGGGGTCTAACTTTTATTCTTTGTTTCTAATAAAATCATACTTTGTATATTTACATAGGGAGTGTAGAAGCTCAGTGGGTAAGCACTGCTTTCAAAGCTCAAGGTCTCGGATTTGAGTCCAGCTTAAGACAAGTAATTTTTAACCAGCCTGTGGTCGGGAAACCCTTCTGGGGCCCACCTAGGCTCTATAAAGTTGGTTCACTTAATTAAAATAATTGATTAAAGAGGAAAACCTGGCAGTTAAGTGTGATCCTAGCCAAATCACCTCCTTGCACAATCGTTGACCTTTACCCAATACTGTTCATGGATTACAGTAGTACAGGTTTATTTATTTATTTTATTTTTTTATATTTACATACTTTGCAAAGCCTGAAACAGCCTGCTCCACTTTTGTTCTGTCTATCCCTTTCTCGCCTTTTAGGCTATATAGAGTTTTCCCAGGCCTGGGGATTATTGTGAGTTATAACCCCCTTGGAGGACAGATGGCCGAGCACGTTGGGACTGAATGTTGTGGATTTCATTCTCACCTTGGTCAGTTACTTTTCATTTCTTGGCGGCCCTGGGAAATGGATCATGGCACATCCACTCTGTATAAGTATAAGTATATAATTACTAGTTCATAGTATAAGTATAATAATTATTAGTTCATCGGCTTGTGAACTAGTAATTATTTTATTACCTCAACTTTGGTTTATCAGGTTAGTGGGCAAGTGCGTTTTGCACAGGCGTTAGCCTGCTCAGCCAACACGCCTCCAAGCTTTCTTCACTTCTTTCTTTCTCGGACCACTGTTGCTTTCCAGTTTGCTATATGCAATATCTTTGTTGATTCTATCTACCTATCTAGTTTTCGGCCTCCCATGTGGTCTCTTACCAATTGCTGATGCATTCATTTGTTTGTTGAGGCTCTTGATCATCATCCCTATTGGTCTGACAAGATTTACAACACCTAACAATCATTTCTGTCTTTAGTGAAACTCCGACCACCAAACATAAAACCAACTGAGTGATCTTATTGCCATGATGCCCGGATGACCTGCATGAAGTTGTTTAAGGGTACAGTTCTGAAGTTTATGCGTACACCAATCATCCCAGCTGTAACCCAGCTGGGATGATTGGTTCCCAGTCCACTCCTTCTTTTAATTTTAACTCTTTTCCTCCAAAATGGTTTCAAGTCATCCTTTAAATCCTTTGTGTCTTGTGGCCAGCCTTGATCAACATAGCACAAGACCTGTTTTAATTCAGAATAATTTTCAATTGATATTTCCAAATTCTGGTCAGATGCAATAATATGGATGTTCATTTTGCCAATTAATTGCATCACTTTATCTTCCTCATCCTCTGTAGTCATAGGTAAGGGTAATCTTGATATAAAATCTGATAAGCTTAAAATTATCTCCTGAAAAAATTGAATATAAACAAACCTATTTTTTTTTTCACTTTAGGATATGAATAAGACAGCAATAAAGTCTTGAAACATCACTAAAATTTAGTTGTATATCTATTAACTCATAAAGAATGGAAAACTGCAAAACTCATAATTCTGCCAGAGAAAGGAGATAAGAAAGATCTAAATGATTATTGCCCATTAATTCTGCTCTCAGTTTTATATAATATATTTTCTGAAATCCTAATTAGAAGAATAGAAGACAAACTGGATGTAGAACTAAAAAAAAATATCAAGCAGGCTGTAAGAATTACCCCACTGTAAATAAAGGTTGTTGTTATTATTATTATTATCATCATCTATTAACTGAACATCAATATCCATAAAAATATGTCTTTAAAGGTTGACTCAACTTTTGGCATTTCACAGATAAACCTAATAAATTCACTAGAACACATCTTGACATACAATACGATAAATTCTGGATAATAAAAATAAAATTAAGGGGGAAAATATACAATTTTAGTATGGCTCCAGCCATAATTTATGGCTCAAGCATGTAGGGTGCTTTCCTACTCAATATTTCATGGGATTTCTCATTTATGTGTTCATATTTATTTGATATAAAAACTATTCTTCTATCTGATATCATTTTTTGTATTTCAAATGTGAATTTTCTTTGTTGACTAAATTTGGATCATAATATGTACATATCCAGCAAACACACAAAATAAATGCTAAAGAAGAGTTTTCAAGCTAAGAAAATATAAATCCGTTAATTACATATAATATGCATAAATCACATATACTAAACTAAGCAGTAATAACAATGAAATATTTGGGTAAAGATCTTACAAAGTTAAGTTTAGAGCCATAACTAATACTAGTTTTAACAAAACCGAAAAATTAAGGTAATATTAAGTTAGGAATTTAGGTTCAGGACTAATTTTCATTCACAAGTATGTCAACATTTGTCAATGTTGTTTTTGAAACAAGAGAATAACAATTAGACTTATAAAAGAGCAAATGTGCAAGAACACTGTTACACTGCCTAGCATATTTCTTATTTTAGTTTTATTTAAATAGACCAAACAGAAAAAGAATGCCACAAAACTATGACACTCATTAATGAAGGCACAAAGATTATAGTTCTAACTAACTTCTTGGCTCCCAAAAATATTGTGTGGATTAATTTAAAACTTCATGATGTTAAAATAGAAATCAATAAAATTATATATATATATATAATGCAAAATTAGTGAACAGTGATATTTTTTCAGGATTCTTTGACCTTGAGATGGCTTAGATAAAATACTGAAAAGTTGAAGCAGATAGTGAAGAGCTTCTCTAGTTAAGATTATATTAGTAATCTTACAGTTCTGGGACAACGATAATCATGCAGAATGCAAGAACACAGCCAAATAGAAGAATTTACATATTACAGAGAAGAAATCACCTCAGCAATGTGATCAGAAGTGGGTTCAATTGAAGCAATAAAGAGTGAGTATTTAACTTTGAAAACGTATTTTAATCGTTTCATGTCTATATAAAAAATATACTTAGAAACTGATGGCAGAATAATACTTAGAGGCAAACTAGAAATTCTTAACCTTGCAGAACGTGCAATCAAAAAATTATTTTGGAACGGACAATCGACCTGAGAGGTCTTTTATGTATTTTACAATGGAAATATATCCCTTATTTGTTTTTGATTAAAAAACTTCAAAACAATTGAATTTATTAAGTATGAAACATTTCTATATTATTCAAACGTACAAATACAATCTTTTATAAAACAATTATTTTAAATCTAATAATAAAATACAATTTTCTCATGTCACAACTATTTAAAATCTAATAATAAAATTTTCAATTTCAATAATTTAATTGAGGAATCAAAAAGCATTTCTTTAGTATTTTAACATAACACATTGTCCTATGACTAGTAAAAATTAGTGATCGAACCAACAGATACTTTAGAAAAACTTACTTCACAATTGATGTACATGTAGTAACTAACCAATTACGTACCCCTCATTACTAACAAATCTTGTTAGTTACTAAGTCTTGTTAGTTATTTTTTGGCGCAATTATCACAAATGACAACTGCATGTTCAAGACACAAATAGATATTACAATATTTGAAGCTAAATCTCATTTACTTTTCCTCTTGAGTAAGCAGCTTGCAAGGCCTGCATTTTTTTCTCTTTTTTCCAGCAATTGCAGGATTTGAAACGTTAACTAGCATCTTGTTCCGTGGTTGTAAATCACTTTCCTACGCACAAGGTTCCTCCACAGCTGCTTCTTGGCTGGTTCCATTCCCAGAAATTATGTTGGGTTGGTTTTTCTCCATTTTTCGACTGATTTCAGAGCATGTGGGGGGTATATTGATCCGCTATAGCTAGCAGAGATTTGTCGGGTATAACCATAATTTCTTGTGATGATTGATCTCTCATTCTTGAAGAGAGGCCTGTTATTTGTGGATGAAGAAGGTAAGGGATACCTTTAGAATTTACTGAGAATCTTTCTTCCAAGATTCTTCAAAAATAGCTGATGTCTTACAGCTTTGACATTGTTGCCAACAAGAATAATCTGGGCATTATTTCCAGCTATATTGAGGATGGAATAAAATGTTACCATAGGCCATCATCTGGTGTTATGGTTGACACTATAGGTTTTGCACACTTCATCATTTATGTCCATGCCCCCTAATGTTTGATTAATGTAATACGTGATAATTTCAGATATCTTCTTATCACCTATAAAAATTTCAATAGCATCAAAGAAATAAGTATTATATTTTTCTTTGGTTTTGGAACATATGACACTAAAGTGGCTTTTTGGCGAAAACCAAACATACTCGATTTTACTTAGTGGTTTTTAGTATTCTTGAAGGGCAATGGAATTTGTACCTTATTTTTTTTTTAGTGATCCTACGATACTGATTTTTTTTCGACCAGTTCTGCAACCAACAACATCCGAAAACCAATTATCCATAGTGATAATATGGCCTGTATTACATAAGAGTGCAGAGAGTCTTCTAACCACGTCAACAGGGGAATTACTGACTGAAAATGGTGAACTTTTCGGTTGTTTTATTTTTATACTATAGTTTCGAGCTTTCGTATATACTGCTGGAAGGGGCATCTTCCCCTGAAACCTTCTAGTTAATCATTGATAGTAACATAAAGGGATCCTAGAGAATAACATTTTTGACAATTCGAGACGAACATTTGGAAAAGTTCATGAAAATGACAAAGATGATAGTTCTTCTGCC